CTCTCGTTCTCCTCTCGTTCTCCTCTCGTTCTCCTCTCGTTCTCCTCTCGTTCTCCTCTCGTTCTCCTCTCCCCTCTTCTTTTCCCTCTGCTCCTCTCCTTCTGCCCCTCGAAGCTAAAAACAGTACGGTACTCCTTCCTTCGGCCGTGAGATCTAAGAGCTAAAGTGTCCATCCATTGTACTGTAAAACCAAGGTAAGGTACTTGACAGCGTTTCCAAAACGTCCTGGCGAAGTCTACTTTTGTTTGTGTCTCCCCGGGCGGTCTGCTCTGTTCTCACTCGACTCAAAACCCTGCTTAGCGATGCGATGCCCTGGAGTTGTGTCTTCGTTGCCACTTCTGCACAGTTCAGCTGGTCGTCGAGTCGGGCTGAGTCGAGACAGTCAGGATAGGCATGTGATTGAACAGACGCGCCAAACCGAGCAAGTAAGCCTGAGAATAACTCCATCCCATACGCTCCCTCGTCAAACGCCCTCATGCATTCAATCCAATCCAGGTCGCTATGCAGTTCGGAACCCGAAGAATTCATCCATGAATTCAGCACACGATACAGTACACCCTTTCGTCGCGGCCAGAAGATGATAGTGGCGACGAGCGGCAAATTCATGAAACGTCAACGCAGAGCACACGCAGCACTTACTCTTCTCATTCCCAACAGCCGAGTGCTTCTTGCTTCTTGCTTTTTGATTCTTCAGACGGCGGGCCATCTCACCCTCAGGCCTTCACACCACCTATCGAAAAGACTCTCGCCAAGTTGTCTCGTATGCTCCAATCCACCCACAAGGCCTTTCATCATTTCTTTCTCTTCCGTCTCATCCACCCCACCGGTCACTTTCTTATCCTCGGCACTCGAGTTCCGCAGAGGCGAATTCACCTGCGAGGCACTTGTCGAGTTCACGCGTGACGGACTCCTAGAACTTATGACGGCCTGCGCGGATTGTCGTCGCCGATGGGACTTCAAGTGCGGGTTGTTCTGCGCGAGCACCAGTTTGGCAGTTTGCCCGGACTTGGTCGGTGTGCTGGGTGTGACCTGGCGACTTTCGTTCGCGGTAGCCGGCTTTTCGGGAGAGGCGACCAGCTCAGAAGACTGTGAGCGACTGACTTTCTGCGGCGAAGCAGGTACCGGCTGTGGCAGCATCAGTTTCAGCGTGTCGTCTTGTTTCATCTTCGAAATAATGGATGACACGATATGGTACATCCCGTCCGGATCAACACTCTCCAAATCCGAGAACGCCTCAGCCAGTCTTGCCACGGCCTCCCGTTTGACCTCGTCCGCCGTGTCGTTGAGAATGTCCTGGCATGACAGCCCAATGGCATGGCTATATAGTTTCTTGCCGAGATTCGCTTCCTTAGACTCCATTGCCAGTGTTGTAGCGGTAGAGAACCTCGATCCTTTGTCCGGTTTTGAGAGCAGTGACGTTTCCAAGTCGACCAAGACACCAATGCCAGGCTTGGCTTTGGAAGGAGTCCGGATCACGCTAGAGTTGGGGTCCTCGTTTTCGTCAGGTGTGACAGAAATACTAGGCGACACCCGTCTAAACTGTCGGACTGTGCTGGGACTGTTGCCAAAGGACATATTGACGCCAAGCGGGTGTCTTGGTTGAGCATTCGATAACCTCTTCCTGCCTGTTCGCTTCCCTGAGAGAGAATCTACCGAGTCTCTTCGATCTGATTGGTACTGCTGTTGCTTCGACTCGGAGACCTTGCGCATGGTTAACTTGGTCGGGCTCTGGTCGGGCTCTGGCCGACGTTCCAAAGACAACTTTTGCATCATTTGAGTGGCGCTCTCCTTTGACTCGGCCATCACGTCGACTGTTGTCCTCGAAACCTTCCTCTTCTTCTGCGTCTGCGCCTCTCTAAGATTCATGGTGGGCACAGCTTTGATTGTTTCAAACACCCAGCCGTCGTCGTTATCTCCTTGGGACAGGTTCTTGAGCGTTTCGGCGTAGTACTTGAGATTTCTATCTCCACCTTTGCTGGCCTCCCAATCTTGTTTCCGCAAGATTAACTCTTGAAGTCCTTCGATCTTCCCTGCTGACCGAATGAACCGGTGGCTGAGTAATTCTTTGGCACTTTTTCTTCTGTCCACGTCTTTGGTCAAGCAGCAAGCGACAAAGTCTTTGAAGTCCTTGGACCATTGTGTGCCTTCGAGTCTGGGTGCAGGTTGTTTCGGGATGAGAAACAGAACTTTCATGGGGTGGACGTTTGCATGCGGAGGCTCGCCATGGGCCAGTTCCATAGCAGTGATACCCAGACTCCAGACGTCGGCTTTGGCATCGTGACCCTCCTGTTGAATCACTTCGGGTGCCATCCAGAACGGGGTACCAACAAATGTATTCCTCACGCTCTTGAGTCCCATCAACTGCGCCGCGACCCCAAAGTCGGCCAGTTTGACCCGGCCATCCATACCAAGCAGCACATTTGCGGCTTTGATGTCCCGATGGAGCTTGCCTTCACTGTGGAGATACGCCAGACCGAGCAGCAGTTCGCGACATATGATGGCAATGTGACTTTCCGACAGGCGATGAGGTGGAGGTTTGAGGAGGTCGGCGCAGGATCCACCGCCCAAGTATTCCATGACAATCCACAACGTCTGTCGGCGGAGGAAAGCGAGGCGGTATTTCGTGACATGAGGGCTACAGCAGGAGGAAAGGACCGAGAGCTCGGAGAGGATATCAGAGAGATCTTCTTCCGATGATTCGAGATCAACCTGACCGCGGATTAGTCTTTCCATTCCGGTACCGCAGTCCCCTCCACCCAACATACATGCTTGATTGCGACAATCTCGCCAGTAGCTTTCTCGATGGCTTTGTAGACGATGCCGAACGAGCCACTACCGAGTTCTTCCAGCATCTGATATCGGTCTGCCAGTGTGTCGCCATTCGAAGAGTCTTCTTGTATCTCGAAGTAGCTCTGCGGAGCCGTTCGGACCCCATGGGGGGTCTCTGAATATGGTGATATCATCGCCATGTGGGCGCTGTTCTCACCCTCTCTGCCAGAAGCGCGAAATCTATATCTCCTTCAACCGCAAAAACGTGTTCGAACTCGGGATCTGCTCATCCGTGGGGGCGAGTTGCAGTAAAGTGAGGGCGAGCACCAGTGTCAATCCGGGAAATGCGAATGCAGGATGGTGCGCCGGTACAGGATGCAGGATTGTTCGACGATAATTGTGGTACAAAGCATGGAGGTGAAGACCTGCAGCACCAAGGATATATTGTAATACGACGAGGCTTGTAAAAGGGGTTCATGAGACATTAAGGCTGTGAATAGAATTCTTGATCAAGCCGCATGACCCGAACGACAGAATGCTGGCAGCTTGGGACGATATCGTGGATAGTGGGCTGCGGGCTCTGGCCTGCGACCGAAGCTACAAATTCAATGTTTACGCACTGTCGTCATGGTAACGGTCGGCCGGATGTGGGAAAGCGCGACCCTGAACCCACGCTAACATTCGACCGAGACACGCTAATGCAGGGGCCCGTTTCTGGCCGCTTCCACCTCGAGCCGCATATCCATCCTGCTACCGATGAACCATGACAGAAATAAGAATGGTTCTACGGTAATCAAGCCAGCCACCGGGCTCTAACGAGTGTCGGAACAAGCCACGGGGACTGACGTTCTGGAAAACCCTGGATCAGCTACGTTGCGGGAGCAACGCAGGTGATCTTCCGGAGTCGACTGGTGCCAAGGGTTATCCGTCAAGTGAGGAGGATGATTTCAATTTCAGCTCAAGAAGTGGCTGCGGAAGAGAACTGCATTTCGCATCTCTCATGGTACATACAGTAGAACGCTCAATAGATCGTTGTCATATGTGCGGACTGTCGAGTATATGCGTTTGACGCTCCCGAACGCCATTCATGTCCGTAGAGTCGTTCTGATTCGAATCCCATTCCTTCATCAAGTCGCTAATTGTTCTCGTCAATTTTGGAGTCACCCGCTGCATCTCAGGCCAGGGCAGGCCACCGCTCTTTGTGTTAGTGGCCTCTTCATTTGGAGCCATGTTGGACACCTTGTTGCTCATGGGCGACTCCCATGCGTCCCAGCTATCTTCCACTTCGTCGTTGTCATTCAGGTCGGGTAGTAGACTCGGCGGCTTGGATGAGTCGGTGCTGCTCTTTTGCTGTACATGCCCATTCGGTTTCTCTGCGGGCTTCGATGACGTTGAGGAGTTATGCTGTGGTGTATCCAGACCGAATTCATTCCAGAACGACTTCTCCTTCGGCTGGGGTGTCGAAGCATCCATTGAATCTTTCGTGTTACGCATGCCCGTTTTCACGGACGGCCTGCTGGTCGGCTTCCGTTGATTATGTCTGACCGGTCGCTGCTGAGCTGCTGTGCCGTTGATGCCCTCCTCTCCAACAGTCGCTTGCCTGATATCCTCGAAGAACGTCCACAAGCCATCCCTGACTCCGTCGTAGACATGCTTGCCTTGCTTCACCAGCAAATCCGCTGCGACCGGAGGCAATGATCTGCGATGTGCTGCTAGGTCTTTATAGGTCTTGCCGAACCCAAGAGGGAGAGCATCACCCGAGATGAGCCCATCCAATGTCGGCATTCTGGACAGCGAAGGTTTTTGGTTATGCTCACTTTCGAGCTCAGTCGAGTCATTCGCTGTAGCCTTGGTGTCTTCAGCTGCCTTGATAATGGATTTGGTACATGTCGGGCTGAGCAGACTCAGCGTCCTCGTATGCCTGCCCCCTTCGAATATTCTCTTGGATCCCTTTCTGCTGAGGCCAAATCCTCCGTTGGTCGCATGACTTGCGTGGTTTCTCTCTACCAGCGCACGCTTCCGCCTTCGTTCTTCGTCCACATCCTCTTCCGGAGCAGGCGTCTCACTTCCAGCGACATCATCCAAAGCCATTGGCTGCAGTTTCTTGACATGTCTCAACTCGTCTCTTTTCTTGTTCGCCTCGTACGCTGCCCATTGCTTCTTGAGGGTCTGTAGATCCGCCTCCGCTCTTTGCAGTTCTTCCTTCAATTCAAGCACTTTGCGTTCTTGTGCAGCTAGTAGGGTCAAAAACTCCCCGCTCCCTCTTGCTTTACTCTTGTCTTGTGGTTGTGTCCCTGCATCGGGGCTCATGAAGGGTGCTGCTCGTATTCGTGGCGAGGATCTGCTAGATTCGATAGGGCTTGGGGCGCCAGAGCCCAGAGGAGACTGTGACAGTTGCGCATTGGCGGGCAGGAGAATCGGAAAGTTCAAGGATAACCCCTTTATGTGTCTCCTAAGAGCATCACTATTCGTGGCGGGTGCGCGACTTGGACTCGGAGGAACAGCTGCATCGTTCTCTCCGAGCGGGGAGCCATCTGTTGGACGCGGGTGTTGCAAAGACTGGAAGGTTGATGCTGCTTCCATAGTACGAAACCGGTTGTGCCAGACAGATTTTCGGTAGGTGGCTTGTAGACTGTGGCGAGATGTAGACAGATGTCGTGACACATACACCCATAATGCGATCCCTTAAACGGCGGTCATCTCAATGGCACAAACATAGTCATGTCATTGCATATCATACATCATAGCAGAGGTAAGGGAATGTTTGTGGACACAGGATGTTGACTGGCCGAAAACGGTGAGTCGGTGATTAAGAGGCCGCCTTCATCCCCACAACACATGCTGCAAGCAGGTCGGGGCCTAGCGATGGCCAGTGCACGAGGTGGCCCACGGGCAATTTCTTTGCTCAGCGTCGTGACCGTCAGCAGAGTCATTGACACTGGTGTCATTCAGATGCAAAAGTCGGTTGTACTCCGTACTCAGCATCTCCGTTATACACAAAAGTACATAGACGCCGTCTCCGCTAATGCAGTCCAAAGTTACATGATGAGCCAGACGCTTCCGCCAACAATGACGCCTACGCACAAGAGGGTCAGAATGGCAGCCCCGGCCTTATCCCCCGTCGTGATGGGTGAATGGTCAATGATGGGTGACGCGTTGGCATCCGTGCCAGCGTCTGGATCACTTTGCGACGTGCCTCCAGTGTCGGCAGTCTTGGGTGCGATCGAGGGGTTCACTGTCGTTGCGCCGATGACGGCCAGGGCTTGCATCTGGTCTCCAAGTCAGCAATACGTCCCCAGCCGATGCCAGGGAGAAAGCACATACCTGCTGTCCAACCCCCGAACTTCCGTCAAAGCCAGCATACCATTGCCTGCCACACATTCTCCCGTTGTTCCCACCAGTACACTGCTGCGCTGCTCCAACGGCACTGTCTCTCAACTTGGGCATAATCTGGTCATATGTCTGCGGCACGATCATCGCCGTCACCGCCATCCACCTCGACAAATACGCCTTGAAACTGCTCTGGTCATTGTTGCACACCATCGTCGACTCGCATTGAAACTCGCTCATGATATTTCCCCCATATTCGGCCGGAAAGAATAAATGGAATGCCCCGTCGAGGATTTCCTGCACGCGTGAGCCCCAAGGTTCCGCTCCGCCCGTGAAGTTGTACATCGCCGCCGCGCCTATCAACATGGTGCCGTAGTTGTATGTCCAGGCGAAGTGTTGCACGTCGGTACAATTGTTATTTGCGTCAGTGTTGTCCCAGATATATAACGTGCCGTCTTGCACTTGGAACAGCGGGCTGGCTTCCATCCAATCCCACATCTTGGTCGCCCAGTCGGCGTAGGTCTGATTGCCCGTATACCTCGCCAGTCGGGCTGCCAACTGAAAGTAACCACCATTGGAAATCGTGTTCTTCAGGTTGTACCCTGCATTGAAGGAGTAAACCTGCCACCTCATGCCTCCGTTACAGGTCGCCGGATCCCAAAGTGTGGTCTGAAAGTTGAAGACCGCTTGAGCTAGAGCGAGCCACGAAGGCGCATCACCACCAACATCAGGTAAATTCGCTTCGGCGGCATCCATGGCAGAAAAGGCCCAGAAATCTTGGTCGTCGACACCCATGTTCTTGCTCTGATTCGGAGGGTTGAAGTTCTGATCAGGTCCAATCTGAAATTGTAGAGCCTCGGTGACCACGTGATTGTAGCTCTCATCGCCTGTATACTGCCAGTAATGGATCAAGGACCCAAACATAGCCCCAGCTTCCCACCAGTAATAACAAGCGACATTGTCACAAGGACCGGGAAGGAGACCTGGGATTCCACCCGTCTGATTTCCAGAATAGTAGGTCATCATGTCGTACGCTAACGTCGAGGTGACGGATTTGACCGAGTCCATGCTGTTGAGGTCAAGTTCGAGTCCTTGAGCCATCGGCAGCAAGCCCACCAAGGGTGCAATCGCCGCGAATAGTCTTGATCTCATGATGTTTTGTTGTTGATATACATGTAGTTGCAGTAGCAATACAGGTGCAGGGGTGTGACCTGTGAACTGATAAATCAAATCGATTTACACAATATCCTTGACCAAGTGGCGCTGAAGTCGATGAGGCTAGAGATGTTTGGCACACGCACCACGGGTGGACAACACCTCAAAGGCTGAAGCGAAGGACGAGCACGGTCTCGAAGAGAGCGACAGACAAGGTGGCCACGGGAACAACCTACCCAGCTCAACTGGATAATATTGTGGTGAGTGAAAGGAAAGAGCAAAGAATGACGCTGATGCTTCTTGCAAACTACAATGGGGTCGAGATAGGGATCGGAGTGCAGGTAAACGTTAGGATCACACAGAGCGGGCAAATTTCGAAACATGAAAATCACCCCAAGAAACCCAAGGCGTCTAAGGGACGATGCGTGTCACAGGCTCATTTCACGGGAGGCCGGCCGCCGAGGGCACAGCAGCTCCGCCACGATGGTGTCGCCCTCAAGTGTCAAAGGTGGTTGTCTAGGAGATGTTGGCACCTTGGCGTGGAACAGAGACGACCAATCGGGACGGCTAACGGTCGCTCTTCCGCGCGGAATAGCTGGAGACGATAGGCGGACAAGCATCGAGATCCCTTGGCATATCTTGGCACGGCCCGCTGCCCGTCTCGTCCAAGATCCAGGGGCTGCTGGCCCCCGAGCGCCCCCTCCTTCCCTGGCGGCTTCCTGCAGTTCGTACCCCGACTGTAACTTTTGGCCTCAACGAGCGAGCACTCCCGGATACCTTTTTCAGAGCCTCTTCTCCGAACCTATAGAAGTGTGCAGAAGATGTACAAATCTAGCTTCGTTTTCGTGTGCAGCATGCTTCAAAGGGCAGAGCCCCCAGATTCCCAATATCATTTTTCTCCTCGCCGGTCTGTAAATTGGCATCCTATTGCTAACAAAAATGATATACGCCAGAAAGCACTCCGTTCGCCGTCGCTCGATGCTTTGGTATTGCTAGAATCGCTCTGTCAGGAATAGGATTCATTTTCGTCATTCGCTCACTCTTTGAACGTATCCAATTCTTCACCTTTACTCTTTGATGGACTCCACCCCTTCAGCCAGTTTGAACATCCCCACGCCCAGCCCGCGCCTCGCACTATGAGGCTCAGTGTGCCGACTACTGTGTAGCTGGTGTGCATCATTCGTCGAACTTGGGATCCTGTGAATCGACTGAATTGACCGATTGGTGTTGGCTCGAGGCCGGAGGTGGACGTCGGGATCCTCCTCCTTTTCGCGATAGCCTGAGGCCAGCCCGGTCTCAGATCTGAATTGCCGTCCCTCAAGGATGCCATCAACAGCCGACATGTTGGAATGCGCCCCTATGGACGACCTGCGTCTTTGTACCCGGGACATGACCCTTTCCGCCTCTTTGGCTTCTTTCGCCTGGAGACTCTCCGACGGCAATAAGATAGCTCTGTCAAGCTCATATGGAAGGCCACGATGTCTTCCACGGATTTGCATCGCAATGATTATCAATTTCGACAAGACATGGAATTCGGCGGAGAAGGAAGCATTAATGGTCGGGTAGCCCAGAGAGAGACCCACAGTACCATAGGCGGACACGATCTCAAATAGGACCGAGAAGAGGGTAAAGGCGTACTGGTTGGTATTCTGCAGCCTGTCGCCTTCGACGATCGCAATGATGAACATGCCCAGAAATATGTACCACAGATCGAACGAGAGCTGTCTCCGTAGATGAGCACCAATATAGCTGGGTTCGTTCTCGTCTTCGTTCTCTTCAGCAGGTGAACCGTACAGCCCCAGACTCTTCTCCTCGTAAACGTTCGTTCTTCGCATACTGATGGCGATTGGGAATACCGAAATGTACATCATGATAAGATAACTGACTTGAATGGCAGGATGCAGGTCCGCAAGGTTCACAACCGAAAACCCTGCTGTTCGGGTCGCTGCGGCTTGGAAGATGCCATTAAGAACTCTGACCCCTGCAGGCATCGCGGTGATTGTGGGATCGTTAAGGTCCAGAACGATGAAAAATATTAGGTCCAGACCATTGAGGATGACAAGGATGGCGAACAGCCACCAAGTCGCTTCTCGCGGAAATAGGAGTGTAAAACACCGACGAGGATGGTCCAGAAGAAATTGAAGTTCCTCCCACAGAGGACTGCTTTTTGTGCAGAATTTGGACGTGGCCCAGATGGTGAGCCTGAGCATACACGGAAATCCGGTATTCCCGATGACAATAAGGAAAGTCATCAGCAACAGGGGAAAGACGGCCCGCTGGAAGGAGATCATAGAGTTGTTGGTAAGGGTGAAGCCGAGGTCGTTGAAGGCAGAGGCGCTCGTAAATACACCCCACCAGGTTCTACCCACTCCTTGCTCTGTAACAACTGGTCCATAGGTACCCGAGCGCAAGATCCACGGAATGAGACAAATGATCCCGAAGAGATGGAAGAGCACATAGTAGAGTATGAGGATCAAGGCCAAAGCCTTGAGCGCTCGGTACTCAATGCCACCCAACTCTTCCCGTTGTTCCTCCGTGAGACCGACAAAGAACGAGTTTCTCCCGATGGTAGGCTGCCAACTCAAGTACGGTGCAGGTATGTCCTGTGTGCGTGGAGTATTGACACGGCGGAGCGAGTTCAAGGTGCCTGAACCCCTTCGCCGAAGCTGGCCAGGATCGGGGAGGTCATAGGAAGAGGCCGCCTGCGTAGATTGTCTCGTGTTGAGCCGCGGAAAGGTGGCAGTTCTGTCATGACGGTCTCTCAGGAGGTGGGGCTCATCGAAGGCGATATGGGTAGGCCCAGCAGAGTCGTCTCCAGCATTCACCTCGTCGATGCGTCTCTGGTTCGCGCTGGGCAAGTCCGGTTCACTGGTTATCGGGCGTAGGGGTGTATCATCAAGCCCGTCGGCGATGTTTTGCGGTCGACTTCCACGCTCGAACTCTCGAGGGCTCGGAATCCTCAAAGCAGTTGTGTCACTAGGATTTCGCTGATTCTCAAGAAACCGAATGTGCTGCTCCGGACTCAACTGTGATGGGAGACGTACGTCGTCGGTCGACCGGGAGGTTTTCAGGCGCAAGTGGTCCGAGGGGAGTGGATTCTGTGGCTGTTCGGCCTCAGGGCCAGACGCGTCAGATGAGTCGACCGCTTTCCCATTGTCATGGCCATGTTCGAGCTTTTCTCCAGCATTTGGTGGGCCGGTGCTCCTTCCGGTGTTCCGTAAGATGCGAATGGCTCTTCCTGCCACTCCCTGGATGCCCTGTTCCGGATCGTCTTTCGGCATGGTGTGTCTTGACTTGGTCCGACGCAGAGCACTCGAATTCCTGACGACGTCTTCAAATCGCTTCTCAAACCAGTAAAGCCGGACGAAGACAACGACAGTGTGGACAATGATGGGGTTGCAGAGCATGGCCAACAAGAACATCATGAATTGTTGGCCGAACCTGACGGTGTTAATGTCGATAGTATTAAGGCCGCTTTGAGTGCAGGCACCAGACGCAAAGAAGAGTGCATCGATGTACGGCATGCCGCCAATGCCATAGATGACGACCGAGCCGAACAGCGACATGCCTATCATGTACATATAGTGGATGGTGATGAAGTTGAAGCGTCTTTTGATGAAGACATCTGGGATGATGTTCTTCTTGCTAAATTCCCAGAATCTCACCGTCCATTCCCCGAGCATACCCATTTCTTCCACGGCGTTTCCCTAACCAGAACCAGTCTATGGAGGTGGTTCGACGGTGCTGGTATTCGTAACACGTGCGGTCTCGTGAGGGAGGTAGCAGGATCACGCCATGGCTAGGGCGTCGTTGGGGAGGCACAAGGAAGGAGCAACATAGGAGACAGATCGTGGGCTTGGGTCGCCATCCTTTTGAGAACTGCTAGATTTCGCAGCCCGATGTAGAAGGGCAGAATAGGGACTCAAGTCTGGATCTGGAGGTCACAGGAATTGAAGGTGAAGCATGCGTCGAGACCATGACGCCAAGTGCCAACAAGGCAGTGAGCCACTTGCGAGCCACTCACTGCCACGGCTGGAAAACTTTACGCGCGTTTTCGGGGCATCAGTCCTTCCAACAACCGGGTCCCGGGGCTCAGGCTTCCTGCCTAACGGCGCCCTGATGCGCCGCCACGAATGCTTGTTTTTGTGGCTGCGACTGAAATTACCGACATGTACCTCGTACCTGATTCCAGTCGCCCCAGTGCGCTTTACCGTCCATTCGCCATATCTCTACGGTACTCCATACCACCCGTAGCCACATCTACGACCAGTTACATGGGGGCAGAGAGCTTCGATTTACTCCCAGGTGCATGCGACGTTCCGCGTATCCATTTCTCATGGCTTCCTGCACTGGCGGCGTGCCTATCCAAACATATTTACATACCTCCATACTCAGCTCTGAGGATATGAGATACGTCTGGTTCAGTACACATCTTCCCAGGATTCGACAACGTTTGGCCCATCCGACACCTGCAGCAGGGCAATTGAAAATCATTCCTACCAGCGAACTTCTAAATGCACATCGTCTACAACAAGTCCAGTGAAGTGTTGCGTTCGCTACAGTTGTGTTCACTGGCATGAAGACTTGTCCCCACCCACACCGCCAGGTAATGAGGTATCCGTGAAGCCTGCCAACCAAATTCCCCCTTTCTGAAAAGATCAAAAATTAGCCTGGACCCGCCCGCTCAGACAGGACGTGATTTCGACCGTCGTGTAGGGCTCAGTATAATTTATAACGAATACGGGGGTTGCGTGATCTTGGGAAGATGGTCGCCATTGAGATTCTTGATCAGCTTGCCAATGCCCGAGTGGCTGTAGTCCTGATCATTCCACATGTCCTTGTGATACCGCACCTTGCCCTCGTTGTCCAGCGCCAACGACACCAGAGAATCAACTTCCTTGGTCGTGTTCAATACCTTGGGCGTGTAGGCCTGCCTCTGCTTGAAGATGATCTCTGTTGGCGTGTCCTTGACCACCTCGATCTTCTTGGTCTCAAGCTTGGCGAACATCTTGGGCAACCCGTACCACTGCCCAGCGATCTTGTATCGGATATCGCAGTATGACAGCGGGTCGTCGTAGATGGCCTTTTCGGCGTACACCGACATGTCCTTCTCGCTGGCGCTGCCGGAGTACAAGTTCGTGATTGACTTCACGATGGCTTCATGTTCGGGTGAGATCTTCAAGGACTTCTCTGGGTGAGGCTCGTAGTCGACGGCTTTGCCTTGATGGCCTACCAACTCCTGGGGGTCGGGATGAGGCTCATGCTTTCGATGGAGGTCTTCTGTTCCGGAACCGGGAGCTTCTGGCATTGTGAAGGTGTTGTGAACGGTAGTCTATTGATATGTCTGTGTTTCTCTTTTGGAGACAAAGGTTGCGCACAGAAGTTGAGGCGGAATACTTACCTAAGTGACAAATGCGACAAAACACACAATCATGACGACACCATACTCGGCACGAACCTTGTCATTCATTGGGCGGTGATACATCCATTTGACGTGAACTGGTGTCCTATGCCAATCCACGTTGTTTTGCAAGCGCATCTGAGAGATAATGGTCTGTGGGATGTGGTTGTAGCTTGGTCTCTTACGGTGGAGGTGCCCGGTAGCCATGAAAGCGAGGCCGGGATATACCTCCAGATGCATCCCGAAATGGCAATCTGCAGAGGATCCGATCAGTGAGCTCGTTGCAGCATACTCGTACTCACAGTGCGAACACGCAGAATATATAACCAAGATGGCACGGATGGCTCGAATCTGGTGATTTGTTTATTACAAATTTCCCACCACGCTTGCTCGTGTTCCTGTGCCTCGTCGTGGAAGCGCAATCCGGCTTCTGGACCGAGAAGAGTCCGCCCAATGGAACTCACGCTACGGAGTACGAGCACGCCGTACGAGTATGCTAAAGTAATTACCTACCTGGTACGTACCGTGGTATGACGCAGTTCTTGGACCGGAATTCAACTTCTCGACGAATACGAACGAGCCGAAAACAACGCTAAAACGCGGCCCGCCCAGTGGTGGGCGTCAATTCTGTGACTCTAATGGCAGACCCCCGACAGAGTGAATCTCTTCCTAACTGCCACACCGCACATTTCTGGACACTATTTCTCCCTGTCTTTTCACACGATACCCCGTCCTGCTGGATGTCGAGGCGTTCAAATGCTTTTCCTCCGGGCCTGGTAAAGGCCGCCATTCTCGTACCGCGGGCACGAATGGTCCATCGTCCATCGTAACTACACTAGTAGGTCGATCAACACCTCAAAACCTCATGCCAGCCGTCACGGACTTTAGCCTGGGAGATAAAGGAGATTCCCACCAAATTTGCCGGAGATATGGCCTGTGGCCTGTGGCCAGTTGGCCATACCCTTATGCAGCTGTCGATGCATCTCTGCATTTCTGCGTGGGGATCAACGAATACTAGGTATTTATCTATATCAGAGCAAGTGTCTTCGTTACAGTAACACCACCGTTCCCTTTCTCTTCTGTCCTGAAGCCCGTCCCAGAAACCACTGTTCCCTGTCTCTTCGTTCCCGCCCCAAGCACTCCCTTCTCCGAGGCAGGTATCTCCTTCAGGGACTACTAGCAAGATGCATAAGTCACCCGCAACCTCATCGACCTCGACCCTGACAGACGCTCCCACCCCCGACGTCGAAGGCCAAAAGACCCCGCATATCCCGCATTGGCGCCTCGTGGCGAGCCAGACGCTCATCACAGAGGCAGTCCTGAAATACCCCTACAAAGGCTCCGGCACGGACGATGACCCCTACGTCGTCGAATTCATCCCCGACGACCCTCGAAACCCCATGAACTGGCCGGACTGGAAGAAATGGTGCCTTACCATGACCGTCGCGGTCGCAGCCTTGGCCGTGGCGTTCGTGAGCACGGCCTACACGGCCGCCATCGAGCAAATCAACGAGGAGTTTGGGAGTTCTCAAGAGGTCGCCACGCTCGGCGTGGCTCTTTTCGTGCTTGGATTCGCGATCGGACCTCTACTATGGGCCCCACTGAGTGAATTATATGGCCGTCAGATTTTATTTTGTGGCACTTACGCCGTCCTCACCGTCTTCAACGCCGGCGCGGCGGGGGCAAATTCCATGGCGTCTCTCATCGTCATGCGGTTCCTGGCCGGCACGTTTGGGGCCTCGCCACTGACAAACGCCGGCGGTGTGGTTGCTGACATCTTTCCGGCCAAGCAACGCGGGATGGGCATGTCCGTTTTCGCCTCGGCGCCGTTTTTGGGCCCGAGTATCGGCCCCCTTGTCGGCGGGTTCGTCTCTCAGTCGGTCGGCTGGCGATGGTTAGAGGGCGTGATGGCCATCTTCTCCGGCGTCGTCTGCATCATCGGCAGCCTGGTGGTTCCTGAAACCTACGCTCCCCTCATCCTCTCCCGGCGCGCGAAGGCTCTGACGGCCCGAACCGGCAAAACTTACGTCTCGACCGTCGAGAAACGCCAAGGCAAAGTCACTCCGCGGGCGGCGTTCGAGAAAGCCCTGCTCCGCCCTTGGGTGTTGATGATCTTGGAACCCATCGTCCTGCTGATCTCCATCTACATGGCCATCCTGTACGGGACATTGTACATGCTCTTCGGGGCCTTCCCGATCGTCTTCGGCCGAGACCGCGGCTGGTCCCAGGGCATCAGCGGGTTAGCCTTCATCGGCGTCGCCGTCGGCATGACCCTCGGCATCATCTACTCCATCTTCGACAACAAGCGGTACGCGCGCGTCGAGCAAGAGCACAAAGGCGAAGCACCGCCCGAAGCGCGCCTCCCGCCTGCCATGGTCGGCGCCGTGGCTATCCCCATCGGCATGTTCGTGTTCGCGTGGACAAACTTCCCCTCCATCCACTGGATCGTGTGCATCATCGCGTCCGCGCCGTTCGGGTTCGGCGTGGTGCTCGTGTTCCTGGCGGCCATGAACTACCTGATCGATGCGTACGTCATCTACGCGGCCAGCGTGCTCGCGGCGAGCAGCATGCTGCGCTCCCTCTTCGGGGCCATCTTCCCGCTCTTCACCGTCCAGATGTACAACAACCTGGGCATCCACTGGGCGAGCACCATCCCGGCATTCCTGGCGCTGGCGTGTGCGCCCTTCCCCTTCATCTTCTACAAGTATGGCGAGGCCATACGCTTGAAATGTAAATACGCCGCTGAAGCCCACGACGCCTTGCAACAGTTAAGACGGAGCAGGAAGATGGACGAGGACGAAGAGCGTGCGAATCGAGCAGGGGACCACGAAGATGTTGGGAAACAAGTGCACATGCGGGTCGAGGTTGGAGATGCAGATGGAAATGGCCAAGTCGAAACCGGAGCAGACCGCAGGGACGACGAGATCATGATCGAGAAGGACAAGGTCGAGAACCGGGCCTGATTGCGCTGCATTACCTTTCGAGCGATTCAAGGCTGGGGCGTGGAGCCAGGCAACCTTTTAATTCAGATGCTCTTACTTCTGGCGATGGCGTTCCTGGACCACTCGAGACCTTTGAAGAGAAAGCCTGCATCAGGGCTTGAGGAGGCATAAACGGTCTGTACGGAGAACAGAGTCTAGTCCTAGTTTTTTGGACCCAGTCCCGCAAGTTGCATCTTGGGGATGATTCCCATGGCCCACCCTATCGAACACCCCTTTCGCCTCGGCCATGATCTACCGCCGTGCTCCCCCACTTCTTGAGTGACAGCATGAATAACCCCAGACAGCGCCATCGCTCAAGTCCAATACTTCCTCATGGGTATCATAGTCCCTTTGTGGGATCCTGCATGCGTAGTAGGGTATCAATGATCTATTCTTGTTTCTCGATGTCCGTTCGAGTTGTCCTCCTGACCGCCAGGCGATCGAAACCCCAAACCTCATCGGGTGCACCGTGCCGCGACATCATCGTCTTGGGTTGCCTGGCTTCTGACGTCGAGGCCTCCGTTAGAGGCGTTCCGCTGGACGGATCTGATGATGCCTTCGTCCGAGATGACGAGGCTTCGGTCGTATCAGACGGACCGGACAGGGTTGTTTCAGCTGGTTTCCTCGATGCTGAAGCTTCACCTCTGACGGTTCCACTTGTTTGTTGCGATGTGACTTCTTGTGCCAAAGAAGGCTCTTCGGGGAAGTTCACTTTCGGAAGTACAGCCCTTGTAGGTTTCACTCGCTGTGACTCCGTGGCAAAGAGCTGCTCCAGCTCCAACATTGGTGTCTTGGATAAGGCTGTGTCGGTGGCATAGTTGTTCTTGAAGAGTAACTCGTGGTTGAGCTGTGGACGAGGCCAACTTCGCGGTCTTCTTGCTGAATCTGTGACCACGTTGCCAGCCTGTAGCATACAGATCGCTACTACGCGATCTTCTCGTGCTGGGTGGAAACGCGATTCAACGACACCACTGCACATGTAAGTCAGTGAACGGGCCAGAATGGCACTCTAGGATCGACTCACAGAAATCCTCCATGTCCCTCTTCTTGAGCACCTTATTGCCCCTAGATCGGCGTCCGTGGACAATGTCATTGAATTTGACACTGTCCTGCAAAAGGTAGTACACGCCAGCCATGACACAGAACACGCCAAATGAATACAACCAAACGCGGACGACTCCGACAATGCTTGTTCGTCCGTCGGCGAACCATCCAAAAATACAGAAAAGAGTTGCAAGAATGTCAACAAGCAAGATTGCTGCAAAGAGTTGCCATGAAGGGGCGCTCGACCAGAAAGGACCGTTCGCACGGGTGATGAAGATCAACCAATTCTCCGACAGACAGATCTGAAGGAACAAAATGGAATCTTTGTGCCCAAAGTTCTGCCCGATACCGGCATGTTCCCCACCAACAATCATCGTGGTCAACGCAATCCAAGTTCCCGCAGCCAGGACGATACCTAGTAGAATGGACATGCCCCATAGCTTGGGCAGGTTCCACTTGACCGGTGTTTTCGAATAAGGTGCATTGTCATATGCAATTGCGAGAGTGGCGATATCGGCAAAGATTGCAATGAAGACGACCAGTTCGAGGTTCATGGACCGGTTCTGAATGGCGATCCACAACCCGAGGAAGATCTCCAGGTGAAGTGAAAGGGCAATGCGGTAAACAATGTAGGCGTACATACGATGAAAGATCTGGCGAGATGTCTTCAATGCGTCGATAATGGCAGATAGCCCTGGAGCCAGGAAAACAATGTCAGCAGCCGATCGGGCTGCATCGGAGGAGCCTTCGACGGCAATGCCAGTGTTCGCCTTCTTCAGGGAGGGGGCATCATTGACACCATCGCCCGTCATCGCCACTAGGTAACCTCGCTGCTGGAGGATCTCCACGACATTATATTTGTGCTGAGGGAAGACTTCTGCGAACCCATCAGCTGCCTCGACAAAGTCATAGACCTCTGAGCCAGGCATGGTGCCACCGCCGGAGAGCCCGAGGCGGTCGGCGTTGAAGACGTTTGTTCCCAGTCCGAGCTGCCGAGACATCTCTCGCGCAATGCCGACAGCATCGCCAGTCAACATTTTGATAGAAAGCCCCAGGGACTTCGCTTCATTGATGGTCTTTGCTGTGTCATATCGAGGTGGATCGGCGCATGGCATGATGCCCAGGATCTCCCAAGAGTGGTCACCTCGCTTTCGAGCAACGCCCAGAGAACGAAAACCTCTAGCTGCGAACTCCGCGACTTTGTTCTTGTATGCAATATCGATTTCCTCAGGAATAGGGTGGTCGTCTTCGACAGTCCGCAGCACAAAAAGTGGTGCTCCTTTGACGCAGATTATGCGTTCACCTGAAGGTGATTCGACCACGGCGCTCACTTTCTTCGAGACCGGATCGAACGGTGTGAACTGCACCACTTTGTATTTGGACAAAGCTTTTTTAGCTCGAGGATAGTACCGCAGGGCCTTGAGAAACGCCTTGTCGATAGCATCCATGCCCTTCCTTTTTCTAGACGCAGCGAGACATGCAGTGAGCATCATATCCTCAGGGTCGACGCCCTGCACAGTGTAAGGTTCGTGGAGGGATAGCTTGTTCTTCGTCAAGGTACCGGTCTTGTCTGTGCAGAGAATCTGGACCCCAGCGAGCGACTCAATCGCCGACAGTTTCTGGACGATTGCCTTCTTCTTTGCCAGATATGCGGCACCAACAGCCATAGTGGTAGTGACAACGGCTGGGAGACCTACAGGCACACCGATAATGGTTATCGCCAGGGTGAACCTGAGGATGGTGACGATGTCATTGGAGCGATAGAAGGATGAGACCCAGACCACAAGCAGTGTTAAGACCACAAGCGTTAGCAGGACTGTGCCAATTCCGTTGAGGACCTCGGTGAAATGACCTTTGCTACCTGATGCAGCGTTGACGAGAGCGGCAGCTCGACCGACGAAAGAGTTATCCCCTGTTGCCGTGACTATCATGAATGCCGACCCCCGCTTCACGGCCGATGAAGCGTAACAAGTGTCGCCCAAGTGCTTGTCGGCTGCCAGGGACTCGCCAGTGATGGAGGACTGGTCGACTTGCAAGTAAGCATCCTCAGTGACGAGACGACCGTCGGCTGGTACGATTGTCCCTTCGTCCAATTGGAGGATATCTCCTGGAACAACCATGGGGGCTTCTATCTCGATCAGGCGGCCTTCTCGAAGGACCACCGCCTTGAGAGCAAGGGTCTTCTTGAGCTCTTCCACAGTCGAGGCCGCTTGGAATTCCTGAATGAACCCGACACTGGCGTTGAGCAAGAGCAGACCACAAACGACGCCAAAGTCGACCCAATTTTCCAAGCCGGCAGCGAGGATTGCGGCAGCCTGTGGGACAAGATGTCAGTACAAGCATTGCCGAGATGGGTAATCGCATGCACCCATACCTCCATGACAAATTGAATGGGACCGACAAAATAGCCCAGAAACTTCAACAGCAAGTTTTCCTTCTCTACCTTCATCTGATTGAGACCATATTTCTTTCGTCTAGCGATGACTTCCGGCTCAATCAGGCCCACTCGGGTGTCGGTTTGAAGGAGTTCCTCAGGTACATTTCGAGCACCGGCCACGGTCTCAATTTCGGCTTCGAGTTCGGCATCTGGATCGAGAGATTCGAGCTCTTCGATGAGCGCGTCGAGATCCTCTTCCTCATCATCTTCCTCTTTCTCTTTCCTCGAGGCTCGCCGAGGCGTGAACAGGACGTCCGGTCTCTCGTCCAGAGGAATGTTATGCACACTCACTTGGAGTTGAGGTTCTGATTTATTGGGGGAAGAGTCGGTGGATGCAGCGTCGCTGACGTCGGAAGCGTTGTCTACCATATTTGGCTAAGATAAAGGGAGGTAAATGGTAAGTGTGCTATGTCAACTCCATTTGCGTAACGCGGTGTGAGGATGAGGATGAAAACGCGAAGATAGAAGTGAATGACAGCGATCAATCCTTGGGCTGACGAAGGCACAAGACCTGCAGTTCCCAGGCCGTCGCGATGGACGCTCCGTTCCCAGGCAGGATGAACGGATTTGTGTAATATAGTAAGGCGAGTGGAAAGTGCGATGAAAGTGATTGCAGGTCGCAATCACGTCCGAAGGTGACGGCGTAGAAAGTTCGGGGAGAGGCCAACCCCCGCAATCTCGTGTCTCCCATTCGTACTTGGGCGCGGCCTCGAGCGCCGATCGGAAGAGCAGAGATCCATTCAAGCTCCCCGGAACCAATCGGTCAACCCACCCCATCCTCACAGCGACTTCACATGTGGCTTCCATGCATGTTAGTTTTCTTGGTCTTTCTGCTTGGCGCCTTTGCCTCCAAGACTCATAGAGTCTAGTGACCGAGACAGTGCTAGGCGTTAAAGCCTTATCCGCTGGCACTATCAGCATCTTGACATGCCAGAAATCAATGGAGCGATGGGATCATGAGACAGGCAGTGGCCGGCGAAGACTCCTTCAGGCGGATGTCGGGTTTGTGTGACCAGAGATGAGAATGTTCTTCTGGGTACGGAGTACGGAGTACACAGTCAGCGTTGGGTCGAGGCCACGTGTGTAGCACGTGGATGCCGCCTACAATTTCACAGTCCCCATTCACCGCCTTGTTTTTCCTCGCAGTATGTATTATTCTCGGCCTCTATGGAGCAAGATCGATGTTGAACAGGTGAGAAACTGATGGCGGTGCCACCAACGATACACTTGGATTGCAGTGCTTCCCATTCACAGATGAACAGTGAAGCTCGAAGGAGAAGCGTGTTTGGAAACCCTTCCGAACTCTCGCGGCGCGCACTTTTCTGTTCCAGCATCCTCCCCTCGCTGCAAGCTTCCTAATGTTAACGCAAAGCATAGACACTGAGAGTCTCTCAGAACCTTTACAATTTTCAATGCAAGACGATGTTCAAGAAGAAAAAAGGATTTGCCGTAATGAACAACCAACCAGGCCATCCCGCCTTTTCGCCACGACGCCTCGATAAGCTGGTTATTAGATATGTGCAGTTCATGTCATGATCCGTGCCTCAAGTCATGATAGCCATCACCCCCAACACCCTGCTTGTTGGTACCCAGCTCGAGGTCTGCCTTCATTATCATGTCGCTTGTCTATTCTTGGTTCTGTTGCGGCTGGAAGTTGGGCAGCTGAAACCCAGGTGGGAAGGCAGGCATGCCAGGCATGTTGCTGAAATTCATGGGAAAGGGCATGTTTGGCATGACACCAACTGGCATATTGTTCGGGTTGTTGGAGTTTCGGTCGTCTCGATCTCGGCGATTGCTATCTCTAAATCTGTTGTCGTCACGACCCTCAAAGTTGCGAGAAGACTGTGGGCCTCGTCGTCCACCACTGTCGGTAGCAATACGTCTACTCATGGCTACATCGGAGTCAGATCATCATAGCGAGAAAAGGTCGTAGAGTACCTACCTTTGGAGGAAACACCAGCACCGATTTCGATGTCGGGCTCCTCAACCACCATGCCTTCTTGGATTGGTGCTCCACCCGTCCCGCCATATTCGGCGGTGAGGAGCCATTTGCGATCGGCATCCGTGAGGCGTTCGATCGGAATGACGCTAACGCCAGTTTGATAGTCGCTGCAGTCACGTGGTCCAAAGCCAACGCCCCATTTGGTCTGCAGCTAAATTGTCAGTTCAGCTAGATTTCGCCGAGATCAGGAACCAGGTTCTTGACTTACGCGAAGTTGCATGTCTCCCGACTTGTGCTCTTCCATACCCGCCCGGGCACTTTCAGCATCTTTGCGATTGATCATCTTGATGAAAGCATGGCGTTTGTCGATGTTGACAATGCAGGTTTGCACAATACCATAGGCACTGAACAAGCTCCGCAAATGAGCCTCCGACGAGGTGACACCTCCAACAAAGAGTGTTCGACTGAAAACTTTGATGTGGCCTCTAGGAAGTGTAGAATCGAACTGGACGGTCTTTGGGCCTGGTGGAGGGAGTTTGAAATCGCCCGCAGGTGAAGGGCTTCGACGTCTATTCCTCACCGGGCTGCGCTGGCGGTACTCACCACGTCTACCGTCGCGGTCATTACGATAGCCGTCAGCTCCGGGACTATCTCGACGACCACGTCGCGGAGACAGTTCGCGACGCCTATCGAAGCCAGGAGAGCGTGACCGACGTCGATACTGGTTGGGAGGGGAGCGGGTTTGGCCGTCACGTGATTGTCCTTGAGCCCAATTGTTTCCCGACACAGCGGGCGGGACAGTCGCACCACCACCGCCATTTGCCAGCAACTGTAGAGCAGTAGCCCATTGATCAGGAGGCACACCCTGAGCGGCCAAAATCTGCAGAAGCTGGAATTGCATTTGTGCTTGAGGATCTTGGCCTAGAGGAGCAGATGGCTGTGGCACTGCCAGAGCGGGAGCTTGTTGAGGCAAGAAAGCAGCAAGCGGATTCGCAGGTACATTTGCAGGACTCTGGCTTTGTACACCATTATTCAACCCAGCAAATAGAGCTCCAAGCGGGTTTACGGCCTGCCCACCAGCGACACCAGAAGCAGATCCCGGGATTACGGTACTGTTCGGTTGAGGGATCCCATTTTGCGCGCCTAAGAGATTATTCAAACTAGCTTGCGCGGGTGCCGGTGCAGCTGGTTGCGCTGCAGAGTTCTGTTTCGCCATGTTTTTGAGGGCTTCCAGAATGGCTGAGGTGTCCTGTTGCTGTGGAGGAGGCTTCGCTGCAACAGTATCAGTATGTGCTGCGTGCCCGAGTGGTACGAAACCGGGGGCTGGTGATCCCTCGGGTGTGGTCGAAACTACATTAGGATTAGAATGGCGCCCGTACAGAGGAAGAGCGAATATTGGTATACCTTTGGGTGCATCTAGTTTCTCTTTGAGTGAAGCAAGCAGTGGTGCAGGAAATGTGTTTGATCGTTCCCAGATTTCCAGGAGTTTCTTGATTTTGACCTAATAACCAAGAAGAGAGGTGAGTTCGGTTCAAAGAAGCTAGCAAACAGTGAATGATCATGAATAAACAAGCACCGAAAGGCCTGCCTCACGCAAAGGGGAGGGAATGCTACGTCCGCTGCTGGTTTAACGGTGCGGTAGACATGATAAGCATACCTTTTGGTCGTCGGGCGCAGTGGCGATAATATCGTTCATGAGCACGGGCAGCAGTTCGGTCACTCGAGTCACACCAGCAGCAAAGGTCCCATCAGGAGCTCCGCTACCCAGCTGTTGACCTGACTTTTTGGCCTGATCTACCCATTGTCGCGTCACTGAGTCTAGAACGTAGAGTACTCCTAGTTTGTGTGTTCCTGGCGTCTTCTTGAAGTGGGTATAGAGTTTCTGAATGAGGACTGATTCGGACTATGACGGGGTCAGTTTTCAGGCGGTGCAGGCGGGCCCAAAGAATAGATCGACGTACTTGAACATTTGCTGTACACAGGGTGGTGATGGATGTGATCTTAGAACCGGATACTCCGGGCGGTTTGAGATTGAGCATGGACTGCAAGATCGAGTCCAGCTCCGCTACGGCGGAAGACATGGTGTACCAGTAATGCGCCTACAGCCGTCTAGAGGACGATTGCTTTGCAAGATAGAGATGCTCTGACTAGAGAGGAGGCACCAAGCAGGTCGAGTCGATCCGATCTAGGCGAGTTCAAGAATGCCCCAGGAAGAGATTTTTATGGACTTCAGACACAGCTGAAGTAGAGGTGAATCGCAATGCAGTTGTGTGACACTTTCTTCTCGTCTTCTCCTTCTTATTGTAGGATGCGGCCCTCGCACGAGGACTTCTACAGCGCGTGTGGCAACTGCGACAGGCAGTGGCAGGACCGAGGAACTAGCGACGGTACGCAGCAGAGGTGAAGTACCCGTGACGAATTCTTTTACAATCTGATGACACTATTGAGCAGCATAGACGGCGAAAGGGATGGAGCGCGATGGGTGATGAGTCGATGGTGATGGATGAACGGGTGGTAAGGTGGAGGAAAGAGGAGGTTGAAGATCAAAATGGCCGGCAGACGAAGAGCGGAGATTTTGACGCAGTACGAGTACTCCGAAAGAGGGCAGCCAAATCCGGGAAGGAAGAGATTTGTTCCGCATATCAGGTGACTTTCGCACACAAGGAACTTCGGACTGCGAAGCTCGGATGTGAGCTGCTGGATGAAGGGGAGCTAGCTCCCTGTGGCTTGCGGAGCACCGCTGTTGGCTGGTTGCAGCACCTCAAATGGCAACGACGTAAGGTTCAGTTGAAGGACCACCTATCCGAACCTTGCGCGCGGCCCCATCTCAATCGAGGGTTCTCATCATCTTGCAGCTTTCTCCTCCCTAAATTTGTTTTGCTATCTGCACCTTTTTTCCCGCAGTGCTTCACGATCCTTGACGTAACTTTCGTCCTGCCTGTACCAGCCTGCCTTTCTTCAGTCACGTCTCCTTGCTACCACGATGGCCTCTTCACTACGCTTGGGGAGCTTCCTGCTCCGATCTTCGACCCGGCCTCTTGTCCAAAAGGCCGCATTCAATGGCGTCCGCGCCGCGAGTACACAGGTAAGCTTACCTAGGAGCCAGTTGAGAGCTTCCTCGCTGACTGTAGCTGTTTCATAGACTCTGAAAGAGGTCTTCGCTGCCAAGCTCCCAGGAGAGGTCGAGAAAGTCAAGAAGCTGAGGAAGGACTATGGCAACAAAGTCATTGGCGAGGTCACCCTAGATCAAGTCTACGGCGGTGCTCGAGGCATCAAGTCGTTGGTCTGGGAAGGATCTGTCCTCGACTCGGAAGAGGGTATCCGATTCCGGGGCCGAACCATTCCGGAATGCCAGGAAGCCCTTCCCAAAGCTCCTGGCGGCGAAGAGCCCCTGCCCGAAGGTCTCTTCTGGCTCCTCTTGACCGGCGAGGTCCCCTCTGAGCAGCAGGTCCGCGACCTGTCCGCCGACTGGGCTGCACGGTCGGATCTGCCCAAATTCGTCGAAGAGCTCATCGATCGCTGCCCCAGCGACATGCACCCTATGGCACAGTTCTCCATCGCCGTTGTTGCTCTCGAGCACACCTCCGAGTTCGCCAAAGCCTATGCCAAGGGCATCAACAAGAAAGAATACTGGCAATACACATTCGAAGACTCGATGAACCTGATTGCCAAGCTGCCAACCATCGCAGCTAAGATCTACCGCAATGCATACAAGGACGGCAAGGTCGCTCCTATCCAGAAAGACAAGGACTATGGCTTCAACTTGGCCAATCAGCTTGGCTACGGTGAGGACGCAGACTTTGTTGAGCTCATGCGTCTGTACCTCACCATCCACTCTGACCATGAGGGTGGTAATGTGAGCGCTCACACCACCCATCTGGTCGGTAGCGCCTTGAGCTCTCCCATGCTGTCGCTGGCTGCCGGTCTTAACGGCCTGGCTGGTCCTCTCCACGGCTTGGCCAATCAGGAAGTCTTGAACTGGCTCACCAAGATGAAGCAGCACATCGGTGACGACCTCAGTGACCAGAAGATCACCGAATACTTGTGGGAGACCCTCAACGGCGGTCGTGTCGTCCCTGGTTATGGTCATGCTGTCCTCCGCAAGACTGACCCTCGTTATGTGTCACAACGCGAGTTCGCCTTGCGCAAGCTTCCCAACGACCCCATGTTCAAGCTTGTCAGCCAGGTCTACAAGATTGCCCCCGGTGTCTTGACCGAGCACGGCAAGACCAAGAACCCGTACCCCAACGTTGATGCCGTAAGTCGTGCCCAAATTCCGACATTCCTGCTTGTACTCGGTACTAACACGTGATTTAGCACTCCGGTGTCCTTCTGCAATACTACGGCTTGACTGAAGCCAACTACTACACGGTTCTCTTTGGCGTCTCCCGCGCTCTCGGTGTGTTGCCGCAGCTCATCATCGATCGTGCTCTCGGTGCTCCTATCGAGCGACCCAAGTCATTCAGCACGGATGCTTATGCGAAGTTGGTTGGCGCTTCGTTGTAGACTTAGGTCTAGGGAAAGAGTTGTACACCGCGAGCAGATTTCTATGTATCAAAAGGCGAAAGGTGACGGGCAATTGCGGGTGGCCTGTACGGCCAGGATGGGATCTTACCCGCCGGTCGATATGGCACTGTTTAATTGACGAGCGCTGTTGGATGCAGATTTGACGTCTACTTCGACTCCCGCGTCTTCTTACAATTAAAAACTGCTATATCTCAGTCTTGTTATAGTCCTGTAAGGCTCAGCTGACGTTCCACAGTCAGTGGATAGCCACGGACTGTGCGAGGTACTGCTGTAGAGGCGTGTGACGGACCGGGATCAATCTTGGGAAACTTTTATTTTCGGATGTTGAGATCGAGAGGGCCCGTTGGGTGGCCCTAGCTGGCAAAACAGGGGCCCATCGACCCACAATTTAGGGAGGCGGCGGCCGAAGCAACAAGCGGGCCATGCCTGAGGAACCCTGAGGAGCCCTCAACACGCCGAAGCCACAGCCACACTAATCTTGTTTTGGCCCGTATGGGGGTTTCGTCGAGGTGCCTGCGCCGATATGCTGCTGGACGAAAGATCTCACAGTTCTTCTTTCACCGAAGGACTTCTTACAGCTGAACAACCCAACTCCGAACGCCTGCAAACATCATTGTCTTGTCAGATCACCTCCGTCTCTTGTGGCTTAGTCTCCGCTCCTGCTTTTTGTCTGCGTGGTACATTCGTCTATACTCGTTTCTTGTCTGCACCTTGTCCTTCATTCATTTCCTAATTCCCGAGGCGACGAAGCCCTCATACTCCCTTGGTCAGGGTAGACAATACCACACCTCTTCCAGCGATGTCCACTCAAGCTGTCATGGCCCCTGCGCCTGGGCCGCAGAAAATCGAGAAGAAGCCCGTCAAGTTCAGCAACCTGCTCCTCGGTGCTGGTCTCAACTTGTTTGAGGTCACCACCCTTGGACAGCCTCTAGAAGTGGTCAAGACGACCATGGCCGCCCACCGATCAGACACATTCGCCGGTGCCATGACGCGGATATGGGGTCGCGGTGGTGTCTTTGGCTGTAAGTCATGGGGTTCGGCGGCTGAGAAATGAGAAGCGCCTCGGCTAACTGAGATGTTCGCCGGATAGTCTACCAAGGTCTCATCCCATGGGCCTGGATCGAAGCCTCCACCAAAGGCGCCGTCCTCCTGTTCGTGGCCTCTGAGGCCGAGTACTACGCGAAGACCTTCGGCGCCGGCAACTTCGTGGCCGGGATCACGGGCGGTATGGTCGGCGGGTTGGCCCAAGCCTACGCGACCATGGGGTTCTGCACATGCATGAAGACCGTGGAGATCACACAGCACAAGATGGCCGCGCAGGGCATCAAGCCTCCCTCGACGTTCACCACCTTTGCCGACATCTACAGAAAAGAAGGCATCCGGGGGATCAACAAGGGCGTCAACGCCGTCGCCATCCGTCAGGTCACCAACTGGGGATCCCGGTTCGGTCTCTCTAGACTGGCAGAGCAGGGGATCCGGAAAGTCACGGGCAAAGAGAACGGCGAGAAGATGAGCGCATTCGAAAAGATTCTTGCCAGCGGTCTGGGCGGTGGTCTCTCCGCCTGGAACCAGCCCATCGAGGTCATCCGTGTCGAGATGCAGAGCAAGTCGGCGGATCCCAACCGGCCGAAGAACTTGACCGTGGGCAAGACGTTAAACTACATCTACAGCAACAACGGGATCAAGGGTCTATATCGTGGCGTCGCTCCTCGTATAGGTCTTGGTGTTTGGCAGACCATTTGCATGGTTGCGTTGGGTGATATGTAAGTGCCCGACTTGTCCCTTACACACCTCATTGAGAACACTGGCTTACAAAAATCCAACAGTGCAAAGGAGGCCGTTGAGAAACTCACCGGTGAGAAAGTCACCGCGAAGCACTAGGCAGTGTCCTGTCCTGGGTAGAGTGCTTGATGTCCATTGGATGGAGGCATGAGTGCAAAGTGCGAAGCGTGGAGCTATTGGGTACAGGCTAGCCGCTGGACGTTCAATGAACGCTCCCAAGACACCAGCATGCTTCTTTTCCCGCCTTTTGCACAAGAGGCGGTTACTGATAGAATTCGGGCAGCCGGCGCATCCTGGCGTTTCTGTCCCATTTTTTTCCACATGAAACCTGCTTTATCTTCTCCCCATCTTATCGGCTTTTCTAGTGCTTCTTTGCTTGGTTTTAGTTGGCCCATGGGATGCTGGTGTTGGTGGTAGTGTGTTTGGGATCTTGTCATGTCTGAAGGCTGGGTATAGATAGGAAAGGATGACCGCCGAAGAAGGGCCCAGCCCGACTTGGTGGCCTCGTTTTTCTTTGCAACAGGCAGGGGTCTGGAGGGTCGAGCATGCAGGACACGAGGAACCAAAAGTTGTCAATGAATGATCTGTTTCTAGAGCGCTGTGGCCTAGTCGTGCTTCTGCCTTGACTTTGATCCCATGCCAGGCCATGCCTCCGGTCCCGACAAGGTGGGTCGCCGTAATGAATATCGAATGTCAGGGCGTAAAGGTGCTTGCTGGTAAAACCGTGTCGACGAATCCCTGCCTCCGTTGTGGCCAGTATTTACATTCTAATGGAGTCATGCTCTACTACTTCTGGTACACCTCTGTGGCACTGCTTAGAAAGTGTATCGTACGCCTTGCTCGGCTAGAAGACCTGCAAGGCGACTTTGACCTTCAAGCCAGGTTACCGAGCACATCTACGCCTACCTTTCACAAAGGCTTCACTTGTCCTTCCCCTGGTCGGGCTTCGGAAAGTACCGCCATGTTGGAATATCAGCCTCAGGTGAAAGGGGACGTGTCCATGAAGCAGTGAAGTGAAGTGAAGAAAGTGTCATTGGCAATACGTGACGCGGTGGCCTGAACGTGAATATCGCTGCCGCCATCTTTCTCGCGTTATAACGGGGTCCTTCTTTATCGTTCGTGGCTTTCTCTACCTTGTCAGCCTCAACATTTCTTTCGACAACGACCTTCTCTCCGTGCAATCACTTCTCAGACAAGCCGTCGACAACATCACTTCTGCTCTGATCAACATGGCATTCATTGTCAAGAACCTGATTCTCGTGCTGACGCTTGCATTCCTGACCCACATCAACCTCTCTGTCGCAAGCGCCTTGCCCCCTGCCGGAGGTCTTCGGATCGACATGACCAACTCTCTCGTTGCTCGCAACACCAGCATGGAAGCCGCCTGCCCTGCTGGTCAGTCCCCAAATCAAGCTGGCTGGTGAGTCTCGTTTGTCACCTCCGTGGCTCTTCTCATCTCTGCGTCAATTTCCGGTTACTGTTACCCGACGCCCGGGCTGGTGGACCACTTCGCCAGCCTATGCTGGAGTGAAAAAAGTGCTAACAGGCCGTGTGATCCAGCTCGACCTGCGCTGAGTGCTGTATCTTTCAACTCAACGACGCCGGCTGTGGCCAACATTGTGAGTGTCCCAAGCCACCTCTCTCAGATCGTAGTGTCATTGGACGGACACTAACAACAATCTTAGCGGTCGAGGAACTCGTCGTCAATGACTATGCCTGCCATCCGCTTTGGATTGGCATGAACAACGTCTGGATCTCCGAGTGTACCGGTTCCTTTGCCGAGTGCATGTTGTACAGCAAAGATGACTGCACGGGTGATGGCTCTTGGGATATTACCAACGAGCAAGACTACTGCCACCACACCCAGTACTGGATCAAGAGCATTCGGTGCTATGAGGATTCTGGTCCCGATGCAAAGCGCCGAACTTGAGAGTTTGTGGCTAGGCGAGGAAATGTGCGCCTAGGGTTGCTGCTGAGACGAGGTGGTCTGGTGACATGAACCTCAGATGAGGCAAAAAGGCGACGATGAGCACAAGTGGTGCGTGTAGCGGAGTATTACCGTCGAGATGCGAACCCTTCGCAGTGCCGGGAAACTCCCGTGGTCGGATTGCTTTGAGGCGGGCTGCTTTGCTGCGGACAGCTTCGGGGCAGACTGACCTGAGCTGGCATCTCTAGGTCTTGTGGTGTCTTGCGACCTGACCAAGAGAGTCGGGCACCGTAGCTTTCTGGTGTGCCCGACAAGGCACTGCTGCTGTCCATAGCTGAGCGAGGATAGCGGTTGGAAGCGAGTGCTGGAGCAGCTCATAAGCTCGAGAACAAATGACAGGGTGGCTCCGTGGCCTCATCCGCATAGTTTCCAAGACATCTCATGGCAAAACGATGTACTTCTGCAGATGCGTCGGAATCGCGTCCCTCAAATTCTTACTCTTTAACCATTTGTCACTGAACAGTCTGTCCGCATACCGGTACGCGCCATCACATAGCATAGTGACAACTGTATGGTTCGGACCCAACTTCTCAGCGACTTCCTTTGCGGCAACAACGTTCAAAGCGCTGCTTGCTCCGAGGTAGAGACCCTCCTCATCGAGGCAGCGATAGACCATCTCTATGGTCTTTTCATCGGAGATGTTGACTGAGCCGTCAAGTTCATGGACTTCTTGCTTCAGATTATCAGTGACGCGACCTTGACCGATCCCTTCGGTTATACTACCGCCGGATCGTTCCTTCAATTGCCCACCGGATTGGATATATGAGTGCAATACCGATCCCGGGGGATCTGCCAGGAATGATTTGACCGATCCGTTGCTGACATCCTTCAGAAAGCGAGTCACACCAGCAAGCGTTCCACCCGTCCCGGTTGCGCAGGTAAACGCATCGAGCTTCCCATCTGTTTGCGCCCAGATCTCCGGTCCTGTGGTCTCAATATGCGCTCTCCGGTTCGCAGTATTGTCGAACTGGTTCGTCCACACGGCGCCGTGCTCGGGATCTTCTTTCAATAATCTCTCGGCATGCCGTTTTGCTTGCCAGTTATAGTTCTCTGGGTTTTCCCACGCGACGGCCGGGACAGGGTACACTTCAGCGCCCAGCAATCTCAACAGATCAATCTTGCCTTGGGATTGCGTGTTGGGCATGTAAATCACAAGGTTATATCCTTTTGCTCGACACACATGGGCCAGGCCAATACCAGTGTTTCCGGCTGTTCCTTCCACAACAGTGCCGCCGGGCTTGAGCAGACCGCGTTCTTCAGCATCTTTGACGACGTATAGTGCGGCTCGATCCTTCACACTGCCGCCAGGATTTTGGAACTCGGCTTTGCCTAGGACGTTGCAGCCAGTCTGTTCGGAGAGCTTCTTCAGGCGGATGAGGGGAGTGTTGCCGATAGCTACAACAGTTAGCATTGAGCCTGTAACCTAGTGGTTCGTGTCGAAGTCGCACCTCCGGCAAACGTGTCTACCACGCCCTGAGCTTTCGACACGCGAATCCCATACGCATTGACTGTTGGCTCGGCAGCTGCTGCCCGCACGGCCGTGGTCGCAAAGCGTCGGACTGATGTTCTTAATGCGCTCGCCATTTTGCAAGCGAAGATGGAGCCGGAAGACTCAAGGGGAAAACGTCCAAGAACTCTTTGCAGGATGGAGGCGAGCAGACGGTACTTCCAGCAAAGAGAGAAAAGTCCAAGGTGGGTTGGAAGGGCAAGTAAGAAAAGCTTCTCCAATTGCATCATTCATCGGTCCGAGGCACCGGCGCAAATGAGATTTCCGTCGATGACAGATCACAGCAGCGGTACTTACTTCGCACACCGTTATGTATACTACATCCTGTGCCGTGCTCCACGGCCTGCTACAAGGAGTTAAAGCAGCGCGCTGAGCATCCCATGGGTACGTGACACTCATTGTTTGAGGACAGCACGGCGGCACTCCCATCATCAACTTCACGCTTTCTATGTCGGTGGCAGCTCAGGCCAGAATGAACTGTGTGCCATCTACGGGAACAGAGGCCTTTCGCGCAAGGATTCAGGCCTCTCATCCCATGCAACCCGGCTTGAAGGAAAGTCTACCTTTCTTTGAGCTATCACCGAGCACGAGAAGGGAAAGCAGATGAAGAAAGATTCGCAGTCACCACGCATATGGTGTCGCCGGTACTGCGAGTGTCCAACTTCAATATTATCGTCGCTGCACACCACTGGGGCTGCGAATGAAGACAGCTTGAACAATGCCGCCGGAGTTGTCCGCTAACATGTACTTCTCCACGCCGGTATCTGCCTCTACAACCTGAGGGATAGAGACAAGGTTCATTCTACAAAAGGCAATTCTCTATGCACCACACTTGTTGTGCCTCTTGTGGTCGCGTAGTGCGATATTTACAGCATAGTCGGCGTGTCCATTCATTCCTCTCTTTTCAGTTCCCATTTTGTTTCAAACCACTACGACGGCATAAGAGTCCAGATCAGAATCCAACAAGCAATACAGCCCGGACCAAAGTACGCAATACGTTGAAGTGAGACTCATCGGTTTTGGCCCAGGCAGCCTCGCCCTCTCGGCGCATACTAACACTCGACTCCCAATAATGGACCTCGACCTTATCATCAAAAATGCAACGATCGTACGTATCGCCGACTGACTACCAGTCTACCCAATCGCCCACCCTGCCTCGTCCTGCCCCTGCAAAGAACGACATGGTAAGGCAAGGCTGAACTCCTATCCATCCCCTAGGTAACATCGACGGAAGTTCTCCCACCAGGTCTTAGTATCGGCATACAGGGCAGCAAAATCGTCGCCATCGCTCTGTCCCTTCCATGCTCGCCATCAACACGTGTCATCGACGCGGAGGGCGCATACGTAACTCCTGGGGGCGTGGACTCACACGTCCACCTGCACCAGGACAACGCGCCCACTGGGGACAAATGGTTGAGTGGCAGCCGGTCGGCACTCTGTGGAGGGAACACGACTATCCTCGCGTTCGCCACGCAGCAGCGCACCGACGAGAGTCTCTTCCCTGTTGTGCGTGACTATCACGCCAGAGCTGCAGGGCAGAGTTTCGTGGACTATGGGTTTCATCTGATCGTCTCGCGGCCCGGGCCTCATATCTTAGGCGGCCGTGTGGCGAGAGAGAAGATGGACAAGGAGGCGAATGTGGACGATTCAGAGGATGACAATGAAGGCGAGTTGAAAACCATGGTCGAGCAAGAAGGCATCACGAGCGTCAAGCTCTACATGACCTATCCGGCATATCGACTGGGTGACCGCGAGATGTTGGACGTTATGATGAAGTGTCGTGAGGTGGGCATGACGGTCATGGTGCACGCTGAGAATGCTGATATGATTGACATGTGAGTGGAAGGGAGGTGCCGGTGTCCCTGACTTTGACTGGGTCTCCGCGAGTGAACCACACTGAACATGCGCAACAGGATCACAACCCGCCTCCTCTCATCCTCCCACACTCAGCCCAAATACCACGCCGTGGCGCGGCCCCAGATCGCAGAGACAGAAGCCACCTACCGCGTCATCTCGCTGTCCACGCTCACCGCAACCCCGATCCTGATCGTCCACATGTCCAGCCCCGCGGCGCTATCACACGCCCGCAAAGCCCAATCCAAGCAGATGCTGCCCATCCACGCGGAGACCTGTCCGCACTACATGTTCCTGAAGAGCGACCGGCTAGCCGCGACGAGTCACCCGTTTGACGGGCACCAGCACTCCGACTCCCCCGCCCCCGAAGGGATAGACGACAACGAACAAGTTGACGAATGGGCCGGTGCACGGCACATTTGTGCCCCACCCCTCCGCCACGACGACAAGGACCTCCAATCCGTCTGGGACGCCGTCACCAACGGCACCATCACCGTGATTTCGTCCGACCACGCGCCCAGCCAATACCACAACCCGCTAGGCAAGAAGAAACCCCTCGACGAGTATGAATCCGGAAAGACGACCGTCAAGCCCAGCTTCGCCAACACGCCCAACGGCCTCCCCGGGATCGAGACGCGGCTGCCGCTTTTGTTTTCTGCGGCGACCGATCCCTCCGTGACTTCCAGCGCCACCCGAACACTTACGCTCCCCAAGTTCGTCGCGCTAACGAGCACGAACCCCGCGCGCATGTACGGCCTCGCGGGCCGCAAGGGCTCCATCGCCCCCGGGTATGACGCCGACTTGGTCGTGTGGTATCCGACGTCTCGGCGTGGAGCTGGAGAAGGCGCGTCACGGGATGAGTGGCCCATCGCTATCACCAACGACATGCTCCATCACAGCATCGATTACACGCCGTTCGAGGGCTTTCGGGTGACAAACTGGCCCAGGTATGTCCTGTTGAGGGGCCAGGTCAAGTGGAATCGAGAGTTGGAAGTAAAGCAGGGTCCGGGGCAAGGTATCCTCGGCCGGCCTGGGGATGGGGTGTTTTTGAAGAGAAACAAGGGTGAAGTCCTTGTCGGAAGGGCGGGCGGGGAGCCTGAGGGGATGAGAATGGGGGAGAGGGAGAGTTGGATGTGAGTGACCGAGCGAGGCGAGTGAGTGAGCGGGTAAGCGCGTGAGTGAGTGAGTGAATGAGTGACTGTTGTTTGATACGATGGTACTATTATATAAGTCTACTATTGTAGATATTACTGTAGACGTTAATGGGATATCAGAGAAGTGAGAAGGAGTAAAAAGCATCCTTATGCTTATGTTCGTCCTCATTCTCATATCGTCGTATGGCACGTTTCATTTTGCTAACAACGCCCACCCGCTCGTCGCGGTACTTTTTATGGTGGTACATAGAATAGTCCAGATTGATGAAGGCTCGCCACTCACGGCTCACGACTGAAGACGCTAGATCTGGCTCCCATTGAAAAAGTGCTCAGTATCACATAAACCCCAGCCTATGTCGCGTGCCTGAGTCGATAACTCATGCATACCCACGTCCTGAACTGTAGGTATTTCCTTTTCACGCTTATTTTCTTGCTGGTTGAAATCGCAACCTGGCGGGTTTATTCAAATCATTCCTCGTGCTTCCTTACTCCTCACGCCTCTCTTAGCGCGGCTCACTCCTCACGGCCGACTTTCGCTCGCTCCTCAGGGCTCGCTTTCCCTCGCCATCGTCAGTCCTTACTGCTCTTCACCTCGTCGACATGCCTCGCGCCCACGTCCTTCCAGTTCGTACTCAGTGCCGTGCCGTTACTTTCGTAAAACGATTTCATCATGGCGCGCCGCGTGTCGTCGTCCGCCCCGGCGTACAGTTTCTTGAAGAACCCGTCGACGGCGTCGCCGCCCATGTCTGAGTCGTAGGCGTCGTCGGCGTTGGCTTCGGCTTCGGAGGCTGAGGATCCGTCGGCCCTTGCCTTTTCCTTTGATGACGTCGATTGCTTTTGGCCACCCTTCCCCTTTGCCTGTGCGTCCGTTTTCAACTTTATCTGCGGCTTCGCCTTCGTCTTCGCCACGAGATCGTCGGCGAGTTTGTCCCAGTTTTTCGGGCCCGTGCGTGACGAAGTAGGGTACACGGGCGCTGTTTCTTTGGTTGCTGCCGTTGTCGTTGATGGGGGCGGCTGTGCAGAAGTGTCGGTACTCACCGCGGCTGGTTTGGCTGCGTGGTCGGCGTCGGCATCTTGCATGGTTGTGTCTGACGAGGACGTGGACGGTTTCAAGGGAGCGGTACCCTCCAGGTTGTGCCATTTCTGGCCTGGCTGTGCTTTCTTCAGCGTGAGTTCGACCTTTGTGGACAGCACTGCGCCCCTGCTTTGCGATGGGTCGATCAGGGCGAACAGCGGGTCGAGGACGAATGAGTAGGTCGAGGACGGATTTGACGGAAGAGGGAAGGATATGTGCACGGAGTCTTCGTGGATGTCGATCTCGCATTTGTCCTTTGGGACGGCCTTGACGTAGAGCGTTACCGTCACGGTCTGGGGCGACTGGTACCACTCGTGGCGGAGCTTGGTCGGGGTGGCAGGAATTGTGGTGTTAGACTCGGCTGATTTCGTGCTGCCGACGCCGCCGTTGGTGGTGCCATTTGTAGAGCTCGCTGCTGTGGCGGCTGAAGCAGAGTCTGTCTCCTTGGATTTGAGCTCGGCGTCGCCTTCGAATTTGAACGAGCCGTCCGCCGTGAGCTGCGACTGTAGCCACGCCCTCATCTTGGTCTCGCTCGGCAGCTCGATCTCGGGGTATTCCTTCTCGGTCGACACTTTTTCTGACTCAGGCACACCCTTCAACTTGTTCTCAATCCTAGCCATCCACATGTCCCACTCCATCTTGGCGGGCTTGCTGTCCTGCGGTCTCCACCGCTCGGTCGTCTCCAGAATGGCTTTGGCGTCGGCGTAGCGACCGAGGCCGTGGAGAGCCACGACTCTCCGCTGCTGCGCGGCTTGGATCTTCTCTCTCTTTGCACGTTTCTGGCCCAATAGCACCGCGTACTCTGCATCTTTGAGCGCGAAATCATGGCGTGGCGGGGAGAGTCGGGTGAATGCGATGGACCGCTGCGTGAAGTAGTCTGGTGAGGAAGGGTGGTCGATCAAGGCTTTGGTGTAGAATGTCAGGGCTGCGCGGTAGTCTTTCTCTGATACCGCCGCAGCGCCCTTTGCCGCGAAGTCCATTGTGAGTACAAATCTGGGGGAATGTAGACTGAGACGGCGGATACAGAAGTACACAGTAGACGGATGTTGCGTTTCAACATGAGCAGAATGCGGAGAACGATGGACGATTGTCCTCTTCCCCTCATGTCACCGATCAGCTCGGTGAGTCTCGAGCCGACGGAGAGAAAGTCATGGAATACTCAGTATCACGGGCATACGAGTAAGAGTTGCAGAACTATCTGCTCTGCTCGGCATTAACATTACACAGATAGGCTGGGCCCGCTCTCATTCCAAAGCTAGATAAGTAAGGGTGCTCTATTCATCCGGTACCAGCTTCGCACACAATATTCACAGCAACTACTTCTGCGCCTTACCCGTCTTCACCCTCCCGTTCCAACCCATTCTGACCTTCCATCTCTTCCGCCACTTCCTCGCCGCCCTCCTCATCCGTCTACTTGGATAGTTGACAGGACTCTCGCCACCGACAAATATGGCTGCGTCATACAAGAAACCACCAAAGATAGCCCCCATGATAGGTCCCAACCAGTTGACTTTGAACCAGTACCCATCACCGAACAAGGTGCTTGGCGTGCCATAACCGAGAAGGAGCATGGTGACCCGGGGACCGAAGTCTCGCACAGGGTTCATGGCCAGGCCTGTGACACTCCCGAATGACATGCCTAGCATGGTTATGAGCAGCCCGACTATGAATGCGTTCATCCCAGCGCCAGGAGGGGCGTTTGTATCGTCGCCCAGGGCGAGGACTGAGATTGTTAAGAGACATGTTGCCGTAAATTCGGTGAAAAATGCCACGGGAACGGAAACCCAAGGAGAGCGGGGAAATGTCAGGAAGTTCGACAGGACGGTGAATATGTACGACGGAGGCAATGTCAAATCTGATGCAATGTGGGCCATTCCTGTGTGCTGGTGAAGGGGTTGCACTGACTGCTGTTGGAGACTGCTCTGTCCGTCGTGCATCAACGCAAACAGCCCGGGCTGAAAGATTCCAAAACTGATCAAAGTCGCAAGCACTGCACCGAGCATCTGCGCGGCGACGTAGATCGGTACTTTGCTCAAGGGAAAGCCGCGGTAGATATACAACATGAGTGAGATTGCTGGATTCAAGTGAGCCCCGGATATGCCGCCAGCGACGTAGATCGCGAGCATGGTTGCCAGACCCCATGCCCACATTCCGGTGTCGCCTGCTCCGGCGGTGCCACGGGAGACAGTCATACTGAGGTTGGCGCTGAAGCCGAGAGTGTATTGAACTGTTATCTGTAGGGAAGCGCACAGTTAGTTGCTCGGGTTTGACTCTGGAAGACTGAGGACGGCCGAGTCGGACTTACCCCTAGTAGCTCGGCAAGTGGCTCGCGCAGCCGTAGCCTGATGATCGACCAGTATGTGTGCAGGTTGTGAATTTCGTCGTCTTCAGCGTCGTATGCTGGCAAAGGCACAGCATCTTCGTACGGTACTCGGGACTCCCCATCCTCCTGTTTGGCTGCCTTCAAGCCCGCCACGGCTTCAGGCAATGACAACTCGGGGGGTTCAACTTGTGGCTGCGCACTCGGTGATCGATCAGACGACTCTTCTTCGATAGGCTCTTCCAGCCGAACTCGAGCGCTGGGTGTCACAGTTGGTGCATCCGAAGTCCGTCTGGCTGCGGCGCCGCCAAAGGGTGAGAAGCCTGGCGACTCATTATGTTGGTTTTCATAGGCTCTGATGAGGGCAATCTCTCGCTCACGACGGATCGTGTCGAGCGTGGGCGCGACTCTATCCGGTCGGAGAGAAGGCTCGATCCTGCCGGCTTCGATATCAAAGGGAGGCTGTGCTTCGCCTTCCTCGGGCGCTCCGGTCTCGAGCTCGTCCTTTGTTGGGACCATTCCAGGTCTCAGTACGCGTGGTAGAGGTTTGGCCAGGCCCCATACAGGTCGTACATTGACAGGCTGGTCATATGCAGGATTGAGTTGTGCATATCCGGGGTCGACGTATGGCTGGTTTGCGGCTACTGTATCAATGGTCGCTGGACCCGCCAACGAAAACTTGCGCGACTCGGTGTCGGTATTGTCTCGAATCGACGGGGGTGCAATAGCAACAGACCGTCGAGTTGACATCTGGTCAAAGTGCCTCCAGCCATGTGTGGGACCCGGACTTGGACTCGTTGCCAGGTGGCTCATGCGATCGAGGTTGCTGACACGGTGCCGTAGACTTCCCGGCCCAAAGTTGAAATCGGCATATCTGGTACGAGGAGGCACTTGGGAAGTAGATCGAGATAGAGGCTCTTCTGCATAGTCTCTGGCAGCCACTCGGGACGTGGTTCTGGAAGCTACCCGAGAAATGTCATCCTGACTCGTGGAGCGCTCGTAATTATCCATATTTTCCAAAGAAATCCCTGGGCCGACGGGTATGAACGGGAACACTGTCGTGATTGGGATCCTTCTCAGCGACCAAGAATCTAGAGGTTTGTAGCTTAGGCACGCCTGAGGTGGCGGTGATGGCGGGCGGTCCTGAACGCTGCAGAATCAATAGTCAGCCATCTTTGAAAATCCGTGCATCGTGATAGCCACGTTCATGGCATTGCTGGTGACTGTCTTTCTGACATGTCGGCTCAGATTTTCATCCAAGCTGACATTGACGGCGCAATTATTTTAGAAGGGCAGGACGCTCGGCAGCGGGAAATGGCGATGCAGGGTGCCGGTGTCCCATGATGCCATCGTCATGGATCACACACCGACCTTAGTTATATCACGCTTTTCTACCTCAGGTTAGAAACGATTGCGTGCAGGTTCGGAACAAGAAACCGACTGGAGGTCAAGCGATGCGGTGGATGCCGCTTTTCCTCATGCGGATTCGTTTGGGGAAGATCACATTGGTAGGTGCATGTGCAAATGGTGGCGTGAGAGCTCGCCAAAGGGACTGTCCATTATGGGCATTCTCTGCCTGGAAAGAAACCCCCACGGCCAGTTCAATTGCTGGTGATGGCACAACTCAGTCTCGAATGCCGCAACGAGGATTCTGTTATGCTTGTCCTTCCGCTCCAGCACTCCTTTGAATGTTCTGTCAGCCACATACTCTACACGATAGCGGTACTATTCTCGTGATCACTATCCCCGCCTTCTGTGCAGAGTCCCCATGCTTCGTCAAAGCTGGAATCGCTGCTTCGGATTCTTCAGCCATGGCATAATCCGCCCGTACTGTGTATACTGTTGCTCCAGAACACAAGATCACTAGGGGTGCACTGCATGTGCTTGCAGTGGGGTTTCGACATTCAAGGTCTTAACCCCAAGCTGGAGAGCTTTCAGCACCATGTGCACTGTTGATTGGAGACCAGAAGCATCGAATGAGACATGCACACCTAGATCCTGGGGTCCCGTCTCGAGCTGCATGAATACTTAGACTCGAGCCAGTGGAACGCCTTAAGTAAGCTGCACAGAAGCACCATCCTTCGTAGCCACGGTGCTATCTACAAATCTTGGTGACAGAGGGATCTTTTTTTAAAACGCGGATGATCACCTTGGTTGCCTGTTAGTGTCTGTGAATGCAGAGATATTGGTGGAAAAGCCAATGTCAGTCAACGATTCGCAGATCGCCGGGCCGTCATTGTCAACCGCCGCAGGGAATAGTGGGAGACATTGTTCATGTTTGTCAGGCTCGTTGTGTGCTTAGAGCAATCTACTGACCGTTTGCGTGGGGAAGGCGCTGTGGGATAATCAACAAACGCAGCAATAGGTTCTTCTTCTTGATTCAAAAGGAGCTCTCCACCAATCTTGTGCCCGAAAACGTCACACACAGACCGTGGCACTATAAATATATTGGTGAAGGCATTCATTTACAAGCGACAAAGGTGAAGAAGGTGGAGTCTCTTTGTGAGCAAGAGGGCCACAATGTGTCACGTGACTGGGTGTCTGCCACGCGCAACTTCGTGGAGAAAACGCGTCGCCTTTCTTGACGTCGACAACAACACGACAAGAACCAATCACCCCCTGCACGCAAACACCCACTTGAAGCAGCCCAAATGTCCTTGACCGGGACTTCGCATCCAGCTCATGCCCTTCAAATTCAAATACCTTGTTCAACTTCTCCAGGACCTTGATACGGCCCGGAGAGACTCAAACCATGTGAACTTGCTGCGCCAGCTCAAGCGGGTTACGCCGAAGCTGGGTCAGCCCAGCCAGATCATCCGAGAATGGTTCAAGCGACACGAAGCCGACATCGTCCGCAATGGGCCATCCGGGGTTGCCTTGCTTTCAAGCCTGCTCCTGCATCGGTCGCCCCACCGAATCTACGCTTTGCAGGAGAAAAGGCTTGCCAGTATCATGTGCAAGGTGCTCGGACTTCCCGAAGACCGCGGTCGTGGGCTGCAACTGCACCAATGGCAGAAAGCAACCATGGACTTTGCGACTTGTGTCGAACAAGTTGTGGCTGACGCCGGCTTTGACCGCCCTGACCCCGGTCACGAAGTGACCCTTGAGGAAATCGACCACGCAATGGACCGGTTAGCAGAACGCTCAAGCTTCGAGGAGAAGGCCAGCCTTCTCAAGCGCATATTCTGGCGGCTGCATAGCAGCGAGGCCAAATGGCTCGTGCGGATGATTCTGAAGACCTACAATCCTGTCGAGATCCCCGACCATGTGGTCCTGAGCTGTTTTCACTTCCTATTGCCGCAAATCATCCACTTTCGGAATTCCCTTGCAGACGCTATCGAGGTCCTCCAGACGCCGGAACTTTCATCAATTCCCCATGACCCACCTGAGCACCTGCGACGCCAATACCGTCAGGAATGCGCCAGGCACGTCAGACCTAGACTTGGCATTCCATTGCAGCGTCAGGAATTTGTGCAGGCCAGAGGCATCGGAAGCTGCAGTAGGACTGCCAACCAGAGAACCATGAGCGTCGAGCGCAAATACGATGGCTGGTACGTTCAAGTTCACATCGACGTCTCGAAGGACACGGACCGGATACAGATCTTCTCCAAGCGCAGCAAGGATCTCACTCGCGCTACCTGGCGTCTACATGATGCTATCCAGGCAGGATTGCGCCTTGGACAGCCGGACTGCCCCATAACTCGGGGCTGCATCCTTGAGGGTGAAATGCTGGTCTGGAGCCGCAACGAACAAGCTATCCAGCCGTTCTGCAAGATTCGAAAGTACGTCGACATTAATGGCAGGACTATTGGCACAGCGACTGACTCGCCCAAATCAACCGACGAGCAACTGATGGTAGTCTTCTTCGACTGCTTGTTGCACGATGACTGGGATCTGGCTTTCGAACCTCATCGTGTGCGAAGACAGCAATTACAGGGTATCGTTACGCCCGTAGACGGCCTAGCTCAACTTGGAGACCGTCGTGTGATCAACTTCGGCCCTCCGAGTGGGAAGAAGCAACTGCTCGAGTATTTCGCTGATGCAGTTAATGAGAGATGGGAAGGTCTCGTTCTGAAGGGATGTGAAGACTCTTATTTCTCGACAGGTTGGCACGACAGTGCAATCAAATTGAAGAAGGATTATATCAAGGGATGCGGCGACCATGCCGACCTTTGCATTATCGGTGGGCGCAAAGATGCAGCAGACGCGGAAAGACTTGCTCGCTCGTTTCGGTGGACAACAGTGCATTTGGCCTGTCTGAAGAACAAGGAGGATGTCATGAGATACCGGGCAAAACCAGTTTATCTGGTCCTCGCTGAGGTGACGCGCCCTTGTATCCCAGAGGAAATGCTCCTCGATCTGAACCGGAGAGGTATAGGTCGATGGGTGCCGTTTGCCTATGAGTCGAAGCGTCTGGACGTCGAGATCGACCAGCCAGAGCTGCGACGCAACCCTCCGACCGAACTATTCCAGGAGCCATTCGTCGTTGAGGCCATGGGAGCAGGCTTCGACAAGCCGCAGGATGCCTCGTACTTGACTCTGCGCTTCCCGCGTGTCGACAAGATGCATTTCGATCGCGGTGTGACCGACACCCACTCTTTTAATGAGTTGCAGGAATTGGCAAGGAAGAGCTTCGAACCCCCAAGCGCAGAAGAACAAGAAGAGATGGAGTGGTACAAACGGTTGATTCATGCCGAACCGAAGAAGAACCAGCAGGTCTACCTCCAATCTCAGTCTCAAAATACGTCAACATTCTCAAGCGCATCGCTTTTCAATGCTGGAGCATGCCCGCCTACTCCATCAGCCATGGAGAGCCTTGTATCTCCCGTGGTCCTCAGTCCACAAGCGAAGCTGAAGAACCTTGTATACGAGGAACCCTCATCCCAACCAGCACAGAGTCCATTGTCGTCATCAAACCCCAGTACCAAACGAAGCGAGAAGGCACTGCTCTATACCATGGCCGTCGGACCTGTCAAGCATCCGACGTCTCCACCGCCTCTCAACAAGCAAGTTGCTGACGGATCTCCAGTGGATTCGACGACCAGCGCGTCCATGCCATCCCCTTCTCTTGGGACCTCTAGGAGCGGCAACAGACCAATAGTCTCGTCCGTCACTCCGCCACAACTTCGCCGAGCGCACACAGATGGTGCCTCAAAAGGGGTTAAGCGCAAGCTGGCACGATCAAACACCTCACCAGCCGCCACCAAGCGAGCAAGGCAGGACCCGTCCCAGCAACCGCTTAAATCCCCGCGGTCGACCGTGACAGGAACCTCACCTCGACTTCTAATCAAGGCACCCTCCCTAAAGCGCCCTGCGTCCGTCCTCAGCAAGCCACGCCAACCACTCCTAGAACTCGAGAACGTGTCGCCAACGCATGGCCTGAACAAGACGGTCACCTTCACCTCCCCAAGAAAACCCCTCTCGCCCCGTAACAACGCCAACGCCAAAGAGCACAACGCAGCCAGAACCATCGGGAACACAACCACAGCAGCAGCAATCACGTCAGGAAGTCGAAGTCAAGCTTCCCAACCGCCGTCCCCGCAACGGCGATTCCCCCTCGACAAAACCATCTGCAAGACCCTCTGGCCCGACTCGCCCGCGTACATCGACTCCCCGGAGGACCCGCACCACATCTACATGGTGCTAGTGGCCTCCGGGTCGACACTCTCTCCAACCCTGATCCACGAGCTGCGGAGACAAGTCTTCCAGGCCTACCGAATATATTGGAGTAGGAAGCGGAGCAAGAGGACAGGGGGTGTGGGTATGCTTGATGAAGGCGGTCAACAACACACCGATGGATCTGGGGAGATCCAAGGAGATACAGATAGCGGTGGAGGCCGCTCCAGCAGCGAACGTCCTGCCATAAAAGCCCAACGCCGACTCATCCTCTTCTATGAGGACGGTATCGCGGAGTACCTTGGCGGGAACGCGTCATTGGGGACACTCACATGCACTGATGCAGGTAAAGAGGCAACGACCGAGACAACCGCCGGCACAGACACAACCTCAAACACAAGCGCCACCACCCCATCACGCACAATCGACCTCCACTCCATCCTGCCCGCGGCAGACATGAAACGGTTCTTCATCCGAGCCTTGGAACTCACGACGCGGGACGATAAAGAGGAGGTGCCGAGGTCGAGGGACATTACGGGCTGGAAGGAAGCGATGGAGATGATACGCGATATGCCCGGGGGGATGACGTACTTTGATTGATTGGTTAATTGAGTGGCCGAAATTTGCTTTTTTTTTGGTGTTGTAGATGGTTTGATTGCACGCTGAGTGATGCATGATGAGTGACGAGTGATGAGAAAGGAAGAACGAGGAATGAATGAGCCATGAGCCATGAGCAACGAGTAACTACGCCATACACGGAAGTACGGCATACAGTGTATTTATCTGTGGTAGAGTCTAGAACTCGCTCATCCCTCAGTTGCGTGCACGACGGCACGACATGATTTCTCCGTTACAGTACAGTATTCTGTCCTGTATACCAGAAGTCACCACGCTAGAACAACCAGGAGACAAACCGGCGATAGAACCAGCCACCCTTCTTGCCAACGGATCCTTTCCTCAGCGCGTCCCGCCTCGCCTTCTCGGCCAGGAACTCTTCCTCTTCTCTATCGATGATGTCCTTCCCAGAGAAGAGGTCGGCAGTTTCGGGCTTCACGCCCTTGGACTTCATGATCAGCTTGTACCCCAAGATCATGATCAAGTACAGCGGAATGCCGAGGTATCCCGTGATGAAGTTCTTGTAGTCAAAGTCCCCGTACGTCGAGGGAGAGTGGACGAAGACGTTGAAATTCTTCGTCAGCGCGATCAGGATGCAGAGGGCCAACGCGCCGTATGAGCCGGCGATGCCCAGCGGTGCTGTGAATGCCAAGGCCGTGTCCGGTACGTTTTGCGCCCGCCGCGCCTTCACAAAGTAGATGTGCGTGACGAGGATGGAGATCCAGGTCAGGAGTCCAAAAATTGTGGTCAGGTTGACGAAATAACCAAACACGATCTTGCTGTCGTCCGAGACATTCATGAATGCCAGGAGCGCAAAGGCCGCGGAGAGGCCCAGGGCGAAGATGGGCACGCCTCGCGCGTCGGTGCGCTTGAACAGTCGGGGCGCGTTGCCTTCGCATGCAAGACCGTACAGCGTCCGGCTGGCGATGTACAGGTCGGAATTGGATGCCGAGAAGACAAACAACAGAATACAGCCGTTGAGGATGCCGGGGAGGGCCTTGATGCCGGCGATTTTGACGGCGACCACGAAGGGGGAGGCCGAGGCGGAGGAGGAGGCTTTGTTGGCAAAGGCCAATTCTTCACTGTTGTAAGGCACGAGCATCCCCAGGAGGAGAACGCTCAGGCAGTAGAAGAACAGTATCCGGTAGAAGGTCAGTTTGATGGCGCGGGGGATGGTCTTTCGCGGATTCTGCGCTTCGCCGACCGTCACGCCTACAAGTTCAGTTCCGAGATAGGCGAATGTCGCGGTGACCATCGTTGACCAGAACGCGAGGAAACGGCCTGTAGCGCCCTCGTCGATGTACTCGGCGAATGCGCCAGGGTCATTCCAGTACCGGAAACCCTTGCGGTCGTGGTCTGGTCCTCCTCCCAAGGCGAGCACGAGGGAGAGGATGATGACGCCGATAATGACAATGACCTTGATCGTCGAGAGCCAGAATTCGAACTCGCCAAAGAAGCGGATGCCAAAGTAGTTGATGCAAACGATGGCGACCCAGAATACGGCAATAAAGACGCCGGGATTGACGCGATCGCGGTCCACCCAGTACTGAATGATCAGTGCCCCTGCGGTGAGCTGATTAGGTGTGACGATGATGTATTTGAACCAATAGCTAGTACCGTCAGTCAAACGCGAGATGGGACTCGGGGTTGTTGTTGCCTACGTGTATCCCAGAGAGAAGCCCAATGCAGGGTCGCAAAACCGGACGGCATAGCCAGTGAAGCCTGACGACAACGGCAACCAAGCTGCCATTTCACCAAGCGCGCACATGACGAGGTAGACGAGGAAGCCAACAACGGTGTAGGAGATGAAGATCGAGCCTGGGCCTGCTTGAGCGAGAGCCTTGCCCGTTCCGATAATCAGTCCAGTTCCTGTTCAGCTGAGTTAGATCGAAGGCGCTGACGTTTGCCAAAAGGCGTCCGGGTGACGAACCGATGGCACCACCGATGGCAATCATGGTGATATGTCTGGCCTTGAGTCCGCGATGCAGTCGACTTCCCTCCTGTACTTCGACACCGCGAACTCCTCTTTGGCTGTCCATGGTCGAAAGAGTCTGCTCTTGGGCGTGCTTCTCCATCGTGTCTGCATCTGGAGAGGATGACGAGTACCTTTGGTGGATAGCCATGATGGCGTGGTCGTCACCAGAACGGCCAGTTGTGCAGTAAGACAGTAGGCAAGAGAGAGTGAAGGAAAGCAGTATCGGACTTGCAGGCCGACACTTTTTCACTTATCTCGGTCACATTATCGAACGTGTCGCAGGATCAGGCAGGTCCTGGACTGACCACGAGCTATGAGGCTTGGACACGCATTGTGTTACATTCTGCTGTCAACAGGCGAGCTGCGCCAAGTGGTGCCCGGTGCAGTGACCGGGTACGAGATGCGACTATCTTACGTTGGACGCGTGATGGATTGGAGCGAAGCAGGGCGATCTGCGGGGTCCGCACGCGATAGCTGGGAACATAAGGTGCCAAGATGGGAACAGTAGCAGATACCAAGACAAGTGACGGTGGGACCGAGATAACGAGGCAGAACTGTGTGACTAGGATGCAGCTCATAGCCGTCAGATGTGTACCGAGATCCCTGCTCTTTTTGAACGCCTCATCGTCTGACTAGGTAACCTGAAGCCTAGAGTAGGAAGAGGAGTGTCGAGAGGCAGGAATGGGCGAAGGAAGACACTGTAGGTGACGCAAGTCACCCGAATGAGGCGTCTAGCTTGGTGAAATGAAGTCAATAATGTTTGTGCACCTTGATGGCGCACACAAGGTTGACAAGATCTTCCGGTGGTGGTGGCCGAGTCTTGACCACGATCAAGCTGAAGCCAACAACTTGAGTGTTGTAACGTAACTGCCAAGTTGGATCTGCAGCTTGGGGAGGAACTTCTGGATTTGGATACTTGGCCGTGGGGGACGGAGAGGGAGGGACGGTTCGAAGGATTACTGTAGTAAATTCAATCCACTTGCGACGGGTCAGCGTCCGCTCGTATCGGTAGTGCGAACAGCTGGCAGGATAACTTGGCTATCACGTGATTCATACTCCCCCCGAACTCCCAATTCGCCTGGCCGAAATAGCCGCAAGTCCCCCCTGCACGTGATCGAAATTGTTTGTCTGAAGGAGCATTGAGAATTAACTGCTGCTGGTATACATGACATCTCAGCGAAGAATCTTTGTACACAATCAAGGTATTATCCATCCGTCATCGCCAACCGGTTTCCTCTCTATGTTTCGTTGTCCAACCTGGTCCCGTGAGACCTCGACAGGTGCAAATCAGACCCCCGGCCTCAATTGTTCCAGAACGAATCCCACAATTGCGACAACCAGCCGCCTCCTTCGCCACCTTCTGAACCACCCGTTTGTGGTCCTTCACTCCACGGGTCTGACTCGGCAGAACCCCAAACGTCTTGCCCTTGATCTTGCTCGCTGAAACCACTTTGTGGAGACTGTGAATCATAAGGTTGGCCAAAAGGCTGCTCGGGAGGCTGTTGTTGGGGGCTGGCATCATCGACCGCACCCTCAGACCGACGGCCCATGCCTCTTTGCATGGCTTCATAACCTGCCATGGTCCCAGCCCCGGCCATGGCGCCCTCACCCATACCCGCTGCTCCTCCTGAAGCTGTTCCAACAGCTCGACCAGCTCCCCCAACAACGGCACCACCAGCCTCAGCAGCGCCCACACCTCCCGCAGCACCAGCGGCCTCGCCAGCTCCCGCCGCTCCGGCTCCGGCTGCACCGCCAGCTGCGTCTCCACCACCACCTCCGAGCCAGAGGGGGAAGAAACCATGGCCTCCACTGTGCCGGGAGAAATAGTCATAGTCGATCGTGACGGCCGTAGCCAGCATCACCGCTCGTTGATCAAGTGTCATGCCGAACTTGCTCCCTCCTAAGACATCTGCATGGGCAGGTTGATCTTGGATGGATCCGGGTGAGTGATCTTCACTCTCAGCAGCGTCCATTCTCAGGACATAGCTCCCCGTGTCAGTAAACAACTCTCGGCCAAATCCGCGAAACTCTCGGTTGACCGTTCCGATCTTACGAAGGTTTTCGTCGCGCAGCGAGAAATCCCACGAGAGGAAGGGTTCATCCACCCGAGCAAACTGGGCAAAGTCGGTGGAAGAGCCGGATTGATTGCGTTTTGCGACCTGCTCTTTTTGTATATTCGAAAGGTCTTCGGCACTTCTCGTTGGCATGGCTTTAGGACCTTGATCACCCAGAGAAAGGTTGTGGGAAAGAAACAAATCGTATTTGCGGCGCAGGGGCGCCCATTGGGATTGAGTCTCGCCGATCACACGCATGTTCTCGAGGGGGACTGGTGATATCTGTGGCGGCAAAGTGGAATCTGCATTGCTCTGAGCCAACTTGGTAGATGTAGAGGTCTCGAAATTGGACTGTGTATCCCAAGGATCGTAGACGCGAATGCGCGTATTGATCCACGAAAATGGGCGATAAAATCTCAAGACCTCGCGCGAGTTCCGATCGAAAACGTGCGTGGTAAAGGCACGGTGTGTATTAAAGAACTGCCTCCTCATGGTGTGGCTGATGCCACCATCATGTTCTGCCATGTACCCAATATGGTTTCCCTGAGGATCGAGTATAACATATCGATTTGCTTGCTCAAATCCAACCAAGAGGTTCATCATTTCGAGTTGCCGCTGAATGACGATGGCAGATTGAGTGAGAATACCAGCCGCAGGATAACTTGATCGGAGGATGGCATTGGAATCTTCGGGTATGTGGACAGGAGCGAGGAGGGGATTGTCTTCGGGATCTGTGTTGGCTAGGACATCCTCCATTGAAGGAGGCTTGGGAGGCGGCTTTCCCTGGGGGGATGCTGCATCTTGATCCTTCCTGGGCTCGGGGTCTGGAGATTGCAGGCGCTGGCTGCTTGCACTGAAACTTCTGGAAGCAGCTGATAAACATGTTCGCGGTTTGAGCGCAGCACAAGCCGATCGCGACAGGAGGACCATGGTCGTCGCCATCCTGCGCACAGCGGCAAGTTCTGACTAGAGAAGTTCAAGGTGAATTGTCAGACAGCAGAACCGCATACTTCTGCCATGGGGAGCAAGGGCACAGGAGTCTGTCATGCATCCCTAACGAACGCCATCGCAAGGCACACCACTTGCTGCGCGACCTTGCCTGGTGCTTTGAGGCGACATTTCTCATTCACGTTGGAGAAAACGATGACCTCCAGATGCGTCTCCGCAGCCTAAGGGGGGGAGACGGTTCGGTATGATGTTGTTCCGAGCCGAGTTCAACCGCAGAAATTAAGCTGGAGCTGGTACAGCGTACTCCGTGGAGTCCCATCTAACACAGTCACGACGGTAAAGACTGTTTTAAGGATCAATTGACAGATGGACATGCGGGAATGTCCCTTCCGGAAACAGTTGATGAACGCCAAGAGCAAAACCGCCATACTTGGCGAGGCTATGGGGTCTGTCATCATTCACACGGAGCTGTCTACCGTTGTCACTATCCTCTGCTGATATAACGGCATCCGTACAGGAAACGCCACATACTTATCCAGGGGTTTTTGGGTATTGGAATCTCGGACGTTCTGGAACGCATGGTAATGAACTCCGTGCCCCAGACCGCAGTTGATTACGGAAACCCCACGAACTCGGCATGACCCAGAGATCTTAGTAAGTCCAAGTCGCAGGCCTGGATACGGTAAGTGAGGGCGCATATATACGGACTCCGCCACTCCGTACTCGGACTGCGGTTCACAGGCCGATACTGCGTAGAACGTACTCCGTATTCTGGAACCGCTTCCGGCTTGCGGCCGTGCTGATGCTGTCATCACGGAGCGGTGTCTTCACCTTAGTCACCTAGTGGTGATATGCTTACTCGGTAGTATTGTGCTTGTACTCGTGTCAGAACACGGATATAAGTATATGTAATCAAGGCTGACATTGGGCCTTGAACGCTTGAGCTGTGCCCACTCCTGACTACACAGTACACACCTTGTATGGAGCTTGGCTCTATATGTGGGGATAGGATATGGGGCTTTCTTGCATTGGGCAGAACTTGACCGTGAGGACTGTACTCCCTACGTTGTCTATACGCGCATCAGGATGCATCCTTTCCCAAATAGAATCAGGAGAAGTCTCAATTCTATGGAGTCCGTAATGTTTACTAATTATCTATTGTCTACTATGCAACATGTGACGTGGAGAGCCAAGTCGTCCAGTCCTAAGCAGCCTGCCTACACCTACACCTTCGCTCTCTCCAGCCGGACATAGCACATCTTGGGGTGTCTCGCCAGCTTACTCAGCGCCGCAAAACTGCTCACGCATTCCGGTGTCTCCTTCAGCTCAAAGTTCCAGATCATCATGACGATGATGATGCGCATCTGCACATAGGCCAGCCTGCGACCGAAGCAGCCCCTGGGCCCGAGGCCAAACGCCAGATGCGGGCCGGCGTGGGCGTCGAACCCTTCCGCGCCGTTTTCGTTCCGCACGAGCCAGCGCTCGGGGCGAAAGGCCTTCATGTTGGCTTCGTCAGGTGTCCACTGGCCGACCTGATTCTTGGCTTCCAGGCTGGACTTGCTGCGCTTGGAGTCGTCGAGTGGGAGCGGTGGCGAGAGGTAGCCTGGCCCGTTTTGCATGAGGAAGACTTCCGTGCCTTTGGGGATGTTGTAGCCTAGAACCGTGGTGTCGACGGTGGCGGAGCGGACGGCTGCGCTGAAGAGTTGTGCCGTACGGTTCATTTCCTCGATGAAGGCGTCAAGGTATGGGATGGGGATCTTGATGATCTCGTCTACGGTCGGGTTGCGTCGTTCTGCCGTTGCGGCCGTGTAGGCGGCGCGAAGGCGGGAACGGAGAGTCGATTGTGCTTCCTGCGCGAAAGCAATGTGTTTGACTGTCCAGGTCAGGGTTGCTGTCAAGTCGTCAGAGCCTATTCTTGCACGAGCGGAGTATGGGGCACAGTTGAGGCGGAGGCGGGGTGGCAATGGGCAATAATGGATCGTGGCGATAAGGGAAACCTACTGCTGGTTGTGTCATGACCTCCGATAATGAAGCCGAAAAGCTATATCGCTGTTAGCCTCTTGATGAATATGGAAACCTGGCGGGTTGTGTGTACCTCATCGTAGATAGCCCTTGAATTGTAAACAGGCTGACGTCCCGCCTTCTTTGCAGCAGCCTCCTCACGGAGCAGGATGTCGTCCAGAGCTGAGCTTTTCGCCTGCTTACCAGAAGCCACCCTCTTGATTGACTCGTTGATCTTGTCGGTGAAATGTTTCTCTTTATCTGCGCGAGCCTTTCGCATGTAGGGCATTTGGCGTAAGACCCAGTGGGCGAACCTGGGAACAGGAGCCTTGACTGATATCTCCAGAGATTCCGTAAGAACAGAGATAGCCTCAAATACAGCTGGGCGGCTGAAGTGCGGGAAGTCGATAGGCTTGTCTGGAGACTGTGGTATTGAAACTGGTATCGACGAGAGCTGCTTCAATTGTGCAACAATGTTGCTATCCTGGGTGTTGAGTCCGAACGTTGTAGCAAAGATGACATCGAGCGCGACATTGTAGATATCCTCGTCAGCACGAAATGCATGTCCCTGCGCAACGCGAGCCTTGAAGTCCCAGAGCCGCACAAATGCCTCATTGTTGGTGTAGATCTGCCGGGCAGCAACTTCATGAAGGAATACTGGAGTCATCAAGTCCTTCAGGAGGTTGCGGTGCGTCTTGAAACGGTCCTCAGAAGACTTGAAGCTGATGTGCATATCCGGCACTAGGCCAGTGAAAACATCTGCGTTCCACCAAATCAGTAACATTGGTAGACTAAGACCAAATAGATCTCTCGTGGCTGGCACCAGCCGCTCGAGACATTGGCATGAACTTGACATGAGCAGGGGACCTTACCGGCCGTGAAGTCGGCACGATCAAACTCCTTGGTGCCTATAAAAGGTCAAAAACTCCCCTTCAGTATCCAAGCTCGGAGGCGGAGCACTTACGGCGAAGAAGGATGTCCTGTGCTTCTCGATGGTCGCTTATCACAACCCAAGGTTTGGAGAAGGGGCGGCCCCAGACTTGGACTATCGGTGACTGGTGTTTCGTGGTTTGGTCGGCAAGCCACGGCCAAACCTCTTGTGTCCGACTGATGTACGACATCATTTCAGGCACATCACCAAGGATTGAGCGTGTGGCGGACTCATTGTACGGAATGCCTGGGATGGGCTTTGGCAAGAGCCTGCGGTAGCTGAAATACACGAAGACACAGCAGAAAACAACAAGAAGGACGAGAGACGTCGTTGCTGGCTTTGCCTCGATCACCGGATGGCCCAAATAATCTGCCATGGTTTTCGATTGTCTCTGCACCTGATAGTGGGCTTTTTGAAGTAGGATACTGAAGAACAGCCTACTTGGGGACCTTCTGAAGAATATCACCGCGACAAGAAAGGTGAAAGCAGAAGTCAACCTACCCGGTATATAAGCAGGCTCCAGAGCGGAATCCGCGCCTCAGCCGTTGGAGGCCTCATCAAACGTTCTACCTCTTAAAAGCGACTGGCCCTTGTCCAAAGGGAGCATCGTGCCTGAGAGGGTAGCTAGTCCCCTGTGTCCTACCCCTACGAACGTGAGCGGCTGAGACATCGCGTCGCACTGACCTTGACGGCGTGGAGCCCAGGCTGATTAATTCATTCGAGACGCAAGCACGCCTAACGTCAGGACGGCAGAATCAGGACTCGGCTGTTATCGTTCCACAGCATATGCCTGAGCAGGCGTTGTAATTGCCAGTGCAGTGCAGTTCGGCCGATGGTGGCAAGGAAAGGTCACAATCTGACGAAAATGTCCATCAAGCTGGAGTCTAGGGCCGTCAGACTGCGTCTGATGACCACGTACTCAACCATTTCTGTGCATTGCGAACCGTAGGGATATGATAATCCAAGCCGTGTGGAGCCATGTACCTGGTCTGGTTGCGTTGGACCACGCGATACGAGGTATCTGATGGTTGGTATGCTGACATGATCACCGCGCATTCCTGCACTATAAATCCGGGGGTGGCCGCTCTGGAGCCGCTCAGCTGGTGCGTGGTAATCTTGCCCTCTCATTCTCATTTCCTACCCTCGAAACAAATCTCGCAACAATGACCAGACTAGGAATTTGACTCGAAGGTAGTCGGAGCTCGTCGTGGCGACTTCGTGTGTTTACTGATTCACGTGGTGTCGTGATGTCGTTCATGTGAAGTGGCAGTGATAAGTTAGGTGAGTGGTTGCTAATTTACCGAAATCTTCAGCAAGAGTCGCTGCTTTTACTGCAAAGCCCACCGAGGCCGTTGAGCTGCCACGCGCCACGTTAGCCTAGGTTGATCTCGTTAAAAGAAGCCGAATACGACAGGCCGTCTAAGCCCGGATAGGTGCGATGGGCGGCCCTTGGCTTTTCTCGGGGTCGTGCCTTCATCGTGTCATGACTTGCATCGACCACGCGGCTGCGACGAAATGAAGGTCTTGGATTTCTTAGACACCACGACGCCAGGCATCACCATTTCTCTACTTCGGAGCCATTACTCTAGTGGGCTTGTCTTGGTTTCGCACTATGTCTCTCATGCTGGATCTGTACATACATTACTCCTCACATTGCTCCTTATGTACAAGTTGATTCCTCTTCATTCAAGCTGCGCCGATCGAGATGGTACCGAGGGGAGTGCCTTGAGAAACGGCTGCTACATTGCCCGATCCTTCGCGAGCACCACGCGATGGCGGCGCTTTTCGTGCGCCAGATCTTGACTTTGACACTGAAGAATCTCCTGGTCGCCTTCATTCGCCGCTGGTTCTCAACCACCCTGCGTGCGTTCTTGTGAGTCTCTCGAAAACCTATGGCGGGTCGACCTACAGTCCAGGTCTGAGAGGCTAACCAAATAAATTTCCAGTCTGCCAGTCGTCTTTGTCGGATTCCTGTGCGTTGAGCCTCTAACATCGATCCTTGACTGTCTCTGACAACAGCAGGTCTTATGCTCGTTTCCTGTTCATTCCTCCATCTGTCTATGGCATAGGTGAGGCTACGCCCGTCCGAGGCCTTCCAGAGGCGCTGAGCTTGGTTTCCGGCGGTCGAGACAAGCTTGTCTTCGTCAATAACGGGTTCGCCGATGGATCGATCCAGTCTGTGATTGACAGGGTGGTGAACAATACGGGCTCTTTTGGTGGCCAAGTTGAGATACTGTCCCAAGAGGAGGAGCTTCTGACCGTATGCCGGAACTCGATCAGAGGAACCAGTACCTGCATCGCTGGAGCGGTGTTCTTCTCCTCTCCCTCCGAAGGCGAGGCTGGTCGTTGGAATTACACAATCCGTGCTGATGGAGGCCTCCAGACCAAGATCGTGACTGATTCTTCTAAGAACGACGCCGAGATCTATTTGCTCCCCCTCCAGCATGCCATCGATCGAGCCATTTCTGAGGCTGAGGCAGGCAGTGACACCGGCCGCATTCTTCCTCAAACGACGGAAGAGTATCCATATACTTCTATGACGAAGGAGGAGCGCTTGACACAGATTCGGACACGGTACATGGGTGGTATAATTGACATCCTCGCCGTTGCTTTTTTCATCGGAATCGTTGGTGTCACGTACCAGCTCACCGGAGTCATCGCTTCGGAGAGGGAAAATGGCATGGCTCAACTTCTTGACTGCATGATGCCGAACCGCAAGCGTTGGCAGCCACAGATGGCGAGAATCATAGCCAACCACCTTGCTTTCGACGTGCTCTATGGCCCCGGCTGGGTCATCATGGCCATCATTCTCTCTGTCGGTGTCTTCAGCAAAACTTCAGCTGCGATTGTTATCATCTTCAACATTCTATCAGGACTGGCGATGTCGTCACTGTCAATATTTGGCGGCGCATTTTTCAAGAAGGCTCAACTTAGTGGCATCACCTCAGTCATTACAAGCCTCTTGCTTGCTATCATTGCCCAAGTTGCCAGTAAGGCGGGGACCGCATCTGTCGCCATACTTTCTCTCCTGTTTCCACCCATGAACTACGTCTACTTTACGATCTTCATGGCGCGCTGGGAGAGGCAGGACATCGCCACAAATCTTGTCAAGAGAGCCCCCGAAAATACGTCGGCATTACCTGGAATCGCTTTCTGGATCTTTTCAATCATTCAAATCATCATCTTTCCCATCCTTGGGGCACACGTGGAGCGCACGCTTTATGGGACCGCCTCGAGCAACCGAATGGCCACGCATTCCGACGACCGTACGGTGGTTTCGTTGCACGGCTTTACGAAGGAATATCCGCCTTCCCGGCTTGCCCGCCTACGAGCAATTTTCACCAAGAAACGACTTACAACAGTGCTTGCCGTCGACGATTTGTCACTGAATGCCACGAAAGGTCAGATCATGGTACTACTCGGCGCGAATGGGAGCGGCAAATCAACTACCCTGGACTCGATCGCTGGGCTCACTGCGATCACCTCTGGCGATATTACAGTGAATTATCCCGATCCTGACACGGGCCTGGGCTTTTGTCCTCAGAAAAACGTATTGTGGGACGATCTCACGGTTGAGGAACATGTCCGCATCTTCAACAGGATCAAGAGTATGAGTCCGTCGGCAAAGGATGAAAATCTCCAACTTCTAGCTTCTTGTGATATTGACCGAAAAGCCAGCGCCCGTTCCAAGACATTGTCCGGGGGCCAGAGGCGGAAGTTGCAGCTTGCTATGATGTTCACTGGTGGCTCTCGTGTCTGTTGTGTGGATGAGGTCTCCTCCGGGCTCGATCCCTTGTCCAGACGCAAGATCTGGGACATTCTACTGGCCGAGCGGGGATCAAGGTCTATCATCTTGACCACACATTTTCTGGACGAAGCTGAACTGCTCGCTGATCACATCGCCATCCTCTCGAAAGGTACTCTCAAAGCCTCAGGAACTTCAGTGGAGCTCAAGCACAAGCTGGGCTCTGGTTATCGAGTGCATGTGTACAAGACCCCTGGATCTCAACATGTAGCTACATTCAAGGACACTAGCTACGTGCAGCGGGATGATCAAACGATCTATTCGTTGACAGACTCGGCGAAAGCGGCGGATTTCCTCAGCCGTATTGAGGCTGAAGGATTTGCGGAATACCAGGTTAACGGTCCAACAATAGTGAGTAAACCCCGAAGCCCGTGTCAAGGCATTCCGAGTCCATTTTCACACGCTTTTTCCGGGCAAAGATCTTCGACGCTGACAGCAACGCAGGAAGACGTCTTTCTCAAGGTCGCCGAAGAGGTCAAGTCGGACAACGAGCCCACCGAAAAGACAGCTACAGGCCACACCCTCCAAGAGATCGGTAGCCACAGTCGCAAAGATCTGGACAGTGAAGAGGTTGCAAAAGTCGTGATGGGAAATCACACGCCAGCACAACCTCCTCAGCTCTTCGATGGACGCCGAATCAGTATGCCTCGGCAGGCTTTGGTGCTCTTTTCGAAACGCTGGGTGGTCCTGCGCCGCAATACCCTACCTTATCTTGCAGCTGTGAGTTGTTTCTCGGCCCCGAAGAGATGCTGTTTAAAAGCAGGAGCTATTGTTACTATGTTGGGTTGATGCCGCTAACGAATCCCAACAGCTGCTAATCCCCATCATCGCTTCTGGACTTGTCAGCCTTTTCCTCAAAAATTTTCAAAAGGCTGGTTGCAGTCCGGCATCTTCGACTCTAGTTTCCGACATCATCTCGCTTTCAACACAGATTGACTACGAGCTTGTCGCCGGACCCCGTGATCGTCTTGGTGCGGGCGCCATCCAACTCTTGGCTTCCACCTTGGCGGGCAGTACTGGGGCTGCAGGGATAGCAGCTAACACAACAAAACTACTCGAGTCAGTCCATTTCGTTGACAATCTGGCTGATTTCAACGACTATATCAACAATCGCTACGCTAATGTAACCCCAGGTGGGTTTTACCTCGGTGATGAGAGTTCTCCGCCTACGTTTGCATGGCGAGGCAACGGCGACATTGCGTTCCCGGTCATAATCCAGAATGCGATGGATACTCTGCTCTCTAATGTTTCGATTTCCAACCAGTACCAAGCCTTTGACGTCCCCTGGGGAGCCGACGTTGGGAAAGCATTACAGTTAATCACATATTTCGGACTAGCGATGGCCGTGTACCCTTCGTTCTTTGCGCTGTATCCGACAATCGAGCGACTACGGAACGTCCGTGGCTTACACTACAGCAACGGAGTCCGCTCGGCACCTCTGTGGCTTGCATACACGACTTTCGACTTCACGATCGTTCTCCTCACAAGCGCGGTTGCCATCATCGTCTTTCGTGCCGTCAGCGACGTGTGGTACCACATTGAGTATCTTTTTGTGGTCTTCTTCTTATACGGCTTAGCCTCGACCTTGTTGTCTTATGTTATCTCCCTCTTTTCGCGCTCGCAACTCGCAGCATTCGCATTCGCCGCTGGCGGCCAGGCTGTCATGTTCCTGCTCTACTTTATTGCATACATGTCTGTCCTCACCTATTCACCAATTGACAAAATCGATACCAATGTCAATATCTGTCATTTTACGATTGCAGCAATCTCGCCTGTGGCAAATTTAACCAGGGCACTTTTTGTCACCTTGAATGTGTTCTCAATCACATGCCGAGGCCGACAATTTGCCTCGTATGCAGGCTCGATGACAACTTTTGGCGGGCCAATTCTGTATCTAATATTGCAGACCTTTTTCCTCTTTTCCCTGCTCTTGTGGTGGGATTCCGGCCCGTTGTTCCGGCGCCTGCGCGGGAAGAAACAGCAGGAACAGGTCGAAGAAAATGACACTGTGGAGGCAGAAGTCTCAAACGAGCTCACAAGAGTGAACTCTGCGCAGGACGGCCTCCGTGTCTTGAACTTGACCAAGACATTTGGGAAAACGCTCGCCGTCAATAACGTCACCTTCGGTGTCCCTCGGAGCGAAGTCTTTGCGTTGCTTGGACCCAATGGCGCTGGCAAGTCAACAACAATATCCTTGATCAGAGGTGATATTCAGCCAAGTCGCCATGGAGGCGATATCCTGGTCGACGGCATCTCTGTTATAAGCCACAGAGCCGAGGCAAGATCTCGCCTCGGGGTGTGTCCACAGTTCGACGCCATGGACACCATGACTGTAGCTGAGCACCTTCACTTTTACGCCAAGGTACGCGGCGTTAGGGATCCCCGGCATAATGTCGAAGCGGTCATGCAGGCAGTTGGTCTTGAGCAGTACGCCGACAGAATGGCTGCCAAGTTGTCTGGAGGTAACAAACGCAAGTTGTCTCTCGGAATAGCACTTATGGGCAATCCGAGTGTGCTTCTTCTTGACGAACCTTCCTCCGGCATGGACGCCGCTAGTAAGCGCGTCATGTGGAAAACATTGGAGTCGGTTGTTCCTGGCCGATCACTTGTGCTTACCACCCATTCGATGGAGGAAGCAGACGCGCTCGCAACAAGAGCTGGGATCATGGCGGGCCGGATGCTGGCGCTGGGGACAACTGATTACCTTCGCAGGAAGCATGGAGACGCGTACTATGTCCATGTGGTAAATCGCCAGGCCCCTCATGCTTCGGACGAAGACATGCAGCGCATCCGAGACTGGGTCCTGGAAAACTTTCCGCATGCAAGCATCGAAAGTAAAGTCTACGCAGGTCAAATCCGATTCTCCGTGCCGACAAAAGGATTTCTTGCTAGTAAAGTTGGCGGCAAGATTAGCGGTGGGTCTGGTATTTCGTCTCTATTCTCGGCCCTTGAAACGAACAAGTCGGCTCTGCAGATCGCATACTACAGCGTCAGTCGGGCGACCCTGGACCAAGTGTTCTTGAATATTGTGACCAAGCACAATGTCGAGGAGGAAGGTGGCGAAATCGTATCTGCACCAAGGACCAGTGTGATCAAAAAGCTTTCCCGGGTAAGTTCCCACTTCGGGAATAAATGAGCGATACCAAGTACGAGAGGCCCAGACAGCTCGACGACCATATATACTGCAATGAATGATATATTTTACAGCCTGGGCTGGCTGACGTGTGGTACATAGTATGGCTGGATTGAATATTGACCGCGCCATTATCGCTGGTTGGGCCGAACGCGTAGGACTGCTTGTTGCGAGCTCTGCCGCTACGGAGCCGCACAGAACAGAGTGGAGTCTTGGACGATTGATAATCAACCCTTAACTCTGGGGCCCAAGGGTATTTGCGGACGTGCTCGATGGGGTAACTGGACGCACCAAACTTCGGCTCAAACGACTCCCGGCGGATCTTCGTGCAAGCAACCTGATGCTGGCGGGACTTCGTTGCTTGGAAACCAATCTCCTCCGAGCTCGGCCTTCCAATTCTTGAGATCAGCGGAATCCCGGATTGGAGCGGACAGACTGCAGACCATAACGAGCCTGCGAGCACTCCTGGTTTCTCATACTCTGGCCAGAGCTACCCTCTTTGACTCACATCACGACGATTTGGCAACCGCCGTGTCCTTTGGTTTTGCAAGACGCAAGTGGGGTATGAGTCAACAGGCCGGCACACCCGGGTTCCAAGAGTCATGGAGAAACGCCCAGCTTAACATCTCGTTCTTCTTTCAGGCACCTATCAGGCTCCAGCCGCTTTGAGGGCTTCTGAGTTCTCCACTCTCGCAAGATCCCTGATCTAGAATCCGACGTGATAGTACCGGGTTGGGGTCGTCCGACGGCGCATTGCCGGGTAAAGGCCTGCCTGAGTCAGGGCCAAGGGTGCACAACTCCTCGTACGCACGAGTACGAGGAGCATGTGGGACCATCGGCGTTCGCTAATTTGGAGGCATCTCTAGTCAACCAGCTGCCCACCGCCCTCTCGGTCCGATGCAATTTTTTTCCCTCTTATGGAATATTCTCTAAATATCGATGTTGTAGACATGTTCACATAGTTATTTGCAGCGACCAGGACGTTCTCCGCACTTGCACACCTGGTTTGCACGGTTGACAGCCAAAATTTTGTCCGGCATGAACATCTAAAGTTGGGGAAATTAAGCGAAAGGATTGGTGGATCTTATCCGGAGCTGGAGGCTTCAGCTTCAAGAACAATGGCCGACGGCTTCTCAAAGGAATTGGGCCTGAACCACCCGGCACAACAACATGGTGCTACGGCAAATGGACATGTGCAAGGCACATCTCATGAACATGGCGAGAAACAATCAGACGCAACAGCCGACAAAGAACTCCAGCCCAGTGAAAAGAAATGGGAAAGACCTCGGATATCAAGTGACGCCTATGGACTGCAACGCACAACATCAGGTGTCAACGTCGAACAGGCTGAAAGGGATTTCGCAGAGCTAAGCAGAGAGCTGAGTGCAATTAGCCGTCGAATGTCCCGAACACAGTCCAGAGCCTCGGGTTTCAGAGCGAAGGACGTGGAGAAAGCTATCAGCTCTTCCGATGAGAATTCTGACGATGCCTTTGACCTGGAAACCGCGCTCCATGGTGCGCGCGAGGCAGACAATGCTGCTGGCATTAAATCAAAATATATCGGTAACTCTGTCTGAAACGCGAAGCATATCCTGGTCACTAACCGTGTTGATAGGCGTTATTTGGGATAACCTCACCGTGCGTGGCATTGGCGGCGTCAAAAATTTTGTCAAAGTGTTCCCCGACGCGTTCGTCGACTTTTTCAACGTGCCCGGGACCATAATGAGCATCCTCGGTATGGGCAAGAAAGGCAAGGAGTTCAATATTTTACAGGGCTTCCGTGGTCTGGCGAAACCGGGAGAAATGGTCCTTGTCCTCGGTCGACCTGGCAGTGGCTGTACCACATTCCTCAAAGTCCTAGCCAACCAACGGTATGGATATACTGGAATCGAAGGAGAAGTCCTTTATGGCCCATTCGATGCTGCAACGTTCGAGAAACTCTACAGAGGCGAAGCAGTCTACAACCAGGAAGACGATGTTCACCATCCGACACTGACTGTGGGGCAGACCCTCGGCTTTGCGCTCGACACCAAGACACCGGGCAAACGTCCCCAAGGTCTTAGCAAGGCCGAGTTCAAAGACAGGGTGATTCGACTTCTGCTCAAGATGTTCAATATCGAGCATACGATTAACACCATTGTTGGTAATCCATTCATGCGCGGGGTTTCCGGTGGAGAGAGGAAGAGAGTCTCGATTGCTGAAATGATGGTCACGCGGGCCACGGTGTGCTGCTGGGACAACAGCACAAGGGGCCTTGATGCCTCGACAGCCTCCGACTACGCCAAATCGCTTCGGATCATGACGAACATCTATAAAACCACCACTTTCGTGTCTTTATACCAGGCCTCTGAGACCATTTACAGTCAGTTCGACAAAGTGATGGTCATTGATCAGGGTCGTCAGGTCTTCTTCGGCCCTGCGAAGGAAGCGAGAGCATATTTCGAGGGACTGGGCTTCCTGGAAAAGCCACGTCAGACCACACCAGACTATCTCACTGGATGTACTGACGAGTTCGAGCGAGAATACAAGCCAGGCAGATCCCCCCAAAATGCGCCTTCATCACCGGATTCTTTGGTGGAAGCTTTCAACACGTCTGCATATGCGGAGAAGCTTGCCACCGAAATGGAAGAATATCGACAATCGATTCAACAGGAGAAACAGATCTACGACGACTTTGTGGCTGCGCATCGAGAAGCCAAGCGGAAACACACGCCCAAGAAGTCGGTGTATTCAGTGCCATTCCATCTCCAAATCTGGGCTCTGATGCAGCGGCAATTCTTGATCAAGTGGCAAGACAAGTTCTCCTTGGTCGTGTCTTGGATTACCTCCATCACCATTGCGATCATCACCGGTACTGTCTGGCTGAACCAACCCCAAACCTCCGCAGGCGCCTTCACCCGTGGCGGTGTTCTTTTCATCGCGCTGCTCTTTAATGCATTCCAAGCCTTTTCGGAACTGGCGTCTACTATGCTCGGGCGACCGATAGTCAACAAACATCGTGCGTACACCTTCCATCGACCCAGCGCTCTGTGGCTGGCACAAATCCTCGTCGATTTGGCCTTTGCATCGGTACAAATATTCGTGTTCAGTGTCATCGTGTACTTTATGACCGGGTTAGTGCGGACTCCAGGGGCATTTTTCATTTTCGTGCTCGTCATCATCACTGGCTATCTGTCCATGACATTATTCTTCCGCACCATAGGCTGTTTATGCCCAGACTTCGACTATGCGATCAAGTTCGCCGCGGTCATTATCACCCTGTTCGTCATTACTTCGGGCTATATCATCCAATACCAGAGCCAGCAAGTGTGGTTAAGATGGATATTCTATGTCAATGCATTGGGCTTGGGCTTCGCGGCCATGATGATGAATGAATTCAAGAGATTGACCATGCGGTGCACCAATGAGTCTTTGGTACCGTCGGGGCCGGGTTACGGCAATATCGAAAACCAAGTCTGCACTCTGCCGGGTTCCCGAGCAGGGTCGATCGAAATATCAGGAACAGACTATGTCAAGACGGGCTTCTCATACGATCCTTCCGATCTCTGGCGGAACTTTGGCATCATCGTCGTGCTGATTGGTTTCTTCTTGTTCACAAACGTCTTGCTTGGAGAGACCATAAAATATGGTGCCGGTGGCCGCACGGTTACTTTCTTCGCCAAGGAAAACAAGGAGAGGAAAGCGTTGAATGAGAAGCTACAGGAGCGTAAGCGGCGGCGACAGATGAAGCAGGATGCTGGGGACAGCTCGGAGCTTAACATCACTTCGAAAGCCGTCCTGACTTGGGAGCGGCTGACATACGACGTACCAACGCCCTCTGGACAGTTGCGTCTGCTGAAAGATATCTTTGGCTACGTTCGTCCTGGGCAATTGACCGCTTTAATGGGCGCTAGCGGAGCCGGCAAGACGACTCTGCTTGATGTGCTGGCGGCCAGAAAAAACATCGGCGTCATTGGCGGAGACATTCTGGTCGATGGGGTGAAGCCAGGCGTCGGGTTCCAGCGAGGGACCTCATATGCTGAGCAGCTTGATGTCCACGAATCGACCCAAACAGTACGAGAAGCACTCCGCTTCAGCGCTGACCTGCGGCAACCTTACGAAGTGGCACGGGAGCAAAAGTATGCCTATGTTGAAGAAGTCCTCTGCCTGTTGGAGCTCGAGAATCTGGCGGACGCGATCATCGGCAGTCCCGAAAGCGGTCTTTCAGTGGAAGAACGCAAGCGAGTAACGATTGGTGTCGAACTGGCAGCAAAGCCTCAGCTCCTACTATTCCTCGACGAACCCACGTCCGGTCTTGATTCGCAATCCGCTTTCAACATTGTTCGATTCCTTCGCAAGCTCGCTGCTGCGGGACAGGCCATCCTCTGCACGATCCATCAACCAAATAGCGCCCTATTCGAGAATTTTGACCGACTTCTACTGCTCCAAAAGGGTGGCGAGACGGTCTATTTCGGGGACATTGGAAAGGATGCACATGTGCTCCTGGGATACTTCCACAAGCATGGCGCAGATTGTCCGCCAGACGCGAACCCGGCGGAATGGATGCTCGACGCCATTGGAGCGGGTATCGCTCCGCGCATTGGTGACCGGGACTGGGGCGAGATCTGGCGCGAAAGTGACGAACTTGCCACCACGAAAGCCGAAATCACTGAAATGAAAGCGACACGACAGCGCGAAGTCGCGGGTGCACCCCAACTCGACGAACGCGAATATGCTTCCCCACTGTGGCATCAGATCAAAGTCGTCTCGAAACGAACGCATCTCGCCTTCTGGCGGTCGCCCAACTACGGCTTCACCCGCCTGTTCAACCACGTCGCCATTGCGTTACTCTCTGGCCTGGCCTTCCTCCAACTCGACGACAGCCGCTCAAGCCTTCAATACCGTGTCTTCGTGATCTTCCAAGTCACCATCATCCCGGCACTGATCCTGGCCCAAGTGGAACCCATGTACGACCTCTCCCGCCTGATCTTCTACCGTGAGTCCGCGGCAAAGGCCTACTCCCAGTTCCCCTTTGCCTTTGCCATGGTCTGCGCCGAAATGCCGTACAGCCTGCTCTGCACGCTCGGCTTCTTCATCCCGATCTACTACCTCCCCGGCTTCCAGAACGAGTCTTCCCGCGCCGGATACCAATTCTTCATGATCCTCATCACGGAACTCTTCTCCGTGACCATGGGCCAGATGATCGCGGCCATAACGCCCTCGAGCTTCATTTCGAGCCTGATCAACCCCTTCGTGGTCATCACGTTCGCGCTCTTCTGCGGCGTGACGATCCCGAAGCCGCAGATCCCGGGCTTCTGGCGCGCATGGCTGTATCAACTCGACCCGTTCACGCGCCTCGTCTCGGGCATGGTCACCACGGAACTCCACGGTCTGCCTGTCGTGTGCAAGTCCGCGGAGCTGAACTCCTTCCCGGCTCCCAACGGCACGGATTGCGGCGAGTACATGCGCGATTTCTTCGATGGGGGCGGACCCGGGTACTTGGTCAGCAATGTGAGTGATGTGTGTCGGTATTGCGCGTATAAAATCGGGGATCAATTCTACGAGCCCCTGCAGCTGCATTTTGGGGATCGGTGGCGGGATCTGGGCATCTTCTCGGCTTTTATTGCGAGTAATTTGATTTTGTTGTTTTTGGCGAGTCGGTATTTGAATTTCAACAGGCGGTAGATGGAGAGGAGAAAGGGAGGATGCGAAACGACAAGGATGAGTGGAGGAGGTGGATGATGCAGAGAAGTGAGGACGGGTTTTGGGATACAGAGAGAAGACGTCAAGGACGAGGGTAAGGATATCAAGACGGGGAAGAGGTCGGGCTCGAATGGCACGACAAAGTCGGTCTTGGACACCCATGATCCTTCAATGTACACATATAACATGGTAAACTTGCATTATCTTCGAGTGGCCTCCATGTATGTAGTGAATACCGTTTACCGGGGTAGGACGACAAACCATCGCTCAAGATGCCATGCATATAGAGCTTGGAGCTCGACTCCCGCAGCCCGACGCTTGGCCATGAAATGCTCTGTGTTCCCAAGAGAACACTGGGATGGACGCTTCTTGGCCCCGCTGGGCTCGCTTCGCACACGTGGCCTTCTTCGCACCAGAGCATTTCCCTGGACTGCTCTCCCCAATCGTGATGCCGAAAACGGCTAGCAGATTCCTGGCAGCATGTCAGCCACGTGATCGACATCATCGACTCCACCGCCACAACCCGGTTTTTGCTGCATCTTGCGTCTCCGCCTCGCGCTCGAGCTCATCCTTGTCGGGTCTCTGCGTGCACCAGCCGCCCGTGCCGTACTTATCTCGCCAATCATCGCTCGTATCTAGGCGATGAGGCCCGCTTAGGACGGTCTGTTCTTTGAAATTGTGGCTTGATGTGTGACGTCTTTTGCATTCGACTCCGGCCTGCCTTTGACATGGTACATGGGACATGAGGATGAGGAAGAACAACCAGCCAGCCCCCCTTTCGAGAAGTCTATTTTATTGATCATGTAGTCGTAAGCTGCGTATACTTCCCTATCCTCCCTTCTGCTTTTCACGCGCCCCCGTTGTCTTCCGCGATATCGTGCGCTGCGACCGTCAATTGCGCTTTCACCTTGCTTCTTCCGAAGTCGTCCACCCACAGTCATGGACAACGAGAAACAGGAGAACCAGGTACCGAAGGAGAAACCACTCCATGAGTACGTCGCCGCAGCGAACCATGACTGACACTCCTCGGACCCTGGCAAGATCACTAAAACAGTTGCAGACTTCTCACCTCCTCACTCGTCGACATCTACGTCGGCCCGGAGTCGACGCATTGGACCCTCCACGAAAGACTTCTGACTTACCATTCGCCTTTCTTCGCCTCCATTTTCTACGCCGACGACAAGAAGGAAGAGAAGAAGTCTCGCGGAAACAAGTCTTACGGGCTCCCAGACGAGGATGATTACCCCTTTGAGCTCCTGGTGGGCTGGCTATACTCGAAATCCATTCGTCCTCCCAAGACCGAAAAAGACATAGGCCCTCTCCTCGAGCTGTACCTGATTTCGGAAAAATTCCAGATGGAAAAGCTCAGCCATGATGTCGTCGAAGTTGTCCGAGAATTCTACCACACCACCTCGACATACCCCGGCCTCCGCAGAGTCCAGTACATTTACTCTGAAACTGACGAAGACAACGAGATGCGCGAGATGATGGTCTCGTCCATCGCCCGCCAGTTGACCACGGCCGACATGATCCCGTCACACTGGGCCTCTGCGCTCAAGCGCAACGGGCAACTTGCCGTCGACATCATCCGCGCGATCCAGCAATGGCACATCGAAGAACGCAGCATCCCTGACGTCCGAGACGGCAGCCAATGCCGCGGCAGGCGCGCCAACGGCGGCATCTTCAGTGCCATTGAGCGAGCCACGGACTCGCAAGAAACGCATAACACGAATACCACCGACACGAACCTGGGCGTCGAGAGTATCAATAGTGGACAGAGTGACACGCCGAACGTCAAGAGCGACGCGGAAGAGTAAGTTTTCGCCTTGTCCGTGTACCACCAGTTCAGTTCAGTCCCGTCCAGCAAGATGAACACTTTTCTTCCTGCTTCAGGAGGAGTTAGTCCCTCCCTCGCAAAACAACAAAAAGGCAGAGTGAGCTTAAGCTGAGCACAAATTCCTCATGTACCAAAAGACCGCTCTCGAGAGAGTCGACGCCGCGACCGCCAAAGCCGCGAATCGATCCCCCGGACATACAGGGAGACAGAGAAGAGAAGCCCCAGCGATTACAGTTACCAATGCCAGCCTCGGTCTCGGATGCAAAACAGGCAACAAAAAGTGATGATTATCCACGGGCGTTGACGTTGAAGGACGCATGGCGATTTTCGAGCGCAACTCGGGCGGAAAGCATGTTCTTGCTTTCGGCGTGGACAGTGTATTTTATCTATTACGTAGGGTACGCATTTGGACGGGAAGTAAACTGGGGGTAGCTACGAGATATCTCGACAGGTTGTGCTTTGGTACCACGAATTTGTTCTCTTGAATTACTCGAATCATGTCTACTCGCCACGTTTCGAGCAGAACGCCGCTCCAGCTCAGAAGAGACCAGCGCGGCCAGGGCTTTGAGATGATTGTACTGTGTATTATCTCCCGCAATGCGTTGACAGTGCATGCATGGTCTACGGCCACGAACTGTTGAACGAAACGACGATACTGGTATCTCGCCAGATCATACGGAGTATACTGTAAGCGACCTCGATGACCAATCCCGCCAAGGCCGGCGAGGTCTCTCCTTTGTAAGAAACCAACCGCTAATTACATACCTGACCTGTTATATACTTGGACAGGCGCACGCCCCTGAAGACTCGCTGTCTTGCTCGATAGGAGAATGTGTTCCAGAACTATGGAAGGGTATGACGAGTGTAAGCAGCGAGCGATACTAGAGTAATGCGTTCAAGAAGTGTAAGGTACTGTAACGTCGAGCGTAAGCAGTGACTACCTACGCGAACGGTACCTCGCTGACTGCATCCCTGTCCCACGGCCTCGACCAAATATAAAAAGCAGTCTTTTGTGGATGTACGGTGTCTCCTTTTCTGTCTGCCATTTGCGATTGGCCATAGGCTGCTATGGCCGTTTTTTCTTGTTCATGTAATCTACCTACTACATCTTTTTCCCCTTTCCCACCCATCCTTCGAGTGTCCTAGACCGTGATTTGTTCCATCAATCGCCACAATGTCCCCCATGCAGTCCGACCATTCCTTGTACGTAGTCTGGTCTACATCTTGTCTTCTCTACACATCAATAGCATCGACAACCACGCCCTTGACCCAATCGTACTGCATGACGCGGGCCACCTCCTGGGCGCTCTCGTGGCTGACGAGCGCGCTGACGAGGTACAGGCTGGCATCGATCCCGCTGACGGCGCCCGCCGAGGTGATGACGCGCATGCCGCCCAGCTTCATGCTCTGGCGGCGCACGAGGTACTCCTTGGAGAGATTGCTCTCGCGGCGCGCGAGACTGCCCTTGCGCGCGTTGCTGCCCTTGCGGTTCTTCTTGAACACGTACGGATTCTCCTCGAGGTTCTCGCCCAGGTCGAACCGCGCGTTGTTGACCACGTACCGCTCTTCCATGACGTCGGTGCGCTCGCCGGCGTCCCGCGCCGCCGCGGCCTGGCATTCCTTCTCCAGCTTGATGTAGAAGTCTGGGTGCGTGGTCGCGGCCAGGCCCTGCAGGAGGCCCTGGTGCGCTAGGAACAGGCTCGCCGTGTCGACTGCCAAAAGGGTGCGCTCGCGGGCTGGGTCCGCCGTCTGCAAGTCGGCGAAGTCCTTGATAAGTGGGAGGGGCTCGGCCTCGGCTTTGACCATGGCCATGCATTTGTCTTTGCCGCCGGGGACGACCAAGACGTCGAACTCGCGAAGTCGTTTGTGCGCTTCCTTGAACGAAATGTGCGCCGTGAGCGTGACTCCTTGGGCGGTGAGGACTTCTTGTTGGGGGGCTGCGAAGGTGATGTCGAAGGCTTTGGTTTCTGGTGGGAGGTGTGCATGTTAGTTCGCGGCAGTGAGAAGGGGGAGTTTGGGTAAGAGGATGAAGGAGGGGATACGTGTTAACTTGAAGCCCCTTGCAAGGGGATTGTGTGCAAGGGGATGTATGAGGTGTCGTGTGTGATCGTGTGCTCGTGTGTGGCAGAGGGACACAACTGATTCCTTACCTGGGTTGTTGATGTCGTGTTGGGCATGGGTGAGGACTTCGAGAGGACCGGCAAAGTCAAGGAGGTTCATGTTTTCGTGCATGGTGACCAGAACCTGGATGGGTTCGGTATCTTCGCTCCGAATTGCACTCATCTTGCCGGCTGGTCAAGGGATGTGGATGTGGTGAAAGTGGAAGATGGAAGGGTTATCGTAGTGCGTGGAGACGACTTGTTGTAATAGTGTTTGAATGACCACGGGATCAGACAAACTGTGTGAAATGTTCTTTGTAGTGGGTGATTTGTGCGGTGTCTGAAGGTGTTAATTCAGGTGTCAACTCAGGTGTGTGAAAGGTGGCCTTCTGCCATTCAGGTTCAGCACAGCGCAGTCGGTGTCTGGTGTCTGCGGAGACCCCACGAATCGAAGGCCAAACGTGGGGTACTTAGAGACTAAGAGTCGACTGAGGGGCACCGGCGCCACCCTAAGACTTCGTGTCTGACACTGGCTCGTCCCCCAAAATCGGTGTGTCTCGGCTGTCTGACTGTATGTCTTCATTTTCTGAGCAGCGCACGAACTTCTTTTCGTTTCTCTTCTTTGTCGACTCATGCCATGCAAAACTTCCGTAAAAGCACCCATCCACCGCCTTCTTGCGTCTAATTGAAGAGTCGAATATATCAGACTAGCTTTCACAAGCGTCATATGCACTTGACCTCGCCTTGATCGGAGAGGACGGTTGAGTCATGAAATACGAGAAAGGCAGGACCACGACACCCCGCGACACCATACCGTGTATGATTTTTGTAACCAATTGAGCTTCGTCAGAAGGGTGCACTTCAACACGGAAGTCGAGCAGTGGGAAAGGTAGGTGTGAAACGTGCAGATATTGGTTACAAACTCATGTTCAGTCCAACACTCAAGTCGACCGCTTGTCCAAAGCCGCAGCGGCATCGCCCGGCGCACGTCCAACCGTTCGGCCAGGGGCCTCCAGAAGCTGTTGGCAGGGATGAAGGTCAGATTATTGCACTCTTTAACCAGTCATAGGAGCTTCGAGGCAACGCGCTCTGCGCCCGGAGAACACGGCTTCCTCCAGCCTGGGGCTTTCCTTTCTTCAACGGATGGGACGCGTGATCATGCCTAGCTACCCACGCACAAGTCTGACCCACATTGTCGATGTGCAGGTCTTGCAACGACTCATGGCCCTCAGACGCAATGGGCCCATGTCGGCGGAAAGCCGCGGCGTGCAAGTTGGAACGAAGGCCCTCCGCTGCTCGTCTTTGCGCTTTGCGCCCCCAGCCTGATTTAAGACCAGTACCCGAACCCGACAGAGGGTGGGATGGAGCCAATATCAAAGGCACCCTGATCCATGAGACCCTCTCCTCCATCTCAGACCATATATTCTCAGGTATGCAAATCGAAGAAGCCGATGGAGGCAACCCCTCTCTATCAGTCTCCGATTTAACAAGGTCCTAGCACACCCCATTGCTACTCTTCTTCAGCGAGGTGCTGCCAACGGGCAACGTTAAGAGCAAGCTCTCCCGTGACATGTCCAGATATAGGGGCAGGCGCTACAATAAGGATAACGGGGAAGTGCTTGGCGGACTCAAAGAGAGACGTGTAAAATGCCCAGGAGAATGCATACTATTGGCGGGAGAAGTTCGACGGGGAACGAGCAAGATGCCCGGCGTCACATGCAAGTTGCAGAGACACCGAGGCTCTACGGCGACAACAGTTACAGGTTTCGCAAGAGAAGCGGGAGGAAGACCAGCACCATGTGGATTTGACGCTGTTTCACTGGGCGGAGAACGAGCAAAAAGGCAATCGTGCCGACAGGGTGGCCCGGGAATATGCCCAACTCCAGGAGCGGCTGGCTCAACGTGAGCAAGAGCTTGAACAGTCGTGAGGCATTGCACGAAGAGACGCAGCCTTGCACAACCGACGCCGCGACTTTGAAGCTCGGCTTCAGGGTCCTGCGAAGGAGCCAGGGTTGATCGACTCGTACGTATCCCCGGATTGCAACCATAGGTTTGAAACGTTGGCAATATGTGACTTGAGTTGACTCCCCCCGACTTACAGGTCAACGAGACTTGGTGATTGGGAGGAACGGTTGTCACAGTCTGTAAAACATTGCATTTCCTGCACTTGTCTAATGTAGGAGTCTCCTTCATCTGAAGCACGTCAAACAAATGCTGATCGGGGTAAAAGTTTCTGTCATAGGCGCATATATAGCGCAGAACATGGACAACATGGTCATGAATCTCTTTTTGGCTGGCTTGGCCGGCGTCCCTTGGGTATGAAAAGCAGAACAACATCGATTGACGAGGTGATCAATTCAATCTAGGACGAGTCCTCAGTCCAGCCATAGCGAGAGGGGCCTCGATGACCGAGTCGACGTCGCCATCAACAGAGAACTTCAGTATGAATCCAGACGAAGCTCGCCAGGTGTTTCTGAGAAGCAGTGACCCTTCGGTCCAGAGACTTGGAGTAAGTGAAGTTGTTCTGAGGTGTGTGGTGTCTTCCGGCCTCGCACCTGATCCCATTCCTCCTTGAGCGACTAGTTCCGCATCGTTGTCAGAGCATTCTCGGGCGACGGACAATAGAACTCTTTACATCTGGACAAATGCTGGGTGTGAGAAACTCTTTGCACTTTAAGGTCATCATGTAGCTATAGAGCATGGTGAGGCGTTGTTTTCCGAACGTCAAGCGAGCGGGGTACAATACTCAGATTGCGAAGTAAGCTGCCTTCACGAAGGGTTTCCGCGGAGATGCTTTGAGATGGTCATCATGAACGTCCTATCCGCTCTGCTTGGTCAGTGGCAGGAAGTACCACCCATTGTGGCCGCCTTATTAGATGAGATGACTTGTATGGACCAGATCCGCCGTCCCCAATAAAGCTCTGACACCCCAGGACATCCCAGGACACTCGCCGCTTGCACTCCTCAGCCTTGATACCACCCTTCGCTTAGATCTATACACCAATTGGGCACTTACCTCATCAGTGGAGCGAATGCGAGTCTCGAGTACTCCGTACTGTGATAGGCTTGCTCGGACCTACCCTTTAGCGTTTATGTATGAGGCGGGCCGTTGACGGGCCTGAACATTCAGCCTTCAATGCGCACACCTGAGACGCCCTTTTAAGTCGTCACATTACAGGCTACCGTGGAGATGTCGTCGCCCTCGCCTCGTTGACTGTTCGTCCGCATTGTTGCCATTCATGCAAGGCCACTTAAAACTGCTCCACAGCGCAGACGGCCGAAGTGAAAAACAGCATGGCGTCTGATACGGCAAGGGCGCAACAGCGTATAACATCAGCCCAACAGGATGATCCTTCTTCAACTATATCCATGCAGTCAGTCCACCTTGGCCGGGATATTGGACAAGCTTAACTTGAGCTCAACCGTCGACGCGTCGCCGTAATTTCGATATAGAAACCTCTCGTCTCCAGCCACCTGCCGTCTTATTCGACGGTTTAATATCTGCTCACCACCTCTGCTGAGCACTGCAACCGTCATGACGGGCAACAAAGTCCTCGTCGTCCTAGGAAGTGGCCCAGGCATAGGCGTTGCAACCGGCGCTCTCTTCGCCTCGAAGGGCTTTGACGTCGCCTTACTCTCTCGCAACGCCGAACGCTTGAACCAAGATGTCGCCCGGGTCCGAGAGGCAAACCCCGGCGTCAAAGTACAAGCATACCCCGTCGACCTCGGCGATCACAACGCCCTATCATCGGTCCTAGGGAAAGTAGAGACAGACTTCGGGCCTCCTGAAGTGGTGTATTACAACGCCGCGAGAGTCGCGCCCTCAAAGATCGGGCAGACCGGTGCGGAGTTCGTGTTGGAGGACTTCAAGGTGGGTGGTGGCTCCGACGCCTGAGCTCTGTATCTGCTGACTGGACCGAAACAGAGCATGACCCTTGGTCTCTGGGTGGCAGCATCATGGGCACTACCGCATCTGATGGCAGCAGCTGAAAAGGCAAACTCTCACCCGTCGTTCCTCTTCACGAACAGTGGATTGTGGGATCGTCCGCTGGCAGACTTTGCTTCGCTGTCGTTGCAAAAGGCCGCGCAGTATAATCTCCTGTTGAGTCTCAAGCAGATGGCGGAGCCTCAGGGCGTCCACGTGGCAGGGGTCAACATTGGAGGTCTGGTCAGTGAGGGAGATGCCGTCATGAACCCGGGGAACATCGCGCAGGCTTTGTTTGAGCTGTACCGGCAAGACAAGCCTAACTGGCAATGGGAGAGCAAAGTTGGCGACTGGGATGAGTTTCTTAGGAAGATAGGGGTCCAATAGGTGCAATGTATGGTATGGTGCGGAGGTACTCTGTATGGACATTGGACATTCCGGTGAAAGGAGTCGCTTGTCTACCTAGGTAGCTGTGCTCAGATGATCTGTACACAATCCTGTCCTCCGCATTGACCTGCATCACTCCGCCGCGTGGAGAGAGCGAAACGGAAAGGACACGAGCTCCAACTCCTGACCTGCCTCTCCCGCTTCCGCCCCAGGCATCGTCCCAAAGTCGCAGCACGTGGAGATGGCATCATGGGGCTCGCGGGGCTTCGATTTCGGCTAAAACCATGCTTGGGAGCTATCCACCCACCAAACGGCCGTTGTTGAGGGGCAACAATCAAGAGGTAACTACCGTAAACGAACCGTTCGATCAAGCGATGGCGCCGACATGATCCAGCACAAAAGTTAGGTAGCGAGTGTAGTTTCTCCTTTGCTACCCACAGTACCGAGTACACCTGTTCTTCTACTCTTTCTCTCTCTGTCTCTCTCTGTCTCTCTCTCTTGTCGCCACTTTCTGCGACTTTGTTTGTTTGTTCTTCTGCGCTATACGTATCGCACTCGTACATACAATCCACCGTCCATACCTTGTGAACCACCACCACCACCATGCGCATCCCCTACCTGCTCCCGCTCCTCCCCCTTCTCGTCGCAGCCGACAGTCAAGCGCCCCTCAAGGACAAAGCCGCGGGCTGGTTCGACAAGGCCAGGGCCTACGTCTCGAGCGCCGTCCCCGCGGCGGCGGTTCCGGCCCCGGAGATCCCCCACCCCATCGACGCCGGCGCCGCCAAAGTCGCGGAAAGTGTCGTCGAAAAGATAACCGTCCGCAACTGGCAGCACAAATTGGCGCCGAAGCTGGACGCGGAGGAAGAATGGATGATCTACCTGACTGGCGGGAACAAGTCATGTTATGGCCGGTGCGGGCCCGTTAATACCGTGTGGAACGTATGTGATTATGCCGCTGCTGCCGTCCCTAACCAACGCCACCGTACCGAAGCCTGAATGATCCACTGACAACCGCAGGAATCCGTGCCCCTCCTCGCCGCGCTGTCCGCCTCACCGGGCTCGCCGCGCCTCAAACTCGGCCTCCTCGACTGCGAGAAGGACGAGGTCGTCTGCACGGCCTGGGCGTCCGGCGTGCCCGTGATCTACCACTTCCTGGTGCCCAAGGCCTCAGCGGGAGCCTCATCGTCTGCACAACCTTCCACCGACGCGCCCACCCCGCTACACATCGTGCCGCTGAACCTCACGGGCACGGAGGTCAGGGATATTGTGTCCATCCCCTCGGCGAGCAAGTCCCGATATTTGGACTACGAGGAGTATACCGGCCTGTTGCACCCGATTGACGGGCTCATGGCCAAGTTCGGCCTCTTGCAGCCGTTTGGGTACTTTATGTGGGCGCTGGGGTCGATGCCCGGGTGGGTCATGATGCTGGGGATCAGCTTTGTGAGCAGGCAGATCATGAGCCGGCGGATGGCTGGGTCGGCCGGGATACCGCAGGCGGCGCCACAGGCGCAGGCGGCCCCAGCGCCAAGGGTCGCGCCTGCCACGGGGAGCCAGCCTAGAGGTGGTGCTGGGGGGAGTGCGAAGAAGAGGAAGTGAGAGATGGTGTCAGGATGGGAGGGGGAGACTAAAGCATGGCGCGAAAGCGGAAAGGAGGAACAGGTCATCATCTTGAACGTCCAACCTTTAGTCCATGCGTTGCGTTGTTTGCTATGAGCACAAAAGTATCCGCTAATCCGTTCATATTGCAGCCTCTTCCCTCTGAAGACATAGCTTGGCCCGAGGTCTGCCTTTGAGCAGAGTCGGGCATTCGGTGCCTGATACACAATTCAAGCTCTAACCCGGTCGCTTTCTTTCACTGAGTTCGCCCTAAGCAACGCATGGTATCTTGCTTGGCTCATGGATCTGTGCGGACGGGTCAGAAGTCCCAACCATAGCCTCCTCGCAAGGGACCTTCCTACGGCGAGCTATTGATTCCGCTCTTGGCTGGGCCGTCTCTACCTGCATGCGCATCCTCGCCACCACCAGGCGTAATCTCCACCCCTAATTCGTTCTTCAGCAACTCAGTCAGTGAACTCCCATCCCGCAGGTAAATCCATTTTCCGCCAGTAGCTCCGTCGTCGCCGCCGTCAACGGTGCTCTCTGCCTTGTGGTCTTGTGAGGAGGAGGGGATGACCCAGTCGAAGCGCTTCGGGCCGGAGATCGGGGAGGAGAGCCAGATCTGGCGATTGGGAGGCTGTTTGTTGATCACGTAGGTGCCGTGTTTGGGGTGAGTGATGGTGAGCACTCCGGCCTGTGGAACACAAGGGGTGAGAAGCGTTCAACTACGTGTGCAAGCACATATCCGGGCCAGTAGTGTACATACGGAGAATTCAGATTCAACTCCCTCGGTGTTGCGCTCTGACACTTCTTCCATTGCCAGAACTAGAGTATTCAGGTACTGATCTGCGAGCTCGTGGTATTCGCCGTCGCTGATCTGGGCTGCTCCTGCGCCAGGGCCATTGCCGTGAGTGGCTTCAGGCTTTGGTGGAAGGGGGTCGCTGCTGTCTGGTTGGAGGCCTTTGTGTCGGAGGGCGTGGGTGGAGAAGCTGGCTGCTTGCCTTTGAGGTTCCGCCAGCGCCCGCGCAGCGACGCTGGAGGCTGCTGCGGGAAGGAGACGGGAGGTGCTGAATGAGGTTGAAGCTGCCGATGGTCGGTTGATGCTGCTTGCTCGCGCGATGCGGAGCAGTTGCCGGCTTGCCTTCATGGTTGCGGACCCTGCGTAGGCTGCTAGCGAGATAAGGAAGACACAAGTGTAGGCGCGACTGACAGGATCTTGTTGACTTTCTACAACCTCAACCAAGAGCCGTAAGGAAGTCAGCTAATAGTTGTGTCGGTCGAGACGACGAGACCATTGAAAGTCTGGCATGAGGGTTGACCACGGCCAATGACGTACAAATGAATCGGTCCGGCAGAAGCAGGCCTGGAGCTCTGTGATTGGCGGAATGCCCCTGCTCGCAGAAGCACTCTCGTTCCAGAAGATACGGGGGAGCTTGTACACAGAATGAAGAGTAGTGATTGAGCCATGCTTTCGTGATGACACAGACCATCCAGTCGCGAGCGAGGGTAGTATGTTTGATAGCCCATCTAGCTCTAACAACTTAGACCGAGAATGCGGAAGTCTCAGCTACATACAATACAACCAATGACCACGCCAACATCTCAAAAGCTCGTCCAGACAATCAATTCGAATGACAGTCTTTGAGCGATCTGAAGTAACTGCTGGCCTGGCCAGCGCTTAGCTCTTAGCTCTTAGCTCATTTGACATTTCGCAGCAAAACCTCGACCACCGTAGGCAGGTTGCCAGACGCCAGCATCTGAGAGCTTTATCGATCCTGACCATCCTCCAGGCTCGCCAATGGCAGCCAACTCAGTGCTTCGCAGATTGTAAAACACATTTCTGCCATTCGGTTGCCTGTGCCCTTGTGATCCGACCTCAGCGTCGTGCTGTTTGGTTCGCTGAGAAGCCTTCAGGGGTGTCCACCATGCACACAGCTCCTCTAATCCCAGTGACTTCGAGAGATGCGGCGCAAATAGGACGGCAGGATCGTGGCTCCGTGCATATTTACCACAATATCGTTGACGTCCCTTTAAACAACAACTGTTTGCACTGTGTATGTCTGCAACCGTCTTGAGAATGCTTGATGCTTGAAGTAGACAGGTGTGATATTGGTCTCCTACGCTCACCCCCGGGGGCGGCTGGAAGACCTCTGAACATGCATCAATTCTCCTTCAATATCGTAATAGCTTTGTTTTCATGCTTTTTCCCATTCTCTAACCTCGCCCGCCTTTGATTCGATATAAAAGCCCGCGTCAGGCACTCTCTCCTGATGGATTTCCTGCTTGGTCAAAGGCTTATCGACTTCCGAAACTGCGACTAGCTCTTTCACTTTCATGATTTGACCGGCAACTGAGGGCGTGACTGGGTGGAAGACGGTTGCCATTCGTTTGCGCAGCCCGAGTGCTTTGAGCACGTTGCCTGTTCGCGCTGGCAGGCCGATTGCGGAACGAACTAGGGTAATCCGAAAATAGGACATCGTTGTCGAACAACTGAGGTAGCACGAAGACTCGGGTTGGAAATTGGAACTTTAACGCAGCGGATGAGGGAGCTTTAGTTCCTGTAGCCGGTGTCAGATGTCAGGAGCTTGTGGTCGAGCAATCTCTTGGGGTGGACAGAACTAAACAGTACGGAGTACATCAGGATGAGGTACAAGGTTACCTAGGGATTTCGCAGGAAGCCACTCAGCCTCGCCTTGGCGTCGCAAGGCTAGCCAAACAGCCAATCACGAATTCGGGAGTTCGAGTCCTGGTTTATCATGGTTACACAAGAGTCGACTGCAGACGTACAAACACCGCCTCATAGTCTCCCAGCAAGCATAGTCTGCCGAGTCCAGCGTGATGACACCGTCAAGTCTGTTGAAGACCGGCCAGTCCTGTCACCTATTTGTCTGGTCACTCCGACCGACCAAGCACCATCGATCCATCGTGAGAGTGTCGCTTCACACCGCTGCAGAATTGGCCCGCCCAGCATTTCCCTGCCGCATCTGGAGAAATACGCTACATCTGAAAGCGGATGCTCATTGCATCCACGTTTTGATTACCCGCTACTCTTTACGTTTCGACTATTTGATCTAAGCAACAACAGACAGATGTTATCTCTCATGCTGAGTGTTCCGCCTAGGGGATCCATCATGGAATTACCTTTCAATCGCATCCCTTGAGATATGGGGTATCTGCTGTCCCAGTCATAACGTCTATCTGTCAAGTAGGGTTTACTACAGCCGCACTCCGTTTTAGCGTGCTTGACTCAGGATGGCAAGAGCGTCGGCCGAAACAAGGTCGAAATACGATGATAAAGGAGCTGACCAGTCTACTCTGCGGAATCGAGCAAATTGATCGAGCTGAGAGTCCTCAGTACCCGACACAAGTCATCCGTCTCTTTGGCGATTCGTCCATAGTGCTTCTACTGTGGAGACTTCGAGTCTAACGTCCATGCGGCAGCCGCTGTGGCGTTGCTCAACGCTGTGATCGGTTGCTGTTTACGACAGGACGGTGCGACCAAGAGTCGAGAACATCCGGCCTCACAAGAGACGTGAAGCGTTCAGCCAGCCATCTGAGGCTCGGATATGCCAACAACCCGCACTACTACCAGGATAACCACTTGGAAGAATTGTCGGCAAGCAGGTGATCGGGCCTAGGAAAGCCAAGCAGGAGCTAATCACGAACTAAGCAAGAGCTAAGCAACAGTCAACTGGGCGGCTCACCGCGCCAACTCAACCCAATTTAACCTCTTCAGGGACTCTCGCGAAAACCATAACCTTGGTCGCACCTCGACCCGGCTGTTTTCGTGTTCTGGTGGCAATAAAACGACAAATCCAGCCGCTGCATGCAGGAAGGCGTTCCACAAGCTCTGCAGTCAAGCTCTAACGGCCCGCAGATCGCTTCTTCACCAAGGCGTCGCCTCCGACGGGTGAACTTGGCTGGCTGAGGTCAAGTACCTACCGCTTTTGGAGTCTCGAGAATACAGACTCGACCCTGGTCATGTCGCCCAAACTCCAGCCACTCTACCCAAGGGGGTATGGAGACCTGCGACCAGGCGAGATCTCCGATATGATCGATTCGCATTGAAACGGTGAGACCTCTCAGCTGGACATCTGAAGCAATGAACAGAGGCGTGAAGAAGTTATATAATCTGCGGTGGACGATGCTCGACCCGCTAGACTCAGGTCCCGTCGTCCTGTACGCAACTGCTTGCACTTACTGAAACCACCGAGTCAGACACACCATTCGAGTACCTGCCAACATGAAACCCTTTTCTTTTATGGTCATTCTAGCAGTAGCTTCTCATGCCGATGCAGGAGCTTGCAACAGCGGAATTAACGCGGTCGCTGTGCCGTTGCTGAAGGGATATCCCCCGGCACAGTCTTTTTGCAGCGCAAAATACCCCCTACCACCCACGACTGTAACAGCAAAGGTCAAGCGTCGAGCATTGTCTACCACAACGACAAAGTCGACGACCACGAAATCACCGCTGAATCCAACCACAACCCTAAAGACCACCACAACGACTCAAGATGCCAAGGCCTTGCAATGGTCGTCCATTCTTTCACAGGCCGGCGCTGCCATTTCGACTTTCTGCTCTTGCATCGAGACACCCGTAACCAAGACAGTAAGTGGATATTCCAAGCAAAGGACAGAATCGCGTTTCGGGATCTCGATTCGCTAAACGGCTTCAGGTAAATCCGACAACAACGACGACGCCGACCACCACCACTACCACCACTACTACCACCACCACCACCACCACCTTCACTATACCGGTAAGCAATGCCCTTAATTTCTCTCGTTGTCTATGAGCTGATTTGGAATAGACAACGACGCCAACAACAACCACCAGCACCACGACCACTCCCATCTGCGTGCCGTCGGGCGGCGCCTGCGACGGCTCCTTGCCGTGCTGCAATGTCGGCAGCATCCAATGCTATTTCGGACAGGGAGATGTCCTAGGAACGTGCCGGACTGGAGCACCAACCACGCTTGACAAACGGCAACCACTCCCCACCAATGTTGTCCGAGGAGGTATCGGATACGGTGGAGCTATGGCTTAGCGAAGAAGATCTGAGCGGATGGGTACGATTGTGGCTCACAGCAAGCCGCGGCGCTGCTGAAACAGTCATTGTAGGATCAGACTGATTAGAGTATTGCAGTATATGGTATACGAGCCAGAGCCAGAGAAACTCTTCCCGTCCATTGAAGGCTGCATTGTACACGTCCGTCTGTGAAGTCGACGGATATTGATCGAAGTGCTCTCCCCTTAGATTTATGCAATATCGTCCTTGTATAGCATAACAATCGGCGCTGAGGACTCTGATGCTAGCAGTGGCTCGTGGCAGTGTTGGTCGCATCAGTGCTCACCGGACTTCTGGGTAATCAGGTTCTATCGCTCATACGATGGTGCGCTCAACTTTGTGTCAGGTATGATAGTACCTAGGCCCAGCCCATCGTGGTCTTGTCACAATGCAGCTGCGCCATCCAAAATACAGTATGTAGAGAAGATAAAGCCCACACTTCCTGGTGAATAGACATCCATCGGAATACAAAAATCTTTGACATCTGATGTCCTGCTCGCAAGAGGTGGAGTGCAATTGACATCTATTGCAAGATCAGTAAGGAATCTTTCATGGAAGTCGCCCTGCAAAGCGTGGTTGAGCGAATGATTGGTGAAGTGAGAACCGTGTCTGACATCTCCGACACGAACCGCGCTTCACCAGGGACCGGTTCGACAGAGGACGCGCCCACAACATTTCACCACATGTCGTAATCTGTCACCTCGCCTTCGCTGCATTCGGAGCTGCAGGCCTCTCAGAGCTGCAACCTCCGATGCATCTGGTGCACGCGCAGCCTGACAGTGTCTCTGGAGACTAACGAGCTACCGCCATAACCTTTTGCATCCCGTCACGAGCGTGGAGATGGCCACCAGGATCAGCGCGAATGGCACAGTGGGCATGCCGCGCATCCAAGACGTCCTTCGCACCCCAGAGGACCTCGAGAAGATCGCAAGCTTAAAGGCCGAAATCAACCGCAAAAAGGCCGACGTGGACGCCAGACTAAGAGAAGGGTTACAAGATCATTTGGACACTACGCACAATGGCATGTCAACACTGTCTGAGGGCCAAAAGCTGGTCGGACAGATCAAAGAAGAGATGAAGACTATCTACGACCTCTGCGAGCAGGCTCAGGCGATTCGTAGGAATTTCCCTCAATTGGACTACCTGGCCAAAGTCCATCGCAATTTTGAGGCGACCCGCGCAATGCAGGCTGGCTTGCAGACGTTCGCCGACGACTGTTACCAGGTTCAGAGACTGCTAGAGGACGACGAGAACGACCTGTATCAGCAGCCGCATCTTCTCGATGCTTACATGCGAGTGACTCGCCTGCGGGACTTCCGAGACGAAGCTCTGGATCAGATCCGCAGAGCCAGAGACACGAGCCTGGAAGGGGATCTGCTCAACCTCTTCGAACAGCTTGATGATGTGATCGATGCATTCGATGACCATCTCGGCTTCATCTGCATGAACCTCATTGACATCATTCAACGGACTGATGACCCCGGCATTATCGTCCGCCTCGCTATCGTGCTTGCCTCCGAAGAGAGAAACGACGACCGGGTCAGAGCCCTGCAGGATGCTCAAAAGGACCACCAAGACCTGGTCAGCAAATTCACATCATTCAACATTGGTCCCAAGCACATTCGAGGGTACAAAGACAAATTCATCAAAGCCATTGAGCAGGTTGCCGGAGACAAATTCCACAAAGCCAAGCAGGAGTTTCAAGAGGATCCTTCCAAGCTCAAAAACCAGACCAAATGGTTTGGTGAAGATCTTAACGCGGTCAAGCGAGGAATGCAGAACCTCTTCCCCAGAAAATGGAAGATTTTCAACACATATGTGGATATCTATCACAGGCAGATGCATGATTTCCTCATCTCTTTTGTAGATGCTGAAGACCTCCGGCCGCCGCAGATGCTGGCCATTGTCCATTTCGTGGAGGAGTACTACCGGAGAATGAAGAAATTAGGCGTACCGGAATCCCAGCTGAAGCCACATGTGCTCGACTCGCGAGAAGGCGAGCTCATCCGCGATTACAGAAACGTCATCACGAAAGCCTTGAATTCTTGGATCGACAGGATGTATGTGACCGACAGGAAGAACTTCATGTCGCGAGCGCCGGACGCTATCGAGCCAGACTCAGATGGGCATTTGAGATCAAAGACACTTGGCGATATGTGGCGGATGCTGCACGAACAAGCCGAAGCAGCGGGCGACTCCGAGCGCGAGGACGTCGTCGAAGGCGTCATGAGCGCCATGTTCAGTGCACTGAAGTCTAGGCAACAGCAGTGGGAGACACTGATCGACGAGGAAGTGGAGCGATACAAGAACCCGACGTCAGAACAGCTTGAAACTCTACAGCAACTTCAAGATTGGCTCCTGGCCATCGCAAACGATCAGATTGCCTGCGTAGATGACGCTGCAGGCGATGTGCTAGACGACCCCACCGCACAGAAGGGTTACTTGACACGGTTCAGAGAGGATTTTGTCAAGCTTCCTACCCCTCCATCTGCCAAATTCATGTCTACCAATGGCACGACGGAATTGGATGCTCTCCGGGATGGTTACGTCGACTTGGCTACTCACTGCATCAATCGCTTCGTGCAGCTGATTTTCAGAGTCGATTTCCGCACAATCATGACAGAACTATTCGTACCGGGCAAGTGGTACGAACAATCTGCAATGCAAAGAATCACTACGACCTTCGACGACTACGTCGGAGACTACAACTCGGTGCTCCATCCATCCCTGATGGACATTCTGATCGAGGAGCTGTCCGATGCTCTACTGGTGGGCTATCTTACTTCACTCCGCACCAATCGTGGCGTGAAGTTCAGAAGGGGTGAACCATTTGCCGCCAAGTTCAGAGACGACGTACTTGCCGCATTCGCCTTCTTCGAGAAATACCCTGACAGCTTCAACGAGACCATCAAACCTAAATGGAAAGCTGTGAACTATACGGTGCAACTGGTCGAAAGCGACAAGAATGAAGTCGTGCCGAAATACGAGCAGTTCAAACGGGACTTCTGGGATCTGCAATTGAGCTGGGTGGAGGCTGTGTTAAAGACTCGTGACGACTGGGACCGTGGCATGATCACAGCTGTCAAACGAGCAGCAGCGAGCACATACGCTGAACGCGGCTTGGATACTGTCATGGGCAAAGTCAAGTGAGGCACCGTCTTTACTGGATGCCATAGCGGGTGTCAGCTTTGTTCAGCTTTGCCCATCTAAAATGGCATTTCCTGCCTTCCAGAACAGAGGCCCCCTGTATACAGAGTGTGGCTCACTTTGTCTTAGCTCTCGAGAGAAGCTCGCCACCGGTTTTCGTGGCAATGAAAGCCGACTTCGACGCTTCAACCGGCCAGTCGGAGTGGCACGTCGGCGCCCTTCACCAATATGTAGTCCCATCAAGCAGACTCGCAGGATCACTCAATGTCCCTAAGAGGAGGTCCATCGAAGATGGCCCGATCGAATATTGCAGAAAACGGCAAAGATGCGGGGTTCAAGTGGTCGAGGAAGCGGACGTTCTTGCCCGAAGAACTGCTGTGGCTGATATGTGGAAGTGAAAGGAGTTGGATTCTATATGAAAGGCCAACCACGTGTAGCAAACGGACGACATTGACTGGTCCGATTTCGCCTTTCGCCCAGCCATTGGGCGCATGATGTCTTGGTACGAGCTCTCGGCCTCCCAAGCATTACCAGCGCGACCCAAGCAGCTGGCTTAGTGTCACAGCAATCTTGGCTGGCTCGGCGGAACACTTGGCATACCTCTGTGTTCCGCTCCCGCTATCAACATGATGTTGTCCATTCAGATCTCGAGCTTGTATGCCGCCCAGGTGTCTTTGATATGACGCGATGACCTGCTCGACATTGGATGCTCTCTGCACATGGGCGCGCGCCAGCATACAATTCGTTCGTTGTCCAGTCTCAGCCTGGAGTGTCAAGATGAGCTCAAGATACAGTCGGTTAATGCGCGAAGGAGCGCGTGGTCAGCACGCCATCGTCGCACTGTTGCTCCGTATATATTAGCGGACTCGCGAAAATAGTATCTGTCCTGAGGTGGCTCTCCTACCCAACCTTCCCATCAGTCGTGAGACCGAGAGATCTGGTCATCTGCGAATCCAACCGCAACCATGGTGCTCCAAGCGTTGAAAGAGTCGTGGGTTATGTTCACCCCTGTCGAGAAGAGGAACATTGCCATCTACATAGTCGGCATTATGCTGTACAAATTCGGACTCGAAGCGTTCAACGGTTCAGTTGTCGCCCTTGCAACGAACAAGTACGACTATGAAGCATGGTTGACCGACTCGACCCCCAGGACCTTCGAGCGTGTCGGCCTATTGACAGGCCTCAACCAAGCCTTTCAGTGTGTTGGCTCCATCCTGATTGCTCCCCTCATCAAGCGGTGGCCGACGAAGCTCGTTCTCGCCTGCGCTGTCATGGTCTTTGGCGTCATGACGGCTATCCTCCTCATCGTGGATGCCGGCACGGGAGGTCGCTTCAAACCCGACAATTGGGACGATAGCCACGACGAAGACGACTTCGGCTACTATGGCAACTACAACGCCAATGGCATCATCCCCATCTACTGTGTCAGCGGCATCGCCTATGGCATGGTCGAACTGATCCGCCGTGTCATCCCCAGAGATATCGTGGGTGGCAATGTCCAGAAGCTCCGACGCATGGACTCACTGGTGCACATCTTCTATGAGATCTCCGGTACGGCCGGTGCCTTCTGCACTGCTCTGGCATTGATCCCCGCGTTCGGGAACAACTACTCCTTCATCATCACGCCCATCTTCTTCGCCGCTGCCTCATGCGTCTGGTTCTTCGTCTCCAACCTCAACTACTCCAAACCGCTGCAGGAGAAAGGCGGCAATTATCTCGTCGCAGTCGGGATGGGATTCTTTCTGTTCTTCCAGTCCATCTGGACTGGCTTCAAAATCATCTTCTCGTCCAGGAAATTCATCTGGTTGTTACCGGGCTACTCTTTCGCGCTGTATGGACATCGCTATCTCGAGAACGGTATCGCACCCGCTGTTGCGCGGCGGTATCTCGGAAACTCGGCCTGGAGTCAGATCAGTAAGTCTCGTCCCTTCCACTCCGAAAAAGCTTCCCCAACAATGCTACTCGCATCGGCTCCTGCTCCGGGTCAAGAGACACTAACACTGGCTCTAATTAGTGGTCGGCGGCTCCAACTTCGGAGAACTCCTAGGCGCGGGTTTCGTCTTCCTGTTCACAAACCTCGTGCAGACCCCGATGCCATGGCTGCGTCTCGACTCCCTCATGCTCCTGATCGTATGGTACCTTCCCTACTGGTACCCGGTGCGGGGAGACGTCAACGAAGCATGGCGCGTCGCCGGCACCTTCATCCCCATCTCCTTCGGCTGGGCCGCCGGCGATGTCAGCCTCGCGGCCTTCATCCAAGCCAGCCTGGCGCGCCTGGAGGCCGAGAACACCGAAGTCAGCGCCCTCGGCGCGGTCATGGCGTTTCTGTACAGCACGTATATTGTCATCTACGCCATCTGCTCGCCCCTACTGGGCCGATATATTGACTCCGTGTACGCCAGTACTGGCGGTAGCGAGGGCGGCGGCGACATCCACCGCGCGATCCGAAACGTGGGCGGCGTGCAGTTTACAGTGCTCATGGCCGTGGTGCTCTCCTCGACGTTCATCCCCAAGGGCGCCTTGTCGTTCAACCCCAAGATGTTGAATGATGAGGTGCTGGATAAGGATTTGGGCCTCGATTCAGGCAGCGAGGCCGACGGGTTTGCCGACAGCATGACCGAGAAGGAACGCAGGCAGAGTGTTGTGCAGATGAAGATGGATGAGCAGGCCGAAGGGCGTAGACAGTCCGTCACGAGGGTGACGGCTGATATCAACGACACGTTCTCCCCGGACATGCACAACATCCGCGAGGAGGATGGCGGGCTGGTGAGGTGAGGTGAGGTGAGGCACCCCAAGACGCCTCTGTTCCTCGGTGCTGCCTGTCTACACGACGATTTCCGGCGCCTAGACGAGGTGTTGTGTTACAATACATTGACGACGGTCAATATTTCGACCATCACCACGGGAAGCACCCAGGCAGGAAACGTGTCGGGTCAGATCAGGTCAGGTCAATTCGATACGAAAGATCCCTTGCCCGGACACGAATGCCGGTCCTGTGCACTGGAGCTTACGGTGTACTGCGTTGCTGGCATTCTTCTACCCGTACTTGAGTACTGTCATGGTCGACTTGTCCTCCTCGTACCCACTCCACTCGAGCAATAAGATGTCCCTGTCCCATCTATGCATTAGATCGTATACTTTATTGGTGAGACTTCACAATCCAATCCATGGTATTGATTATATACTTTATTCTTTGAGAACCCACAATCGGGACCGAGTCGACTCGTCAGCCTCTCTCTCTCTCTCTCTCTCTCTCTCTCTCTCTCTCTCTCTCTCTTTCTCTCTCCCTCTGATATTCCCATCTGCCTCCCCTCCCCCCAATTTCTCTGTCTCTCTCTTAGCTGCCTGCCTTGCCTGCCTGAGTGACATCTGGAGCGCAGGACAGTTCCTGCAAACTCTGCTGATCTTCTGTTAGCGATGACCTCTACAGACACTCCTGTCTCGGTGTGGAGGTCCTGTAGTTGAAAGCTGACCTGATCGACGAATATGATTTTCGCTGGACTAGAATTTTGGGCAAATGAGGCCACTACGGAAAAGTCAATTTGCGCATCTCTAGACATACACTAGGTAGGGGCGTGTCGAAAGTGTTCAACTAGCCTGCGTCTTGTATAAGATGACAATACGGGGGGGGTCTGAAAATGAACCATTCTATGGTGCAAGTAGTGAGAAGGAGTATTCATGAGAAGGCTGCTTCTTCATTTCACCCGACTTCTCGGAGCCATTTATAGGAATCGCTTGATGCGAAGCAAAGGACGAGCAAATGCCCATAGCAAAGTGCTGCCATACGTGATGGAACAAGATAACAACGGATTTCGTCTTCTTCCTCTTTCACATTGGAATCATCGAAAACATTGGTCTTCAGCTACCAGCTGGGGACGAGAACAGCCACTTTTGCCATTCAAGCAGTCCGCCGGTTGCCGGTGGACATCAATGTAATCTTCTTCTTCTTGCCTTTCTTTTGCCGGCCTCCACCACTTCCACCACTCAAGCTTGCCTCGACCATGGCCACGGCCTCGCTCTCATCCAGTAGGTCTTTTTCCCAGTCTTGAAGCCAGCCGTCATCTACCTGTGCAGTTGGAACTGGAGCAGCAACCACGGGTGGAGACGTTGGAGCCACTGCCGTGGTACCCCAGACGGTTCGAGGAGCATCAGGACTTGTACCAGGAGTGGCCAGAGTTGCAAACGCAAATTGAGCTCTGTTGTTGCCCCACGGAGGGGTTGTCGCTAGATTGGACTCCAAGCCTGGCGAAGAGCTGACATGAGTTGATGGTTCAGCCAGTGGTTGGAAGTCAGTGTCGGTGAAGCTCTTAGTGCCGACACTGGGTCTCCGTGGTCGTCTAGCGGCTGCCCAGCGTTTGTCTTCCTCTTCTTTCTCTGCCCGTATTCTATCCCTCTCTTCTCGTGCTTCCTTCTCTGTATTTCTCTTCCTCCGTCTGGAAATCTCCTCTCTAAATTGTTCTAGGATCGTGGGACTGATGACATCTGTCCAGTCGCATTCCAGGAAAGTCACTTCAAAGCCATACGGTAAATGAGCCATGTATTTTGCTCTTTTGCGAAGGTCGTCATCTATGACATGTCCCGTGGAGATGTGCTCCACCCGTGGAAGGATGGTTGAAGGGAATGCCGAAAAGTCGCCGAAAGCAGCCTTGAGAATTCGAATATCCAATGGTGAGAGGAAGAAATTCGGCAAGGCATGGTAGAAGTAGAATGAATGAGCCAGAGGTCGAGAGGGGCCATGCCCAAGCCTGGGCGGGATTGGGGCGGATTTTGTCGGAATCCCGGTCGGACTGAGCGACATCTCTTGCACGGCAGCGGTTAGAGTAGAGTTCTGCTCCTGATCGGCCGCATCCCAGGATTCTGGCACTTCAGTTCGCTTCGCGCCAGCCGAAGTTGTTGGTCCCGCAACAGGAGGGTTGCCCAAACCGGACAATTTCTGCTTAAGATCTTCAATTGATAGCACAGCTTTTCGGGTCCAGGTATTGTCGTCACCAAACATTAGCTCGTCTTCCTTGCCCTGAGTATCAAGGTCTGCAATCTCCTGGTTATATTGAGCAACCATGTAGTCTTCACCACCTTTCATGAAGCGTGCATAGTCCATCATTCCAGCAACATGGAACCAAGGAATGTCGTCAGAGCGACCATAGCTCTCGGCAGTGTCACGGGGTAGGGCGAGTGTCGTGCCTGGCTCTCGCTTCAGCAGCTTCAGGAGTATATCGCCACCTTCGCTTAGCAGGCTCACGTCATTGCCATATATCCATCTAACCGGCCTAGTGTCCGACATGTAAATGCTGTCCTCGCATATGGCACACTTTTTCCACCTGGCTCGCTTCTCGGGAACAGGATTGGACTCGTCGGTCGAATGCATGTAGCGGATAAGACATGATAGGCAGTAAATGTGGCCACACTTGGCCATTCGTGGAGCCACTGGAGTGGATAGACAGATCGGACAACTCGTATCTTGAGTCTCGGCTGAGGCCAGGACTTGAAGGACGGCATCCCAGCTGACATAAATGTCTGCATCGACTGTCTGAGCATGGTATTCTCGATCGGGTCGGACAATGAAGCGATAATTTGCGTGGACGTAGCGGGCCTTGTCAACGGCATGGTAACCCGAGCCGAGTCCCCATGTACGATGGCGTGTTTGATTGTGACGGTGATTGTAGTGCTGAAAATGGTGTTGGGGTCTGGGAGGGAGGGTAAAGTTCATCAAGTGGGTAATCGACGTTTGTCCTTTTCTCGAATTGACTGATTTCATGGCTTGTGTCTCATCCTCATCAATGAGCCGTGGCTTCTTTTGTTGCTTGTGCTGTTTCCGGAGGGGCTGGTTCCCGCGCGCTTGGGAAGTTTGACGCGTCAGAGCAGACGGCCCAGCACTTCCTGAGCTAAGTGATCGTTTAGAGAAGGAGTTATCGGGAGCAGCCTGAGAGTAGTTGGACGTTGATGAGGCTGGAGGAAGTTTGCTCGCGGGCTGAAGAGAGGTGGCGCTGGATGACATCGCTACTTTGGATTGACTCAAATGTCTCCTCAAGTCCTGCAATGAAGCAGACAAGGGTCCTCGACAATAAGCAAGAGGGAAAGAAGAGTTCACTTGATAGAGAATGGAGTTGGCACTGAGGCGGACGGAAATCACCCCAATGAAGGGGTGGTGAGAGGTGACTGAAACGGGAACCAGCGACAACGATGTCGAGATGGCAACTCATGCTGTGACGGACGGAGGGGCAGCCGAATGACTCTAACTAAGCCCGATGCATGAGGTAAGCGTGCGAGGGAGATTTGGAGAAGCCGGGGCGCTCGACCTTTGCGCTTACTGGCTGCGATGGTGGTTAACAGATCCGCTCGACCTGCGAAATCCGCCGAGTTGAGAAGACTGACTGCGCAATTGTTACGGTGCTTGCTCTGGACGACTCAACCTCAACACTTGCATCACTCTACCTCTTTGGTCGCCTTGCCAGACCGGTGTTGCCTCGGGGTTGCCTCTGCCCTCCTGCTCTCTCTGCTGCTATCCGGTGATTCGATCGACTTCTCGTCGCCTTCGCCATCGTCCGCCTTCCCCTGGGCACAGCCAGAGGACAAAGCCCTATCGGTCTCTCACTTCCACCTCGTCTTTTCTTACCACGGCTTCTTGATCATGGACCAGCAAGGGTTGTCGGTTTAGGAGGCCGAAGGTCAAGAGAGAGGTAAACGCGCCGCGCATCGACCATCCACATCATGTCCTGGCGAAGAAAGTCCTGAACGCGACTTTATCACAACCATGCAACCAAACCACCATCCCTATGGGCAACATGCCATGCCCATCCAGACTCCTCAGAGGCGGCACGAGGGCCCATATGCAGCCATGCCGCTGCCCATGAGGCAGCACCACCAGTATCAGCCATACTATCAACAACACATGGCTCCTATGATGCCTCAATATCCGCAGCAATACCAGCCCAACTGGTATGGATATCAACAACCACATATGCACCCTATGCATGCCCGACCGCCATATTATCCCCAGCATAGCATGCCTCCGCCTCCATATCCCGCAGCGGTTCCTCCTCCCGCTCCCCATCACGGCCCTTTAGTGGTATCGTCGCCGCAGCACGTTCCGCCTCCTCCTCGGCAAAGCCAGGGCGTCCCGCCTGTGCCGCAACAGACCATCCCGACCGCTCCCTCGATCACCTCCAACCCGGTTCATACGCCGCCTTCTCCACCATTGAGCACCTCGAGCACTGTGAACACAAGAAAAGAGACGATATCTCCTGCTGTCTCACCTGCCCCGCAACGGGTTCAAAGCCCGTCCATTGACGCACCTCGAGAACCGTTTCAGCCACCTGTGCCTTGGCTGTCAGTCGAAGGGGAGCCATTTCCCCCGCGAGCTCCGCGACGAAGACGTCGCATTTTCCGGTCGCTTCTTGCATCGGAACCAGTTGTATACCCTGTGGTGGAACAGCCACCTTCACCACTTCCTGAAGCAGGGGCACTACAAGATCAACAAGAGGCCGTACCACAGGAAGTGAACGCAGATACTTCCACGGAACAAACTTTCGCACAAGCTTCCCAAGCCTCGACTCCTTTGCCTTCGGATGCCCCTTCCGATGCTGCTTCTACTCAGCCGACTACCCCTTCATCTGCGGCTCCTGCGTCCCTTTCGAAGACACCGACCCAACCCAAAGCTCGACCCCTAGGCCCTGTTATACCAGCCGTTCCTATCCTGCCTCCTAGCCCTTCTGCGATCCGCTCTGCTCACCGTGACTCAGTCGTGTCCACACAAACAAGGCTATCTGACACCGCGCGGTCATCCGTAGAAGTCACCGAGCCTAAGCCGACTTCTTCTGAAGCGCAAGTGACCAAGCAGGGCTCCGAGGTCACCGTTCCAAACGTCTCTCCTTCCACACCGAAGTCTTGGGCAAATCTTTTCAAATCTAATGACCCGAAAGCCGGGTCGTCTGCCACGATACCCTCTCAGGCAGCGTCATCCGTTTCTGGAACAGCGAAGAGCGAGACCTTGTCCGACGTGCTCAATGACATGAACGCCGTCGTCGAGGCACCAACCACTGTCTCTTTCCTGAAACCACGTGGTCTCGTCAATACTGGCAATATGTGCTATATGAATTCTATATTGCAAGTTCTTGTGTTCTGTCTGCCTTTCTACGAGTTTATCGCCAAAGTCGCCGACAGAGCGCCACATACCTTCAAGAGCGACACGCCTTTGATTGATGCGATCATCATGTTTGTCCGAGAGTATCCGATCATTTGCTCCGCCAACTCTGTCGACCAGCTTCGCCTGCGCTTGAAACCAGAAGACTACGAGAATTTCGGCGATAGTCTCATTCCGGAGTATGTCTATGCGGCGATCAAAGATTTGCCGCGGTTCCGCGAAATGCGAAGGGGCCATCAACAGGATGCTCAAGAGTTCCTCGGCTTCCTCCTGGAAGAATTACACGAGGAGTGTGCTCGCGCCATGAGGTCTATTACGGCCCCGAGCTCCGGCAGGACAACGCCTGTGGGTAGCGTCTCGAACGCATCTGAGCACGCTGATGCTGAAGGTGGCTGGATGGAAGTTGGTCACAAGCAGAAAGCCGCTGTGACCCGATCGTCTGGAATGCTTGCTGCTGAGTCTCCTGTGACCAATATTTTTGGCGGCAAGCTTCGATCAGAGCTCAAGGTCTCAGGCAACAAGTTATCCGTGACTCTAGAGCCATACTCACCACTTCAACTTGACATCGGCTCTCCTCAAATCAACAACATCATTGACGCCCTGAAAGGACTGACACGACCAGAGAGCATGCAAGGCGATTTCCATACTCCAAGGGGTGTCAAGGCCACCGCAACCAAGCAAGTCTTTATTGAGACTTTGCCTCCTGTTTTGATCCTGCACTTGAAACGATTCCACTATGACAACACTACAAAACGTGCTGAAAAGATCTGGAAGCGTGTGGGCTACCCGCTAGAGTTAGAAATCCCTAAGGAAGTCTTCCCCCTGCAGGTACGGAACAAGTTCACAGCTCATGGCGGACTGCCCAAATATCGTCTCACCGGAGTCATCTATCACCACGGCAAAAATGCCAACGGCGGACATTACACTGTTGACATCCGCCGGCAAGATGGTCGCGAATGGATTCGAATGGATGATACCTTGCTTCGCCGCATCAGAGCTGAAGATGTCGCCGAAGGTGGTAGCGAAGAAGATCCGAAAGTGCTGGCCGCAGCACTCGAGCGACACAAAGCTACCGGCAACCGATTTGACCAGTTCGAGCAGGAGGAGGAGGAAGCCGAAGCGTCGGACAAAGCGTGGAGCCAAGTCAACGGCCATTCAAGATCCAAGTCTACACTGAGCGCAGCCGTCAACGGAACTGCCACCCCCAAAGACTCCTCTGGGAAAGAGACGCCGAACGCCAAATATGCCGTCAAAGACAACAAGGTTGCCTATCTGCTGTTCTATCAGCGGATACAATAGTAGTGAAGGCCTTGTATCACGACAGAAGCTGCAAAGTGCTCTAATGGCCTGGTTCGCACGCATCTAGTCCGCCAGCAGCTTCGGGTTCTTACCATGTCTTGTAGACGATGACCATTGATGACCTCAGTTCAACTACCGCTGTTCTTATTATCGTCACAGCGACATTCTCGAAAAAAGTGAGCATTTGCTGAGGTTGGGAGGAGTTTTGAGAACTCGAAAAATTCACCCGTCAAGTCTGAGGAGCTATTTGCGATGCATAGCGGAGGAATGCTCATGTGCCCTGCATGGATCGGCTTCCCTGAGCGTCAACCTAACATCTTCTATTTTGCCCGTTCTCAAAGACCTTATGACCCTGTTCTTCCAGACCTCTACCGGTTTGAATTCGTCTTACCCAACACCTTCCAGGCGAGATTTCCGTGGGAGGGAGAAGATACGACAACATCTATTGGAGGCTGAGATGAGAAGGAAGGGTGGGAGTCAGAGATAGCGAACTAATCCTGAAGGCAGTGGCCATAACAACCTACTGAATGTACCTACGACCTTCTTCGCGGCAGTTGGAGCCTACAATGACGCTGGCAGTCGTGACCTGTTGAGGGTAGCTCAGATGTCCATACTTTGCCGAGCACGTCTTTCCTCAGGGGGAAGTGACAGCCTGTAGTCAATTGCGTCTAGCCAAGAGAAAGAACAAGATCATTTACCTTTTTCCTTGTCTTACCTCTTTAACATTTCCCCTTCGCAACTCATTGCCAACCTATCCATCCCATCTAGACGAGCAAGAATTCCGGAATATCGAAGTAACTGAGCGCAAGGTGATGTTCTCCGAGGATTGTTTACTTGATACAGCCTTGCCGGTATCATAACCCTTTATGTAGGTGATCAAATACAGGCGGCGAGGCTAGCTCAACTGATGCCATGTATTCTCGATGAAGGTGTTCGCCACGGTCTTCAGGTACGAATAAGCTGCTTCAGATCTCAAACGGCCACCCCTGAGCAGTCAGTCGCCGCGAGCGTACCTTTGAAGCCCAGCCGAAAGCCTGAATGTTTGACAGGGGTTGCGTCATGCTATTACCTTTCTGGTGCGCCTAATTCCTCAGAGTCCGAATCGATCTGCTGTGCTTTGCTGCGATCTCGGATCCTGATATAAAATCATTCGCACAACGAGCCTGGCTGTCAATGTATGTGGGAGCAAGTAACGAGGAGAAGGCATGTTTCAGGCCGAATATGAAATGCAGCGAAGGTAGCTGGAAAAGGAAGTGGGCAAAGTGAGCTGAGGCTCGAATTGCCTGACTGTAGCCTTGGCCCGTCAACGCAGACCGTCGGCTCTGGGTTGCGGGTTGGCTCTTTTCTGATCAGAGCAGTCTGTCTCGCTTCGGAAAGCACACACATCCGCGTCCATTCTGTAATGATGGATATTGGGGTGGAAAGCTGTGAAGCTGGTTTCTCACAAGGCTCCAGCTCCCACTTCCCAGCCATTCCAGCTGGGTCAGAATGCTAGTGGAGACGAGGCCACATCCGGTGAAGTTTCGTTCTTCAACAATGGACGCCCCATATGCAATGCAAATGGAGACAGGCCTCGAGGGAATCGTCAACCCCAAGTCAATAAAATTGTAGAACTGGCGAGTGCGATGGAGTGTGGACGAGGCTTAGGCGCGAATGCGCTGGGAGGAGTCCCTGGCGGTCGGTGACGAACGCTGGCCCAAACGCCAAGATTTCATCCCAAAAGGGAATAGTCCACAGACACCTCCAAATTTCGCAGGCTCGGCCATATCAATTGCATCGAACATTTCGACCTAGAACGACGACACCCTCCATCTCCCTCAAACACCGCACCGCCCACGAGAACTTTGTAAGATGTCGAACCGTCCCACCGTCGGCATCCTCGGCGGAGATGGCGCCAGCACAGGAGACACCCATCCTCTACCTGCTGTTTTCAGCTCCCCGATCCGTCCTGATGTCGTCCAGTACGCAGAATTCCCCTGGCGATCGCAAACGACAAAAAAATGAGCTGACGATGATCCCGCAGGACCGTTCACACCGGCATGGCGAAGAACAAGAGGCAGGCATACGCCGTGAGCGAGAAGGCAGGCGAGCAGACCTCGGCCGAGTCATGGGGCACAGGTGCGTTGGAAGCCACTACAGGAATAAAATCATCGGGTGGACGGACTCTGACACGAAATATCCAGGTCGTGCTGTCGCACGTATCCCTCGTGTCTCTGGTGGCGGTACACACCGTGCCGGCCAGGCCGCGTTCGGCAACATGTGCAGAGAAGGCCGCATGTTCGCGCCCACCAAGGTCTGGAGAAAGTGGCATCAGAAGATCAACTTGGGCCAGAAGTACGCATACCCTACGCTGTGATTCTAGGACACCTCTAACGTGTTGACCTCTGCAGGCGCTTCGCAACCGCCTCGGCCATCGCCGCCTCTTCTGTTCCCGCCCTCCTGCTCGCCCGCGGCCACCGCATCTCGACCGTCAGCGAAGTGCCCCTCGTCATCTCGAGCAAGATCTTCGAAGGCGCCGCGTTGGTCAAGACGTCTGCCGCCGCAGCCCTCTTGAAGGCCGTCGGCGCAGGCCCGGACATCGTCAAAGTGCAAAAGTCCCGCAAGCTCCGAGCCGGCAAGGGCAAGATGCGAGGTCGCCGCCACCGACAGCGCCGTGGTCCCTTGGTCGTCTACAACCCCGAGACGGACGGTCGGGAACTGGTCCGCGCGTTCCGCAACATTCCCGGCGTGGAGACGTCGTCGGTGTTCGCGATGAACTTGCTTCAACTCGCCCCGGGTGGTCATTTGGGCCGCTTCATCATCTGGACCTCTGCTGCTTTCGCGGCGTTGGATACCATCTACGGGTCTACGACTGAACCGTCGGCGCTGAAGAAGGATTTCCTCCTGCCCAGCAACGTCGTCTCCAACGCAGACGTCACTCGTCTGATCAACAGCTCTGAAATCCAATCGGTGCTCAGAGAACCAAAGGGCTACGCGACTACCAAACGTACCGGTGTGCAGAAGAAGAACCCGCTCCGCAACAGACAGGTCCTGCTTCGTCTCAACCCTTATGCCGCGCAGTACACGAAGGACAAGATGGGTCAGAAGGGCGTGGAACATGGCAAGCCGGAGCCCGTCAACGCCAAGTTCCATGAGACCTTGCACGAAAATTAGCCTGGTGTTTCGGGAAATGAAATAGTTGTGCTTTCTCAGGGGTGGTGGATAGCTACGAGTTGTCCGACCGCGTGCGGTGGCGGTGAGGAGGAAATGCACTGTGTTAGCCTTCTCCGAGCGTGGTCTGGGTGAAGTCTCCTGTGATGTCCTTTCTCATGGCCCATGACACACCTAGTTAGGAAATCAAAGACGTGAATCTTCCGATGAGTGCCTCCCTTCCGCGCCTGCGAATTATGGTGGTGTGTTTGAGTGAGAGGTGTAGCAAGATCATACATTCCGTGGTGTGTATTGCCGACCCAGCAGCTTCCTGGTGGTGAATCTCGACTCCTCGCCACAGCGCGACCACCATCAAATCTCGGATCACCCTATCGCACCGCTTATTCCACTTCAGACACCCCTGCAGAGGCAGGAAAACAAGCCTCTCTGCGGGAAGGTCCCAACTTCGTTCCGTGCGCTCTAGGTCAAGGGTATCGTCACGGAAATAGCTCCTATTGCCTCTCTTCTACTTACCTCGTGAGGACTGCCCCGTACGACTTGCATCGCATGCATCTCACTTTCGTTTCAGGCCTTGTCTAGTTGAAAGTGTGACGGCGGAAAAACGACCTACCAGATCGTTCACATGATGAATCATCATCTGCATCCGTCACAGTGGCACGCGAATCTCATTCACACAGGCAGGCCGTAGAGAAAGTGGGACTTTCATGTTGAGGCGTGGTCTGGACTTTTGTCAAGGTAAAATGTCAGACACTCTCCAAGGGTGCTGTATGGTTGGAAATGTTTCTCCAGTGAAGTTCAGGCTTGTGTCTCATCATGCCGGTGCGCGAGGGACGGGGGATGTACGGAGTAGATATTTGAGTATCCGTTCTCGTAGTGCATTGACAGAAGTGGAAGGACGCCACGACCGATGGTCGTGGAAAGGTTGTGCGTAGGTCTTGCTTTGCAGGCTCACCCGGCGCGGCGATTGCCGGATAAAAGTCATTGAACCATGCCGGTGATCAGGACGTGAACTTCGAGTTCGTGACGGATCCTGGTGGAGCCTGTTCCACGCAGGAGATTTTGCGTCCTCGCATGGGTTTGGTCAGATCCAGTTGTCGCGTGGACACTATCGGTGGAAAAGGCACCCAGAAGTCAATCTGTGGAAAAGGTTTCCTTTGATGGTTCTATGGCACAGGAGTCTCGAGAGTCAACAGTTAGGCTTTTGGCCTTGCTCTGTCGATTCGCGCTAGCGCTCAGCCGTTAGAGTCGTGACAGATTATGTTCCCATGCTGGGCGTTACGCCACTCCATCCCGTGGCAAGCTGATCGAGGTCAGTACAGGGTTTAGACGACCGATAGCGATGTGATGATGCCGTCAGTTTTGCAGGCAGATCAAGGCATGACCCCCTGAACAGGACGAGGTCCCGGCCCTTTTCCTGCATCGAGCTACATGCCTGGGCCGCAGCGAAATTAGTGGTGTATCGGTTCGGTGTTCATGGATGGGTGTGAACAGCCAGCGGGAGGTGGGATGGCCAGGAAGCGTCGAGCGGGTGTTAAGCCTTAACTGAACCTTCTTAAATGGAGCCTTGTGCGATTCTCCAGTCACACCGCTTGCGCATCAGCAGGGAATCTACCTCGTATCACGGGTCCATCCGATCTGGAGGACCAGATGACTGTCCGATGCCGAGTTGATCAATGATCCACATATTGTAGAAACGATGGACAAAGCAAGGGCAACGACGGGCCAGAGTCCTCGGCAATACGAGATCACAGTACAGCGCGGTTGGGGTCGAGCGGCCACGGCGTAGCCAAGGGTACCACGATCGTGGATTGATAGGCTCGGGTACGAGGTCGCACAGAATCGGGGACCGTGCCCCGCTCACCCACGATGCTGGAAGTCCTGATAGCCGCAAGTACATCCCGGTGGCTATGCAGCCAGTCATGGCTTGAAGAATTGCACTGTGACCTTGGTCCCAGGAGCTTGATCACTAGTACGGAGTATGAACTGGAAGAAAGGGCGTTGCTCTAGACACCCGCAGTCCTGAGTCCTATCATGGACGTGAAACAGAAATGGTGGCGCCACGGGCGTCAATCATACCTCCCCGAATCTAGTGGCATCAGTTGCCCTCACCGTCGATTGCCAGTCTATCGTAGTATTCAGCTCTTGCGGGACGGAACCTGAATGAGGATCGTGGATCCCTGTATTGCCAGTCCTGTTGTCGAGGCCCAAAGGACTCTTCAAGACGTATAGGAGGAGGCTGAAGCGAGAGTGATGGTTGACATGGGATCGGGCGGCTCCCTGAACATCAATGTCATGTCAGTCCGATTTGCTGCTGGCAGGGGTTGGGGCCAAAGAGAGCGGCTCTTGGAGACTTGTTCGTGGTCAGCACTGAGCTGCGACCATGAAAGGAACCTCATTCGCTCTGTGTGTGAGAAGGCAAACACGATAGCGAGACAGCAATAGTTGATTTCCACTTGCTGCGGGAAGCCGCGAAGCAAACACTACTCGCAATTGCGGCAATAGCGAGCGAGCTGGGTCCCGATCTCCAGAGAGAATCAAAGCAAGTGAAGTCTGTTTCATGGTTTTTGGGGGCCCTCAAGCCAAACATCGCAGCGAGCCGGTGCAGCCAGCCACTGTGCAGCCGCTTGTTGCGCATTGCATACAGCCTTTCCGCGTCGTTCTCTATTGAATGATTATGCAGTGATTCTTCACTGGGCAGTCCCGTGCGTGAGCTCTACAAGACGTCACGATGTCACAATCAAGGGCCGGCTAGGCAGTGTTCGGACATGGCCTTCCATCTTGGACTGGTCACAATGACAAGGATGTCAGCATGCAAGTCGACGAACGAGGCGAGGCTCTAGAGTCTGTCCACCCTAGCCTTCACTGCGCAGATGAGGACAGCTCAGCAATCAGATGCCCGCCGTTGCGCTAAAGGTCACTGGTGCCCTGCATCTCTTCAGGTGATCGACAATTCCTGCTGCTTCCTATGCCGGCACTTGTTAAGGCGAGGCTAAAACTGGTTTCGGAGCACGTCCGGATACGAGAGCATACGAAGACGAACCAGTCCCATTCCTGTTGTTTCAAGAGCTTGCGGAGAATCTGAGATTGATGTCGACTGCTCATCTTTTTCGTCTACGCAGGGCGTCCATCCTCTTGATATCTCGGATTGGCGCATTCAGCTATATACCTCGTCCCTTCGCCTTTCGCTTCGCATCGAAACAGGTGCTGCTCGCGGCTTGAGCTTGGTAGTGTAGTCCTACGATTTGCTATGGCACTTGATGATTACGTGGTCTGGAAGCCAGTATTTCTGCCGTCGCTGCATAGGGTCCTGCGGCTAACTGCCTCGCCTGTTATGTATGTATTTGGTGCAGAGTCCCGCTTACCAGTATCAAGACCACCAGCTTTTGAAAACCCCATCAACCGACACCGAAATCATCACGTGGCCAACAATGGGAATCTGAGTTTTCACTGTGCCCTCGTGCACATTCGACAGGATGCCGTCCACAGTACTCCGTAGAGGGGCAGCCGAAGCACGCGCTTAGGCCATTTGAGGACCAAGTGGCTGCCTTGAAACTTTTTCGTCGGAGCATCTGTGGCCCATAATCGTTCGTTCTCGGCCAATTTCATGCAGCTTGGCCCAACAAGCTGCCCGAGCTCAGCCGGTGGCCTCCCAAGAGAGTCTGTGGCTCGCTGATAGTAGTGGACCACCTTGGGCTTGGGATCGGGCGAATGAACCTCCTCTTATTGGCGGTTGGCACCCCTGCTCGCCTGGAGAAGTTCAGCATCTGGTATACGTACACAGTGCCCGGTATTGCCTCAGTGCCTCCCTTGTTCCAGTCCCGTTGAATTTGTTGTCGCACACAAAGCCCGAGTCCGAGCCAGTAAGCTCGATCTCTTAGCCATCTCCCACCAGTCACTCACACTGCTACTATGTACTGCCGCTACGGACTACGCCCTTACTATCCTGTGATACATTCCACCCGTCGCTCTTCTTGCAATATCGACGAAAATTGACGCGCTGCGTCGAAATGGCGGCAAATAGATCTACTGCCGTTACCATCTCTACTGTTCTCAGCAGTCGTCCCGCTGAAAGACCGATGCTGGACGTGGCGATCTCTCAGATTCGGACTGTTGGTCGCTCGTGACAAGAGCAAGAAGCAGGGCCTTTCTGCTGATCCCCGATATCTGATCTTAGACCAGAGATACTCGTACTAGTGCCCACCACCGGCTGATGTCCCGAAAGGAGCACCAAGGGGATGGTGTATCACTACCTGTTAGAGCGAAGTTAGTCACAACTACCGCCAGCCACAGACGCCAGCATGCTAGGAAGCCTAAAAACGATTGCTGAAGATGGTCTTCACCAGCAAATCACCAGGGAGATTTCAGGGCCTCCTTCAAGCTCTGCAAGGTGCCCGGTGTGCTCACACTTCGTGCACAGCGCTTCTGGTACTCCCGGGGTTGGAACGGGCCTTCTCTGGATCAACCCAGCACCCGAAGCCCCTTGCCCAACAGCCAGCACTAAGCATGCGGCAGGATGCATCTGGAAAGATTTGCAGGTAGCTCGAAAACTGCTTTTGTGACCTGTCACATTTTTCCCAAGAACAAGTCTAAGCTGTTTGTGATTATCAAGCCTATGGGCACTGCCTGCGAAACTCGGCTTGGTATGTGTGCGCCGTTTCCTCCGTCGAACTGAATCCCCCACAAGGAGGCACTGCAGCTATCCTGAGTCTAAACGCGTCGTAACAACAGGATCCATTGACTCTGTGCCGAGATTTTCGGCTTCGGAGAGTGCTAGCCTGTTTTCAAGCGAGCGAGGCCATGCAGAACTGCCGCTCGTGGGCGGTCCAGGGACACGACTACGCCGCGGCAGCTGCAGTCATTGGTCAGGTAGCTCGCTTGCCGCAGAGCTACTCCGTCCTGATGCCGCCGCCAGAAATCGAGGCGAATCTACCTCGTAATTCGTCAAGCGCGATGGTTTCAAGCCCGGGGAAGCCCCCACCGAACACTTTCCCATCTGCAACCAGCTCGGCACCGCCTGGGGAGAGCGCAGGCCCGATCATGGAGTGATACGTAAAGACTTCCTGCCCATTCGGTGTCCAAGTGAACAGATCGCTGTCCGCGATGCCTTTCTCAGGTGCTAGACCCATTCGCCAAAGTGATCACTGCAGAGAACGGACGGAACGCATTGTTCCACCATCGTTGGTCCCCTTTGAGGCTTTCGCTAGCGAGCACCAGACACAGAGCAAGTACGAAAGCCACCCACAATTATCAATCATCATTCCAGTCGGCTGATCCTCAGCTGCACAATTATGCTCTACGAGTGTTCAGTCCGCTTGGCACTTCGGCACAGTAATTCAACCGACCGATCTCGCGCAGAGTCCTGGGAGTCGAAGACCACACGAGCTGAAACGAGGAGTCGTCTGCGAAAACAACACAGACGGGCATACTCGAAAAGCCACCACCAGAATTTCTCTGCTCCGGTCCGCTGAGACCTGGCTGTGTCGATCTCCCTTCTCAAGGAGCTCCTACTTTTCCCTGAACGGGGAGTGACGGGGCTTTGCTCCTAACATTGCACTTTCTCGTGTCGCCGATCTTCAAGATTGCGCCAAAACGCACGAAGGTTAGGGCTAGGGGCACTTGCACGGAACAGAACTGATCCCGTGTATTAGCCGACTAAGGCACATTCTGATTGCAAGCATGTCGAGCTGAGAAGGACACGGAAGTTGCTGCTCAAGGCCCCTTTAACGCACCTCAAAAGTGGTTCGCCTTTGCGGGTCAAAGCCTGCCGATACCAATGGCCCAGCACCAAAAAGTGTGAAAAAGCAACAACATCCTATTCCGAACAGAAAGGCAAGTCCCGCCATGGCACCAGAGTGTCCGCGAGGCTTGGATTTCGAGCCACGCCAGGGAAGCTGGTGCAGCGACGAGCTCGTATTCCCCAGTCACAGCAGGCCACTAGGCGTCTCAAGGGCGGTAGGCGTGCCGGTCCAGCCGCAGGACCCCTCAGGGACAGTGCCGATCCCCGGCCTGACATCCCCTAGCTCAAACATTTGCCGTGGGGTGATAGATTCTGGAATAGCTTGAAGCCGAGAGTCACCCCCTCATTTGACGGCAACCTCTCCTTGGACAGCAGTTCGCTCGTAAAGTCAAACCAACCACAGGGGATGTCTTCTCTCCACTTGACGCCGATGCCATGTGGCTTTGGCAGCATGCCAGACTCCTTGGACGTTCACACCTAAAAACACGACTGGGATTCTCTGATGACTCTTGTTTAAGCTACAGGGACGGGTCGCCCGCTTAAAACGATGGGTGATTCCGAGGAATCTTGCTGAAGCTCGATCCCAGCGACATGATTACAACGGAGGTTTAGAAATGGTAGCCCGCATGCCTAGGTGGATTATGGACGGTCGCGGTTGGTGGGTAGAGAGACACCGGGGTCCCAGCCTCAAGATTGTGCCAGTGCTTTGTCGAAGCGTCTTGGCTTGGATTGGATGGCTCGTTTTCCCAGCCGTGAGCGGGATGCTGGTGTGGCGGGACTCCTACAGGCTGCACTTTCTCGGTCATAGTGTCCACCTGTATTGTCGTTGAATAAATTACGCAATCATGGTTCATGATGAGGGCTAGGTGAGGGCACTTGAAGGGTGGTTGAGATCAGATGACAGCGCGTGCCGTCCTGCCCAGCATATCTGTGAGATCCTTCGTGCTTCCATTAGACCTATCTCGGGAGGATCTTGGGCCGCAGTCCGTGTACGAGAGCGATTTAGGGTGTACTTCACACATCCAACTTGAACGCACAGTGTGTGTTTTTAAATATCTCGGCATCACCATGCTAGAACTCTGCGAATCTTGATTGTTTCCTCGCTTCTCGACATCAGTGGTTGCTGGCCACAGCGTTAATGGTAGCGGACACTACGCCGTCGAAACTGTTCAGCCGCTATGATTCGTGCACATACTGTGGCTATGCACTATCTAGATCGTGAGTGCCGACCTCGACTTCCGATTTGCTTCGTGTTTGCTTGATGCAGCTATGGTGGCGCATTATTGACCCCTGCTACATCCTCTGGCCAGCGGGGCTTGGGTCATTCCGGGAGATGACCAACCGGGAAGGGCTTCTTCCTGTTGCTCTGCTTCTTCGTATACAGTACTGTACCTCCGAGCCAAACAGGTAGAAAGGGGCGTCCCAGGCAATATCATAGTCATTGTCTGTTGCTTGCGCACGCACAGCACGCTGTTGTCACACCCCAACAGGCGGTACTGTTCATGTGTCGGCGACGGGCAGTGGTGATCTTCGCCACATTCCATAGTGAAGTATTGTTTCGGTTGCCCGTTAATTAGCTGTACGTACACTACCCCTATCGCCTGGACCCTCGCCTGCTTTTTTGGGATCGGGACACATAGTACGATGTACTCACAGTGGCTGCGCGCAGAACCATTGCATGTCCGTTGCTCGGTGTGCGCGCTCGAGCCTGCAGAGTCTAGGCCACGGTTTTGTGAGGGTGTCTAGCTTGCAAGTCCGGCGGTCTCGTCCTCCCGCGCAGGCACCGGCTGTTTTCCCCACACGCCAATTTTGCTTGCACGGTTGTAATCGTACTGTAAGTTAGTGCCAACAATTTCTGGCGTAACCATGGAATCTGAGCTCCGGGGCCAGCCTAGGGCCCTCTACTGCGTACGGGCGTCTTCTGTGTCCCAAGACTTCGGCCTTCTGCGCCCACTTGAGTCTACGGCGCTGCACCTTCATGCATGACTTTTTCTTTGCCGACTTTGCAGCACTTGGGCTGGTACCTGTCATCACTCCACCTTTTTAATCCCTGTCAACTGCAACTCCGTCTTGTGTCTTGACCCTTGCACAGTTTCCACCAAAGCGCGAACCTTGCTCGTATGCCCTGCGGTGTCATGGTTCCACCCTGCGTCCAGGTTGCGCCCCAGCATTCCTAGCACGGCGTCCACGATCCTTGCTTCTTAGAGCTCAGTGATCCTGGCAAGCCATCAGCAAGGGTCAAGATGGCATGCGTGCGGTCACTTTGGGCTGGCCTCCGGGTTACGCAGTTCATATGCGAACCCACGAGGCCGCCAACCCCGTTGAGATCGACCATTCAAGCCAGGCGCCATGCCATTCAATCACCTCAACAATTGGCCTTGAACTCCAGGACGGGCCCTCCCACATGACTGTTGACGCAAAAGACATCTTCCGCACGGCCCGCTGGGAATCTCATCTGATCTTACATCGTTCTCCGACTGAATTCATTTTAGATACCACACACCCCTCACCCGCGCCTACCTTCCATGCCACCGGCTTACTTTGAATTGAGCGTTCAGTTTTTCTCCACTTCCCGCTACCTGATCTTGCCAGAGGCGACGTCCGAGGCATAGGAAAGGAAGCGTTGCACCGTACGGGCTACACATACAGCACTACCACACCAATAGACCCGACTCGCTACTGACTTGGTTTTCGAGGGATTCATTGGAGAACGTGGGTACTCTGTGGTGGGCTCTCGTCGACTTGACTTGAACACGGCCAAATCAAGGGTCTATATGTCCAAGTCCAGCGAACGTTACATGACACAGGAATCACGGTAACCCTGGTTGGGAAGTCAAGGCTTCAATACTTCGACCTTTCGACTGCGGTGTAACATTTACGGTCTCCAAGCGTTTCTCATGCCATGCAGCCGAGCCCGAAACTTCATTTGTGCGGAGTTTTGAAGAACCACGATAACGAGGCAGCCTGCAAGGAGCAACCGCTGGCCGCGTGACGAGCACCTGCTACGGAGTCAAGCGTCACTGTGAACGGCCATTTCGACCTGGACTTATTACGCCCACTTCGGACCACGTTCTACGACATTTAACCAGAAGGAGAGCTGCTTGGTAGCACCTTACCCAAAGCCGTCTCAGAAGGCGTGCAAAGTGTGTCAATGGCAACAGGTGTCGTGCTGCCTCGAGAACCCGGAGTCGACGCGTGGCACGATACCGAGCACAAACTAGGCCCTTGTCCAACTTTGAACGAATCTTCACGCCTAATATCTGGCTCAATGGCTCGGCCGCCACCGGGCGCCGAGCCGACGGAGGATACGTTCTCACGCAGACAGAGTTTACCGCCTCTCAGTCAATTTCTGTCTGATGCTGGACATCCAGCCATATTTCCACAGGCCAGGTCTCAACAGATTCGAGCGGAACCATCGCTGGCCAGTCGCGTGTCACTAAACCACTATGACGTGCCGAACAACTCCTTCCGACCTTCGGACAGACATCAGGGACCCTCTGCTGACCCGTCGCTCCCACCGCGAAATGGCCACCACGAAACGCACAATGGACATACCTGGTGCTACCCGTGCACAAGTCCGATGGGGACTCACTCAGCTGCGGCTGGAACCATGACGACGTCCCTATCGCCCGATCGCATACCTAGGCCTGTGATGGTACGAGAAGAAATCGTTCCTGCCAGAGGCGTCTGCTACGTCTATGACGACGGCACAAGAATACAAAAGCCCAGCAATATCGAGGCCGTCAACCCAAAATGGGGCACAACTAAAGCGGGCAAACCAAGAAAACGCCTCGGGCAAGCCTGCAATACCTGTCGCGAGAAGAAGATCAAGTGTGATCCCAGTACCCCCAAATGCATACAGTGCCAGAAATTTAGCCGTGAATGTAAATTCGACACAGTGTACGTTCCTCTTCCCTTTCCTCCATACAATGAAGCTGACTTGTCTTAAGCTCACGGCCCACACCCAGACCCTCCGATCAACCACCACCAATGCCCACGGCCTCGCCGTCGATGGCCAATACCGCTATCAAGAACGAGTCTTCCTCTCGTCGAGGTTCGACAGCTTCCGCAGACCCATTACTGCAGGACCATCCTTTCGGTCGAGCAGGACCGAGATCCTCAATTCAGATCGAAAGCCTGCTGTCTCCGGCTTTGCGCGACGATGATGATCGTGACGAAAGCCCAGACAACCGACCACCGACGAAGAAGCTTCGCGTGTCATTGTCTCCTCACCCTGCGTCCGATGGTTGGCCAGCAGAGAGTGTAGGGTCTGAGTCTTGGAGTGGCTCGCTCGAGTCGCCGTCGACCATGACCAAGTTCAGTTGGGCAGCTGATCCCACCGAAGTGGACCGCGAGATGACTCTTTACTACGTGAACAAGTACTTTAATCACGTCGACGGTGCGACAACGTGCATCCTGCCACGGAAAGCGTTCTTGCGATGGGTCAAGGAGTGCTCAATGAAGTCATCGGTCGAAAAGATGCTGCTCTACGCTGTGCTGGCCATGGGAACTGTCTTCTCACACCGTGCTGAAACCGCGCGTCACCAGGATCTATTCATCGACATTGTGAACAACGCCGTTCAGGAGACTGGAAACACCTTCACCCTGCAACTGGTGCAAACGAAGCTGATATTGGGTCTCTTTGCCTTCTCTCAAGGCCAGAATAACCGTGCAATGGACTTCTGCGGCTCGGCGCTGCGAATCGCCTTGGGACTTCAATATCACACCGAGGAAGGCATCGCTTCCCTCGATGCCAAGAATGGTTTTGACTTTGGTTTGAATTATGCCACGCTAGTGGAATGTCGGCGTAGAGCATTCTGGGCGGCATACATCATGGACTGTTTCAACGCTTGCTGCTCGATGCCTATCACCTCGGTCGGTCGGGCGGAATGCCATCTACGCCTGCCATGCTCACAACCAGCCTATCAAGGGGGTGAGATCCCAGTGACTCCTTTCAGTCTCTCTACCGACCTAGGAGACCAGTCGGCGACTCCCGACAACATTGCCCACGTCGGGGTGCTTGGGTATCTCGTAGAGATCGCCACCATCTTTAAAGAGGTGATGCGTAGGATCTCCAAGAGCAAACCACAAGCTTCCGAGGAGGATCGGTTGTCCATGGAGGCATTTCAACAGGACGCACTGCGGCGGCTCGATGTATGGGATCCCTTGATGAGGAAGTACTTGTATCAGGTCCGAGATGGCAGGGAGCCCGTCAATGGCCTACACATCCTCTATCACTACACGGCAATGCTATTGCACCGCCACATGCGGTACTCGGAAGCCAGCAAAGTACAGATTGTCGAGAACGTGCGGGGCGCGTTCAAGCATGCTCGACTGATGATGGTAATGGTGCAGGAACTGAGCAATCACGAAGAGAAGGAGACTCCGTCGTTCCGATTCGCAACGCTGAGTCCTTTCAGCGGCTACGCCATCACGGCAGCCTTGGACGTCATCACCGCGGCCGGCACCATGGCGGACCTGATGGATCAGAAGAGCCGAATCATGTCCTTGCTATCAAGTGGAATCGAGGCACTGGAGGGCCTGGCGGACTTTTGGGAGAGCGCCCGTGGACAGCGCGACATGATCAAGAAGAGATTCGGTGTTCTCTTGCTCGCCACGAATAAAGCTTGCGACTTCAACGGGGCATTTTACTTCGGTGAGTCGATGCAGAGTCCTTTCGACTTGGACCAGGACATCGTCTACGGGCTGCCACGCCCACAGTATCTCGAGGCACTGGGATGGGACGATAGAATTCATCGCGAAGAGGACTTTCACCAGCTGGACAAGCCCGTGGAACTGTGACGAGCAGGTGCTCATGACGGTCGCAGATATCATGGGTATGGGTAACGAAAACGAACGAACGAACGAGGTTTATGAGAATTGAGAACGAGCACAGCAGGCACAGGGCATGGGAAGAGTAACGATCACTTGTACAGAAAGGACACAAAAGGACCACAGAAACATTCAAAGCGCAGGGCGAAGCCTCCATTCTGAGTTTATACCCACCGAGAGAGTTTTGACGGTCGACAGTACAGTACAAAAAGCGGGCGGGATCGAGAACGTCCACGTTACACGAGTCCTGTCAATGGTGCGGGTGGGCATGTCTGTCTATATAACCTTTACAAGAAAGCGAGACCTAATCTTAGATTTATCTTCTCTGCCCTTTCAACCTTAAGGGCAAGCAATCAGACGTTCCGGAGTGGTTCAAAAAGTGTAAGACGGTCGTAGACTCCGATCTTGGACAGTATGGTTCGAAACCTCAGCCTCGGTACGGAGTACATATTGCGGGTTTCTCGGGTCGAGATTGACTATATACAGTAGGTACCTGCACAGGCTCAGACCCCCTCTGCTAAAAACTGTGTACGCAGGCACCGCACAGGCAATCTGCACACACTGAACCTAGTCTAGTTGCATTACTGTATGTGCGTCCCCAGCAGTTTGGCTCTAAGAGTATCAAGGTGCCAGCCATTGCTCCTTTTCGCCACAACTTTCCATGACCGCAAAGACTCTTAGTGACTTCGGAACAAGAACAGTCCAAGCGCCGTAGAGCGGGCTTTTTGGAAACGCCAGGTAGACTACGGGGAAGTCAGCGAAAATAGAGGGATGTGGTTGCTACAGGAGGATGTGGTGGGTGGAAGGGATGTGATGGTTGCAAATTGATGCGGTGGTTCGAGAGGGATATGGTGGTTGTCCACAGTAGATATGCCTGTGCAGAAGGTCAATCTCGAGTCGAGGTTGCCACGCCAAGTAACGCGGGGAAAGAGCCGCTTAGCCACTGGCGTCATCAGACGCCCGCAACCACTGCGGCTCAATAAATCAGCGCGTGGCGCACGTGCTCACATCGGCCGAGCCAAGAGAAAGTCCCGGTGAAAGTCGTCCAAGCTTGTGCCGAAGATCACGGGGCTCGTGGTCACGAACTTCGACATCATCCCTTCTCTCTTGGTCTGGTCTGTGTTGCTCTATTTCGGAGCTTCTTTACTGCCGTTGCTCTCCGCCTATGGGAGGCACAAGCTTCATGCAAAGTTCTTTTCCACAGACCAATGGCCGTCGTAACCACGCGATGTGCCTTGCATTGGTTCGACCGGTGTGAGGGACGAATGAGAAGTCCCGGTCACGGCTTTGTCTGAACCTAGCTTGACAGGCCGACAGAGCCTCATCGCGTGATGCTCGATGCACAAGAACAGCCCCTTCAAGCAGTGGTGGGTCTTGCCGCTAGAAGCCCGAATTGTACCTACGCACAGCTCGTTGCTGGGTGGTTGCCTGCCTGAAGCTACAGCCGTTGCACTTCTTGCACATGGTCACCATGCAGTGCAGCCTGCCGAGCCGCGTAACGCGTCCAGGAGCTGAACGGGCCTAGACGCACCGACCCTTCTAAACAAGAAGCATATGTCCGGGTTTGCTGCCTGTGACCTATCCCTTGGAGCTGCAAGTGCAGACACGGCGCATGGATAAGAACGCCATGGGTGCCTGGCACGGGCCCGGCTCCAGTGCTATATAAGGACTTGCGTCGCTTCTACCTCTTGCTCACTCCGGCAGAGATGTCTTCCCTCAACGGTCTGGCTCAGAGCAATATGGCTTTTTCCAATCACTCTCTATTCAACGTCTCTTCGGGCCCTTTCCGCCTGCCCCTCACGGTCCTTGAAACCGTCTTACCAGGCACCTCCTTGCTCGCTGGCTTTCTCCTTGGATCCGGCGCTGATGCGCCGTTATTGGCCTCTTGGATAGCCGTCATTACCGCTGCATGGGCAACCATGCGCTTTGGCCTGGCGGCCTTTATCGACCCTCTCTTGAATTCCCTTACCTCGTGCGTGGTTGTGGAAGATTACGACCCTATCTACAGCCATGTTCTCAGCTGGGCTAGCGCTCAAAAGCGCCTACAGAACATACGATCGCTTCGAACGCAAACTGCAGGGCAATACTATGAGGCCTTTGCTGATGGCTTCGAGGAGGACGACGACAACCATCAACTGCAGCTTCGCGAGACCATGTCAGAGGATCTGATCTTCAACTTCAACAGTTGGGCTGCCCGTGCTCCGCCGCAATATCGACCCCACTCCTCCTCGGGTTGGTTCCTGCATGACTACCGCCTGTTCCGGCTGTCCAGGAATCGTGATCGTGTTGCCAGCGAGATAGGATTTGTCTATGAGAAAGAGCGTTTGGATATCTCAGTTCTCTGGCTGTCCCCCAAGCCCATCAAGAAGTTGATTGAAGAAGCCCGAGAATTCGTCCTTGCCCGTCGAACATATACGACCACGATCAAACGTCCGGCGCCAAAATCGCAGCGGAATTCCCGTCCCCAGGCCTGGACGACGATGGCAAGCAGACCAAGTAGATCTATGGCGACTGTTGTGCTGGACAACTATCAGAAGGCCCACATTCTGACAGATTTCAACGAATTTCTCCACCCGCGGACTGCACGATGGTATAGCAATCGAGGTATACCGTACAGGCGAGGTTATCTATTCCATGGGTGTGTAACTCACTGTCCTTGAGATGCATGCTGATTCAGATGTAGTCCCCCTGGAACCGGCAAGACGTCGCTCTCGTTTGCGCTGGCAGGGGTGTTCGGGCTTGACATCTACTCAATTGCGCTGTCCGATCCATCGCTCACAGAGGAAGACCTAGTCTTACTCTTCAACAGCTTGCCCAAGCGCTGCATCCTCCTCCTTGAAGATATCGATACGGCTGGCCTGGGTCGGGCCCCAGGTACCAGGCGCGAGAGCAAGTCGATCGCCAAAGACGGGCAGAGCAAACGAGATTCACTCTTGCAGGATGTGGAAGAAGAGGAGATTCAGAGCTCCGGTACCCCTACGGCCCCAAAACCGAATCTGCCTCATGCAGTCGCAAAGGAACCGACCTTCAAGAACACAGTCACTCTGTCAGGTCTGCTGAATGCTATAGATGGCGTCGCATCTCAAGAGGGCAGGGTGCTTATCATGGTAAGCCTGTCACTGTGCGGTGTGTCACCTGGAGAACTCGGCGCATGCTATTCGGTCGCCGAAGTCACAAGCTAACCAGTTGAGGCAGACCACAAACCACCCGGAGAGGCTGGACCCGGCCCTGACTCGGCCAGGCCGAGTAGACTTGTCCATCAAGTTCGATCTAGCGAACAGGCAACAAGTCAAGGACCTTTTCATGCGCATGTACTGTGCCGATACTCTGGGGATGATAAAACAGCCTACCAAGATTAGCCACATATTACCGAACGAAGGCGCACCTGGAGATCAGAATGGTCAAGCGTCCAGTATTGGCACTGATGGTGGGAATGAACTTCGTGTGCACAGCGACAAGGAAGGCGACTCTGCTCCCCCACTCATCTCCCAGCTTGCCGACGAGTTCGCAAATGCTCTGCCCGATCGAACCTTTTCGCCCGCGGAGATCCAGGGATTTCTCCTCGTGCGAAAGGGAGACCCTCCCCAAGCCCTGGCGGATGTCGCTGCGTGGCGAGACGGGCACTTGCAGAAGAAGACGAGTCACACAACCGAGGGCATCGACGAGCGCAGGGCTGAACCAAATGGCTTGAACGTCAAAGCGGAAAGTAGACCTTCGATTCCTCCAGAGAAAAACAGCGCCAGTACGACGAAAGCGACAGAAAGACCAGCTGCGGCTCGCGTGAATGGCCCTTCACCTGCGTCCAGTGACGGACCGGTAGGCAAGACAACAGCAAATGCTTCCAACAACGATGCCCCAGAACTTAGTGCCCTGCCACCGACCAAAGGCCCCAACGACGCGACGGCCATTTGTGAGACTTCAAAGGCCCCTCACGCCAAGATGATTTCCAACACGGAAGCACGTAGAGTCGAGACACATGATCGAGCATCACTACCCCAGCACGATTTGCCAGGCTACCTGGGCGTGGAAACCGAGGCTGGTGATGACAATGACGAGCATCGGCCCAATGACGGGATCACGCCCGGCAATGGCATTGACCATAATGACCAGGGAAACGACGACGACGAGGAGGACGATGATGATGACGACGATGATGACGACGACGACCATGACGACCACAATAACCACGACGGCAGGCCGACGACCCACCCATGGTTCACTTCCCCCCGAGGTGACTCCCGCAGCGTCTTTGGCCCATCGCACAGAATGTAACGGTACTTTCTGGCGGCGGCAGCGCCGAGTTTCAGTCGGCTATAGTAACAACGCATCCATCTATGCTAAGTTAGGAAGGCACAACATACTCTACTCCGGAGATACGGGGCGTACATACACACGGGCCTGGCAGGAAGGGCGTGCGGGAGGGCAAGGGGCGGTCCGATCAAGGAACAGGAAACGGTGGAGCAGCAGTTGAACTCACTGGTTGACTCATCGACTGATCTATTGGTTGGCTGGGGTTGGAGCAAGCAGGAAGGTACAAGAGAAGAACAGACAGGGATGGGAGGAGGGAACCGGCGAGGTTTGAAGATGGAAGCAAAAAATCTTACAAGGGTACAAAGCACATGCGGATATGCTTTCCTTGCAGCGAGCGAATCCAAGAAACGAGAAACGAGAAATGAGAAAATACTGATAGGGATCAAATAGGTTATAAATTATACACGTGAAACAAGAAACAAGAAACAAGAAATACTGATAGTGAGCGACTAGATTATATGTACATGTATGCGATCGAGCATGAGTATACGCCTGAGTATGAGTATGAGCATGAGTACGGAGTATCACTACCAGTAGTATGGAATGGCAGTAATCGGTATCCGAGGGCGTTATAGTACATGTGCAACTCGCTATGTATCACCCGTGATTTATGATGATTGATAAAGAGTGTTTTTTCTGTCAGAACTCGACCACACGAGCGTACATGCTACCACGTGTTAGATACTATATTTACAAGGCCGGCGGAGATACCCCGTATATACATACGTGCTGCACAGAGCATAAAAAAAGAGAAGAGGGAAGCTTGTTTCTTGTACTTTATCTCACATTCCGTGGCTGGTACTTTATCTCACATTCCGTGGCTGGTACTTTATCTCACATTCCGTGGCTGGTACTTTATCTCACATTCCGTGGCTGG